GGTTAGTTTAGTAAGTAGTAGTACTAAATAAAAGAAATTAGTAATAAATTACTAGTAATAGTTTATAAAACTTATAAATATATAAATTTTATATACTATATATAGCTCTAGCTACTTTAGAATTATTCTAACTCTATCTTAATTAACTTTGATTTTATTAAGCGTTACTATATAACTTAAGTACTTAGTATACTATATATACTACTTATACTTTAGAAGCTTAAAAAATAAGTTATATTTATATAGCTTATATAATACTTCTCTTATATATTTTTTATATTCTTTTTTTATATTAGAGAAGATTAGAATATTATCTAAGTAAATAATATAAGATATATTAACTAGTTTTACTAGAACTTAGTAGATATAAGCTTAAAACTATACTAAAGTATTTATAAAGGTAAAAAGTATTATAGTATACTTAAAACTACTATATTTTATATAGAAAGTAGTCTTTTATTTATTACTTTCTTAGATATATACTTTATAGTACGCTTTTTTTATATCTAACTTAGTATAGTACTTAGTACTAGCTAGTCTCTCTAGAGACTTAGAAATAAAAAGTAGAAAGTACTTATTTTTTATAGTAACTTTATTTAAGCTCTAGTAGTTAACGTATAGCTATATACTACTATCTTTTTTTTTAGTAAAGAGAATAAGCGCCTTTACTAAAAACTTATTATACTTTATTTAGCTATATACTAAGTATTTTTCTAAATACTTATATAATAATTTAAGCTCTATTTTAGAGAAGTTATATAATAGTATATAAGGTGCTATAGCTTTAGATAGTAAATTAATAGCTAGGTCTTATAGTCTATAATCTATAAAAGCCTTTAAATTATCTTTTAAGCTAAGTTCTATAAACTTAGTATATTATAGAGGTAACTCTACTTTACTAGCCTCTTCTAGACTAGTCTAAAGTACTAAAGTAATAAAATAGCTATATATATTTAATATAAAGTTATATATTATCTTTTTAAACTCTTTAGCCTCTTTTAATATAATTTTTTAAAAAAAAGCTTTATTTTTATTTTTTTATTTTTTAAAAATTAGCTTTTACTTTAGAAAGTTAAACTTAGAGTTATATATATCTATTTAGAGTAAACTTAAGTATACTTGTTACTTTAAGATTTTAGCTATAATAAATAGTATATTATAAACTTCTACTTTTCTATAGAAGTCCTTAATACTTATAGTAACTATAGTAGTTTTATAGACTTTTAGCTTTTTACTATTTACTTCTTTTACTAATAGCTTTAGTAAAAGTTAAATAGTAAGATTATACTTTTTAGTAGTTATTACTAAAAAGAAGTTTAATTATAAGCTTAAGTTAATTAGTATTTCTATTAGCTCTAATAACCTAATTATAACTTATACTATTATTATTTAGATTAGTTTAAAGTATATTATATTATAAAGAAGTTTTAGGTTCTTAGCTATAGAGTTAAGTATAATATAAATAAAAAGAAAAGACTCTAGCTTCTCTACTTAGTACTTTTTTTTACTTTAAAGACCTTAAAGTCTCTAAATTTCTTTTTAATTTTTTAGTATTCTCTTTAGAAGTATCTAAGCTTATTATAGCTCTAATAAACTTTATTAAAGTTTTTTAGACTAGTTTAGTTATTTTTAAAAGTTTTATATTAAAATAGCTTAAATTAAATATTTTAGCTTTTTTTTAAGTTTATAAAAATCTAAAATATAAGTTATAAAATAGCTTATTATATTTATACTTTATTTCTACTAACTACTATAAAAATAATAGTATTTCTTTTAATAAGTAGAAGAATATTACTATATAGCTTAATTTATTTTAGTAGTATCTAGCTAAAGTATTTAGTTTAGATACTATAGAATACTCTACTAAATCTCTAAGTATAAGTTTTTTTTAAATTTCTAAAGAAAAGGCGCTTAAAAAGTTTATTAAATATTATTTTTTTAAGTAGTTTTCTAACTTACTCTAGAAGATATTTAACTTAAATAGTAAGATATTTAAGTTTTAATTATAGCGCTAAGAAGTATATTTTAGCTTATTATAAGTCTAAAGGTATTATAGTAACTTAAAGCTAAGTATATTAAGTATTACTACTTTAAGCTAGTTCTAAGTTAGTATTTATATAGTAGTTTCTCTTATATAATCTTAAGTATAAGTATCTTAAGTTATATAAGTAGTTTTATTAAGAAACTTTACTATAAAGTTAACTTTATATAAATTAGTATAGAAAGTATTTAATACTTCTTAAAATATAGCTTTATAATTATATATTTAGTAGTTATACTATAATTAGTTATATATTATAAACTTTTTAAGGTCTTTTAGGCGTAGTATACTTAAATTTATTTAGCTTTTAAGCTTTTTTATAAAAGTAAAGTAAGTAAAATTCTCTTTTAGCGCTATTTAGTTACTAGTAAAGACTCTATCTCTTAAAGCGTAAAGACGCGCTAACTCTTAGTAGTCTTATTTTAACTTAGCTTAGTTTCTTAGCTTTTTAAGCTTCTAAGTTATTAAAAATTATTTTCTATTTTATTTAACTATTATAGCTTATAGTAGGCTTATAATAAGTATAAGTAACTACTTTAGTATAGTAAAGTCTTTAAAAATTTTAAAAAGTATAGAACTACCTATAAAGAGCTATATCTAGCTTAGCTACTTCTTAGTAGGTTATATTATTATTTTAAAAGATAAAAGAGTAGATTTATTTATACTATAGTCTATTATACGCGACTTATTAGTTATAAACCTTACTATATATTAAGTACTACTAAAAAGGCCTAAGTAGAAGCTTATTATAATAGGTTAATATATATAAGAGTATTATAAGAAAAGTAATTTAAATATTAAGCTATTATTATTATAATACTAGATATACACTTATTCTAGAGAGTAATAATAGTATTATTAGATATTAACTAGAGACGAATTACTATTAAGCTATAATAGTAGAAGAAAGCTGTATTTAAGCTTATTCTAGTATATTATAGGCTAGAATATACTAGAAGGGTCTAGTTCCTAATAGTTACTAGTATACTCTTTTTCTTAGTTTAGTAAATTATAGAGTATTAAGTATTAAAGCTATATTTACTATATATACTTCTATTTTACTTAATTTACAGAAATAGTATATAAGTCTATTATTTTCTATAAGATCTAATCCTAAGACTGCTCTATATATTATAGTGATATGCCTTCGGTGGTGCAGAAAACCACTAGACCTGCATTGGGGCTTAGCGCTGTTGTCGGGGCTCCGGTAAAACCCCACCCGCTCCACGCGGCATCACCCTCAGTTCCTGCATGCATATCGCAAATCCTACACCACAGTCGATGCATGATGTCGAAAAAGGTTTGTCCCAATCTCCAATCGAGGCCCAGGGGCAACACATGACTAAGCAGTGCTCAGGGTAATGACACACCCTCCTCCATCCGGATTCGGGAGAATCAGCGACGCTCGCGTAATCAACGCAAGGAACTCATCCAAGACCTGCAGCGCCGCGTTCAGGAGTATGAGGCCCAAGGAATTGCAGCAACGCAGGAGATGCAGCGTGCTGCACGCAAAGTTGCTGACGAGAATGCACGGTTGAGAAGTCTGTTGTCCAGTCGCGGTGTCGCACACGAGGAAATAGAGGCGTATTTGCGCTCATTTGATGCTGCGAGTACTCCGAACCATTCGTCCGCGAATCGGTATGCTTTACCAGTATCGAGGCCACCTATTGTTGCGATTCCTGCAGCGAGCTCTCCTGGATACATGGCGTCGCCTGTCTTGCAGGCTCGCGCACCAACTACGACGCAGCTTCCAGTCCAAGCTCCTGCCCAGGCGGTGTTTCAGCAGCCGGCGCACTCGCCACCTTACCCTTCGGCATTGGCGTACCCACAGTCTCAGGACCCTCGCCGCTCTTTTATCAGTACAATACAGCACACAGCGTGCGATTCAGAGAAAGAGAATCTTGCTACGGTAACAACACCTATCCTTTCGCATAAGCCGAGCGTAGCACCGGACTCGAAACCACCTACCTGCTGTAAACCAGCTGAGCCTACGGCACTTAATTATTCTCGAGAGACGGATGACGCAATGCTCGATCATGTCTCCGCTTCGTCACCTGGGGGAAAGGAGTACGCCGACTGTCCCAACACTACCAGTTGCTTTTGCCCTCCCTCATCTACACCTCAACAGCAATCCCTTGACTCCGGTCTGCTGATATCCTGCGAGACAGCTGCTTCTATCATCGCGGAGATGCGCGGTGATGGCGATACGCAAAGAATCAGAGCAAGTCTGGGCTGTCATGGCGACAAAGAATGTACTGTCAAGAACACTCTTGTTCTGGAACTGATGGACGAAAGGTAGTTAGTATCGATCGCAGGACTTCGAGCTCTGTGTGTCTTTTTCCATGTGCGACATCGGTTCATGTTCTTGGACGTTGCAAACAGGGAGGCTGTCAGATGACGTCATGGTTTAGGCGCCTGGAATCAATGCGATGCTGTAACTCTCGACCATATATCCTCGCGTCGATAGTGTACGTGGTTCGACCACGTGGGACGGTGGATAAAACATACTGTCTCACAGTATCTTCCACTCGATATAACTAGAATTCTCTCGGCTGATCGTCTCCCAAGCCTGACTGCGCTGAATGTATGCGCAACGACCAAGGGCTTGATCGCGCTCGGCCGCTTCAAGGTTGTACGGTCCGCCACCTGGCGCAACCTCTCCATCATCCACAGGAGGGATTACGTGTCTTGACCGCATATCAGAGATTTCAGGATCATGAAATCACCGACAACGGAAATTTCTCACGCTACATCACCAAGCCTAACGACACTCTATACAGGAGAATCGTCTATCGTAATTGGGCGAATTCTGAAAGGCTCCAACAGAGTAGGTTTGGATGTCAAGCTGTGATTGGAATCTGTACTGAGTGCAAATTCGCGAGAAGGTTGTTTGAAGATGCACTATATATCGCTAAAAGCCCTTGCGGATATCGCAGAGGATCCGAGGTGACCTGATACGCTATTGAGTAGGAGATGTTTGGCGTCGTTTCACTCTATGAAGCTGGAACATGAAGCCGCTAGCTACAACATACGAGAGACCTGCAAAGATCTGGGTGTAGAGATACTCTCGTGAGGATGCTGGACGCCTCAACTTGAGAGCGATCCCTTCAGAAACTATCGCGCTTTGTTAGACTGTCCTCAAACAAATTTGGAAGCATGCATACCTGTTACTGGAATTATCACTGCCATCCACGACAGAGACAACAGCGACTGCAAGTTCTTGATGCCTGCCACCTCGACGCAAAGTGGACCGATTGTCTATTAGCGGACACTAGTTAGAGGGTCTCTTGAAGCTGGAGTGAAACACAAGATCCGACTTACCATCCAAAACACTCCAACAATAGCGCCGCAAATTATAACAAAGAATACGGTCAGTGGGTATGATGCCGCAGGTAACCAGAACGCGAAGCAACAGATACCACACAGCAAAGTCAGAGCACCTGCGGTGTCGACTCTGCTCCATTGATCGCTCAAGACGCCGATTAATGGTCGCCCAACAGCAGTACCGACGTTCAGAAATCCTATCATATCGGTGGCTTGTGATCTAGAGAGCCCGATCGATAGCGCGAAGTCAGACAATGAGAAGAGCAAGACAACGTATCCCAGCATACTGATGAAGATCCAAGCGAGGAGCAGTAGTACTTCGTAACGCCGGAGAAGTTTGGTATCAAATCCAAGCTGAGATGGTCGAATGGCCTTATTCCTATCACGTATAAATGCTATCGCAGTAGCATTGGCGATGAAGGCGACGATGCCGGTAATGCGCAAGGCCCAGCTGATACTCATGCGCTGGATCATAGCTTCAGTACCCCATGCAAACGCCGCACCGCCAACACCAGACCCTGCCGCACTGATACCATTGGCTAAACTTCGTCTTCGATCGAACCACTGGGAAAGGACTGGGAGGCAGGGTATATATAAGAAACCGATTCCAGAGCCAATCAAGACGCCCTGCGAAATGTGCAGCTGCCATATACGAGTTGCGAACGAGGCGGCAATGAAGCCACCAAGCTGGAAGATAAGACCACAGCACATGATAACATGAATACCGAATTTGCGACAGAAGACAGTGACGAAAGGTGCAAGGAGCATAGCGATGGCAAAGTTGAAGCCTCCAATAAATGCATAGTCCCAGGAAGATGCTTCAGGGAAAACATTGTCCACTAGGTAGTGCGATAGGTAAATGCCATAAGCCTATTGCAGCGATTAGCTTCACAGGAGACGAGAAGATAAGGGACAAGGGAGTCATGTGATCTGACTTACGGAGACAGTACCCCAGGTAAAACAATTGATGGTGAAACATGTTGCCACACACACCCAGCCATATCCACCATCTGGAGGTGGGCGTGCTACAGCAATAGCAAACTCAGCCATGTCTGCATCATCGGAAGAAGTCGGTGGTGAAGCGCAGAGGTGCATTAATGAAATTGCAGCCACTTTGGACTATCGTATAGGATGCGATTTATCGCATGTCTCATTCATGGCGGCGGCACCAACATTTATACTGGTAAATGGTATGTCACTTGTCCGATTGCGGGGTGTCATTACCCCAATAAGATCGACAACGCTAGTCCAAGCTTGCTTTGAAGCCTCTCTTTCGTATGCTGCCTTACAACCTATATCCAAATCTCGTCTATGTTTCCATATCTCGTGGAGAACCCGCCAAACATCTGAACTACTGTGAATATCAATTCGAAGGGCCTGCGCTGGTCGACAACGCTGCATGCTGGGTGTCTGGGGCAGGCTTGTTGATTTCTTTTGCTTGCTTCGCCCGTTTCTCTTCTCTCTCGCTATACCGATCGCCGAAAAGGTCAAAGTGCGGACGCATGACGATGGTGTATTTGACAAACTCCTCCATGCAATCAACAAGACGATCCCTGTTGCCACTAGGCATGAGCCTGCTTCCAGCGTCCTCCTCGGTGAACTGCTTGTATGCCATGGGTATAGAACTTTGGTTCGGGATCACAAACATACGCATCCATCGACCGAGTATGCGTAACGAATTAACCGTGTTGAAGGACTGCGATCCGCCATTCACCTGTGCTATGGCGAGAGTTCGGCCCTGAGTTGGGCGCACAGATCCGGTCGAGAGGGGTATCCAATCGATCTGGTTCTTGAAGACGGCCGTCTGGAAAAGGAGCATTGTCAGTCGACATGCTGGCAGACATGGTATGCTATGGGTGGCTACTCACTAAGGTTCCATGCTGCTCGGGACATATCCATACATGTCCATCGCTCCACTTACTCAAGTCGCGTAGCTCTTGCACTTTGGGATGTGTATGTTGCACGTCATCTTTGACGGGAAGACCAGTAGGATCATATATGCGCACATCGCAGCCAAGTCGGAAAAGTATTCTGCTGGCTTCGTATGCTAGCAGGCGGGAGTAGGATCTACTTGGACTTAGCAGATGCGAGCAGGCAGCCTCAAGTATCAGGCTGATTGAACGTGGTCCCTACCTCTGCCGCATGCTCCCATACATAACTACCACCCTGAGCCTATCATCACCCCGTTGGAGCACTTGTGTGTCTACCATTCTCAACACAGTACTCAGCTCCAACTGAGAAACCCAGTCTTGTTCTGCATCGCCCCCCTCGAGTATGAAAGGTCGGTATAATTTTCGGATTTCGGCATCGTCGTCGGAGGGGGGTATCGCAAGTGAGAGATGCTGGTACGCAGAATCAATGGCGATTTCAGCTCGAACCCTTTCGGCTGAGGTGTTGTTGAGGTCACCATTCGGTATCGTGGCCATCGTGCGTATGAAGGGTGTGATGAAGCGCTGGGGCCTGAAGAGGATGGTGCTACGAGCACTGATGCAGGCAATGGAGCGGTAGACGCTCATAGGATGGCGCAACTGAATCGTGCGAATAATGTTGGGAAGTTGTGAAGGAGCCGTATCAAATTACACACAAGCAAGCTCTATTCTGCTGCGAAGGCAACTTTGAGATTTGCTTGTTGACGTTTAGGTAGCGCAGAAACATAGAACATGTCTAGCAAAACGCGTCATAGTTTGAATGTCACCCTGCCCTGTTGATTCGCCGGCACCCCGGGTAGACCCTGCGTCAATAGCCTGCACCCTCAGGTCCCATGCGCAACACAGTTACTTGGCCTTGAACAAAGACCACGTCCGGTTGTCAGATTGCGATTGCAAGCAACCGATTAGCTGGGGTTCATCTTCGAACATAGTAACGGCCTTAGGAGACATGTTTCTTTCTGCACCCGAGCTTGGAGCCGATCGTCGCCCGATCACGTTCCTCTCCCGAGCATCGCACTGTGAGTAAGCCCTTGTTTGAGGCTTTCGATTAGAGCTGCTCTCTGATGCGGTGATAATCTCCAAAGCTGGACAAACTTTGGCTGCAGCGTCCGTAAGCCGACGGGTATCGCAGTTACGTAGCTCAGCGATCATGGATTATTTGATGATGTTACCGACCCATTGCATCAAAAGCGAGGCCAGCGATTGTGGGTATTGGTCTGTCATTAGGTAGTGAGGCGCAAAGTAGGGTAAAGATGAGGTATGGAGGGGTAGCGTCGAGGCTTGGCGAGATATTCGCTCCCAGACCCCTGCAGAAATCGTCATGTTTGAGGCATTGGCATGGAAAGCCTCCCCTACACGCAACGACAACAAGTCAGCAACAAGATGGAGCTGGATACATTCCCTGCACGTGGGTATTCTACGCACGCTATCAACCGTACTGCGACTGACGCGCAATAGAACAGTACAGCACCAACGACGCTACGTCGTTTGCCCATACGTCGGCACGCTCGCGATGGCCCATTATCATCACCCAAGGCATTGACGACGTGCACCGCTCCCTGCACGACACCAAAGACGAAGCGGCCATCACCGAAGGCAAATGGGTTGTTGCAGAGCTTGCCAAGTTGAAATACGAACTCCAACACGACCGCGAGCTGACGCCGATTCCCGATGATGGCGAGCGCGACGTCGACGCCTACAACAAGGAGTTGGCTGCAAGGGGCAATCCCAAGTGGCACAATGTGCCATGGCTGTACGCCGAGTGCTATCTCTACAGGTATGTCGACCCTTGCCGTCCCACGGCTCATGCTCATGGCCATAGGAAGACGCATCTCGAGCATCTTTAAGCAGACCAAGAATTGGCGGTCGTACGACCTTTTCGCCCGCCAGAAGATGGCCACATTCAAATCATCCCGTCCCGCCGTTCTCGAACTCGCCGCGCGCTACAAGGACATCGTCACGGAGCTCGAGCAGAAGAAGACAATACAAGGTGCCGAGACACAGGAGCAGCTCGAGGCCGCCGAGAAGGTCCTCTTCACAGAGATGTGCGAGATCTGCCTCTGGGGCAATGCGACAGACCTGTCGCTCCTGACGAACCTCTCATACGAGGATATCCAGAAGCTGCAAGGATCCGAGGCACGAAAGAACTCCGAGAAGAATATTTTGGTCAACGACCTAGGCAGGGCATTCGAGATACTCACGTCAGCTCAGAAAGAGGGCAAGAAAGAGCGCCGCGTCGATATCGTGCTGGACAACGCAGGTTTCGAGCTTTTTGTCGATCTGATCCTCGCCGGCTATCTCATAGCTTCTGGCCTCGCGACAAACGTTGTGTTCCACCCCAAGTCCATCCCTTGGTTCGTCTCAGATGTTCTACCAGCCGACTTCGGCGCTCTTCTCTCCGCATTAGCCGACCCCCAGAGCTTCTACAGTGCGCTCACCGAAGATGAGAAGCATGCTGGAAAGGAAGCTGTGCCATTGTCGGAAGCGGAAAGCGAGGCTTTGCAGTTCCTTTTCCAGCATTGGAGCACTCTGCATGCCGAGGGTCAGCTGATGCTGCGGCCGAACGACTTTTGGACTGCAGGCGGTAGTTATTGGCGACTTCCCAAGACAGAGCCGGAACTTTATGAAGATCTCAAGGAAAGTGAACTTATCATCTTCAAAGGCGATCTGAACTATCGCAAGCTGACTGCTGATGTAAGTGCTCTCGTCTCTGTTGTTCACACTATCTACTGATCAATCATAGGCCGCTTGGCCTGCTACCACGCCATTTACCGACGCCATCGGGCCCATGGGCCCGGGCTCAGGTCTCCGCGTTCTCGCGCTCCGCACCTGCAAGGCTGACGTCGTGGTCGGGCTCGCCGACGGGGAAGATGAGCGCATTAAAGCTATGGAAGGGGGCGGTGGAGACAGTGGGTCAAGGAAGTGGGCATGGAGTGGCAAGTGGGCTGTCGTTCAGTTCTCTGATGGAAAGGCCTAGACAACACAGCACACCAAACGCCCAGCACTTCATTGAACATGACCAGGGCATAGATGTTAGACGTAGAAATGACACGAAGACAATGAATCATACTACATTTCCGAGCACCTGGCTCTATCGATCTTAGGACTAAGCGAATTTCCTAGTAAACACCTCTCCTAATATCAGCGGCGATCTGTTGGAGCTCCTCTACGGTCGGCGGCTGTTTGTTGCCCTTCAACAGCTTGATTCTGGACAAGTTTTCCATCTCTTTGATCTTTCTTGCAACGATGCCGTCGTTGGATGGTATTGTTTTAGAGGCACTTCGTTGTTGCAGTTGTCCATCTAAGCTGGGTCTGCTGCTAGCAGGTTGATGCGCTGGCAGTGTCTGTCCTCTATGCAGGACATCCGCACGTATCTTAGGTTTCCCATTGCTCTTCTTGTGCATTCCATGAACGTGCGTGATATTTGCTTTTGCGGACTGCTGTCCTAAGGCCTTTAAATCTGGTTCATGTGAGTCTTCATGTTGAGTTGTCAGCACGGCGGTGACATACCACGAAGCAATCTGTTTCCATCAGGCTCACTACCCAGCCACTTCCCCCTTTCTCGCTTAGCCCAAAGCCTTCGCATTCCGTCGATTTCCAGATGGTACTCAAGGCTTCCGCATACAGGGATGCTACTGCACACCGCTACCATGTCCAACGTCATGCTATGTACTTCAGTGTCTACACCACTCTTCACAAGGACAACCTCTAACGTATCCAATGGTTCTCTCGGCTGTGGCGGCGGTGAGTCCCCACGGCATACGAACTCTAGCGAGTCAGGACGCTTTGCAGATCGAAAGCTGAGCTTACGACGCAGAATTTTCGGACCAGCTGGGCTTGCTGAGCGAGATCTCTCGGTTCGGGACGTCTGAGATTTGTTCAACCCAGTAATCAGGTTGGTGACCGCGTGTAGAGAATCGACAATGTTAGATGTCTCTTCTTGGGCATCCTTCTTCCTCTTGGTCGCGCTTCGCACAACCAGAGCCTCTGCACTGGGGACTGGAAGTTGGAAGCGGATGTTTGAAGCACGAGCAAGAGCACTCCGAACCATTCGAGGAGGCACGTTACTCGTCCAGCACCCCCAGTACTTGCTGTTGTCCTTCTCATTGCACGTGTTTGTGCTATCGACCTCGGAAAGATCGATAAGGAAAAGGCTGTCGCGATATAGAATGTCCAGCCCCAATTGTCGAATTTGCTTGCATACCATCAATGCAGGCTGCATCATGAATGATCGTATGTCAACAGCATTCGGACCGTGACGATGACGGCGACGCTGCTGGGGCACAACGCGGGACTGGTATGGTGTGATGGAGACGGCCCTTTCTTCTGCGAAAACGTATGACAATATGTGGTCAACTATTGTCGATGGTAGCTGAAGAAAGTTGGGCGTCAACATTTGTCGGCCGCTGGTAGCCGCTGGCGTAGGTACCGAGTGATTTGTAGCGCTAGTAGGTATAGTGTCAGGAAAGGACGTTGCTGTAGAAGAGACCGATGTTGATTTTGATGAAGCTGAAGATCGATCCAACGTGTTCATTGGTGAATCGTCCAGCATTATCATGCACTCTATCGTATGCGCATCCCATTTGTCGTCCGGTATCTGTGAAGCCATCTGGTTGGAACACTGCCGTTGCTGCAGCTCGTACGCTGGTGTTGTACGCGTAATGGGATGGCGTGACGCTTGATTCCTTGGGGGCGGTAAAGGCTTGTTCTGGCCGGGAAATAAGTCCTGCATGTACTTTCTAGAAGTGGCAACTGCTTTGGCGTCAACAGCGTAGTTTGCGAAGTCGACGCTAAAACGGGGGTCTGGCAGCCTGAGTGCCAGGATAGAACGAGAGGTACTCTGCTCCATAATGGTGCAGTCTGTGCTGTATATCAGAATTTATAAGACGTGATAGATAAAACAAAGTGGTAAGTGTTGGAATGAACGCAGATGGGAATTAGAAGAAGAAGAACGAGTGGGCGAAAGCCTGCGCCACTACATATGAACGTAACGACAGAGTCAGAGTCCAGCTCGCAAAGGTGAATGATCGACGTGATCACCAAAGAAGCTGGAGAGGACAGGAGCTCCATTCTTATCGCGACCTGGATGACGATCAGGCGGTTTGCCATCTTTTGCTCCCATGTATGGACCCTTGGCTAGCAGATTCGCAAGTTGTCGCGCAAACGGGCCGGGTACAAGTATGATGTACCATCATGTCCTTAATCTTTGGACGCGAATCAAGCCTGGTTGATAATCGCTTGCTATTGGTCAACAGCCACCACGTTCGACAAACACTCCTAGAGGCACCAGGATAGGTGCGGTGGGGATTTGATAACTGTCATTGATATAGCTTCATCGCGTGGCTAACAACAGGGATCATTACTCGTACGGAATGAGAGGTGAAGGAGCGAGAAGGGCCTCAGGCCTCATCCGAGACTCAGAATGTTCGATCATCAATGCAGAACGAAAAAATGAAACTTGAAGTGCCAGGTTCGGCAGATCGACATCGCTTGGGACTCACCTTATAGTGGGGACGATGCGCGAACGCGACCGTGTGCAGGCAAACGTTTGCTGCCTCAGCAGGTGGGGTGAGGCCGTCGAGAACGAAGAAGCGACATGTCGTGTTTCATGCTCAGGGCATTGACGCATCCCACGCAAACGGCCGGTTAAAACCGTTGCCGAGACATATCAAATACGCAAGGACATGACATATAGGAGGATTGATCACAGCCTGATCTTACGCGATATATGTGCAAAACGGTCGCCCACGCTCTATCACCATGGTCCTTCTTCGACATCCTGTAGGCAGGACAAGACCTGGAGGCCACGCACGCCGAATTGAGTTAGCGGTCGTAATACCAAGCCCCCGTTGTTTTCGACATCATCCGTAAGACCCCACCCTTGCGTCAGATCTATGCACTCGCTCGCCTGGCCGACATTTCCGATCCAAGTCACGTCTTCCCGTGTCGATGTAGCGAGATACAGCTCCTTGCCTGGGCAGTGCTACAGAACATCGCCTTATCTCACGGCCCCACACGCCACGATTTTGGAAGCGCGCTTCATGTACCTGAATGCACACGGCGGCGCATTGCTCCCAAACATGATATGTGGTCTTTACAATCCGGCTTGAAACGGGACAGAATACTCCAGCTCCTTAACTCCTGTCTGCTCGAGAGCGAGGAGGCTCTTCGCAGATAAAGCGCGCAAGTCACGCACAGATCGGATATGCGCGGCAACGTGAGATACGCAAATCTCCTGTGAGGCTCTAGCACATGTGAAGAGCTCGCCGTCGGATACGCCAAGTTCGAGGTCAAGAATAGATGCACGATTAAGAATTTCGCCCCTGCATTGACATGGCCGCCTTCTATCCTACATGCAGCAGTGGACCTGGACTTGGCTATGGTATTCGACAGGTCACCCCAGCCCCCTATAAATCAATAGCTGTTTAGGTGCTGACTTTGACTCTATGTCTCCCGTTGCGCATGTCGACCAGTCCTTCAAATTAGGGAATATTCTGCAATATGAGCAACGTCACGCCGAATATAACGCCTGTATGCTCAATTGCAGCGCAGATCTTCGTGCCACAATGCAGCAATGCAGCAAATTTCTATCACCTCATCGCCGAGGACAGATCCGGTTAGCAGTCTTCCATGCTGGTACCCATGGCAAGCTATCCCATTATGGTGATCCTGACTTTATGAGAGTTGCAGAATGTCTCGCTCTTCCGTAAGAGGGAGGAACTTGCCTCAACGAACAAATCACCTAGTTACCTCTAACCACTTTCAAAGCACGAATCATTATCTGGGAGCTACTTATTCCATTCATCCGTGCTGCACATGTAATACGCCATACATGTTGATGATAAAGTAGGTATAGAAAATCGTACATCATGATGTATGATGGGGCCAATTGTTTCAATTTCATGTTCTCATGCCGGTATGCGCCGACCTACGATTCCCAATCCCGAAGACTACTTGCTCTCCAAAGCGACTTCCCGGATTAAATTGCGGACCTCGTCGTCATCCAGCCGTTCGACGCCTAACAGCTTGTTGTCGTCCAACTGCTTCCAGCGCAGGGCAGGCACTGTACCCGCAGACCATCGGATCATATCACCGATGACACCGAGGTCAACTTTGCCAGCCATCATAGACTCGGTCGCGTCCTTTAATTTTTGGTTCATGTCTTGCTTTGTCTCCTCCCACCCATCATTACCCAAAACCTCCTTCGCTAGGTTCATCATCTGCTTCTGACTCTTAATCACGCTAGAGATGTATAAACAGCGGTTTTCCGTCTCTTGTGCCTTTTGTAGTGCGCTTGCAACAGCGACACCGACTGAAGAAAGCATCGTCCAGGGGAACGGAAGCATGCCATCGTTGATGTATTGGACCTTCTTGCCATAAATATCAATGTTGATGAAGCCAGTCCGGAGATTCCAATCTAAGAAAGCCCCGTTCGATACGGCAGTCCATGTCAGTTTTCCCTCAGCGGCCAGCTGTTTGACCTGCTGGAAAGCTTGGTTCTTGCCATGGTACACTAGTGGCGAGCGAGCAACAAGATCTTCAGGATCGACACTAAACTCGCCTAAGATGATACGGTACACTTGAGCGGAAGCAGCAGCTTCAACGATTCGTCCCGAAAGAGTGGGATCGGGCCCAGAAGTCGCATCCACAACAGCATCTTGACCATGAAGGGCCTCAGTTATCTCAGAGACTAAGTCGGTGTTGACAACTTTGACAGACACGCCTAAGGGGAACGTTTGGCCCTCCTTTCGAGCGATGACAGTAACCTTGAAGCCAGCTTTCATAAGGCTGGTCAAGATGGGCGATCCCACGTTACCGGTCGCCTGTATTATGTTAGTCGAACGGGCTTCTGCCTTGTTACGATTACCTTACGCCTGTGAGTGCAACGTTGGTGATCTTCTTCGACATAATTTGGATACCAGATGAACTATGTTGATAATGGTATTGAAGATGATTGAGTTGAACACCGTGAGTAGATTGTGACGGTGGTCATATAGACGATGTTTATGTCTCCAACTATGCGAGGTTGATCCACTCAACTAGACGTCCATGATTTGTCCGTCTGCCAAATCATGTGGTAAAAGGCCGAGCACTCTTGATTAGCACTTAGACAGTTCTGGAGTTCGATTTGGGCGGTGAAAGATTGAGCTCAGCGCACTAGTCTCCGGACGGGCCGGCGTACTCGATTCTTCATCCGATCCGACTTATCTCTTGTTTGTCCGACACAACATCTTAGTCAACCGGCTCCTATACCTGGTGATGCATTAGATGCCAAGGCGAGCGGACTTGGAACCTAGTGTAGTTGCGGGGCCTTCTTGGCGGTGACAACTGGTAGTCCCCAGAACGTCCGTCACGTCAACACTGTCTGGCTGGACCTGAATGCCGACACGAGCAGGATTACTACGGAACATCAAGACAAAATTTGCAACCCTCGCTCAGCCAATAGATCAGGCAGCAAATATAACCTTCAGCTCGGCCGCTCCGTTTGTCGATATCAATCGAGAGCCATCCTAAGATTGATTTTCTGGACTCACAAAGCAGCGGCTGCAGGTTGCATTTTGAGCAACTCATACCGACCAGGATCGTCTTGAGAGTTCATCGTTGAAGAAGCAAACTGATAACTGCAGAAAATGAAGTAAGCCGTTCGCCGTTCATGCTGGTTTATAGTACTGATTCCCACAGGGACCTTCTTGTTTCCAGTGGTGAGAAACCTTATTACAACTTGGGCGAATATGGACGTGAGATCCACACAACTTCGCAGGAAGCGCGGAAGTGGTTCAATCGTGGCCTTGTATGGTGCTACTTATTCAACCATGAAGCGGCTACGCAATGTTTCGAGACGGCGGCTGCCCACGATCCTAATTGTGCAATGGCCTATTGGGGGATTGCATTTGCTTTGGGTCCCAACTACAATAAATCGTGGCGCATGTTCACGTCGGTTGATCGTCAGAATTCCCTCAGGAAGATACTCAGTGCCCTGGCGCGCGCGGAGAAAGTGCAAGCTGATGTCTCACCTATCGAAAGAGCACTTATTTCTGCACTCGCCACTCGCTTTCTGCGCAGCAGCGTCGCCATTCCAGAAGATCTGTCACGATTTGACTATGCGTACGCAGAAGCTATGCGTTCTGTCTACGAAGCGTACGGAGAAGACCTGGATATAACAACTCTGTTTGCTGACGCTGTCATGTGTACTCGTCCGCGTCAGCTCTGGAATCTCAATACCGGAAAGACTACAGGAGCAGACATAGATGAGGCAAGGATTGCATTGGAGAAGGGTCTAGCACAAGTCGAAGGACGCAACCACCCTGGTCTATGTCATTTGTATATCCACATGATGGAAATGTCGCCTTTTCCCGAATTGGCACTCAATGCAGCCGACAATCTGCGACGACTTGTACCAGATGGTTCGCATATGCAACATATGGCGACACATATTGACACCGCCTGCGGTGACTACCGTCGGTCTGTCGATTCTAACTTCGACGCCATACGCGCAGATGATAAGTACTTCTCGAGACGAGATGTAAAATCTCTTATCTAAACCGCCTACCGGTCACACAACATCCATGCTATGGCATATTCTGCGATGATGTCTGGCAGGTCCGCAGATGCACTTTATGCTGCGAGGCGATTACCTGAAGTCTTAAGTCTAGAATTCATGTCTATCAAAACACCACGCATGGTAGACTGGACTGAGTGGCAATTGGTAACATTACCTCACGCATTGATTCGTTTCGGTCAATGGGAAAAGATTCTCCAACTTCGACTGCCAGCAAACAGGGATCTGCTCAGCGTTATGACAGCGACAGTGCATTATGCACAAGGAATCGCCTTCGCTGTACTTGGCCGGATTACGGAGGCTTGCCACGCAAGGGACGCCTTTGAAGACGCTCGTAAGGCTGTACCCGACAATCGTATGTATAGTCCTTCTTCTATGGCAGCGCCAGTGCTAGCTGTTGCATCAGCTATGCTTGAAGGCGAGTTGGAATATCGCAAGGGCAACCACTCTAAGGCGTTTTCCATCTTGCGTCACGCCATTAACTTAGAAGATAACCTTGCTTACGCCGACCCACCGCTATGGATGCAACCTGTTCGACATGCTTTCAGTGCTCTTCTCCTTGAACAGGGTTATTCTGAAGAAGCGGAGAAGCTTTACCTGGAGGATCTAGGGTTGAGTGATAGCCATCCCCGACGAAAGGCACGCATCAATAACGTGTGGGGCTTACATGGCCTTTATGAGTCCTTCATGCGAAATGGCAAGGAGGAGAAGGCTAAGAGTATCCGCATTCAACGCGACATCGCGATGGCTGCCTCCGATGTTCCCATAAAAGCTTCATGTTTCTGTAGACTTTCGGCTATCAAGAGGGACTATGACTGTCATTCGTAACACTTACATCAAAGAGTTTGACTTCGATTATAGAATTCTGGTTTCTAATGTTCTTCATAGCTACAATGACATGGTATAGTACAATAGTCATAAGTCTTCCATAGTGTATGAGATAACTTGTCTTTCCTGGCCTCTTTTTCATGAAGGAAAAAAAGTACTTCTGCCGACGTCTACTACAGGTTATCAACTTTCTTTCAGCCACTGTATCTCTTCCAGAGTAGAGGGTCGACCCAAAGTGTCGTTGCGCTGAGGAAATCGCCCAAAACGATCCAATACATTCTTCTTACTCTCACAGATACCCTGCATAGTACTTCTGAACTGTTCGAAACTATCCTTTCGCCTCACAAGCACCCCGCGGTATTGCGCCAAGGTACTATCCCATCTGTCTACAGATTCCTCTAGCAGCATCTCGTAATCATGCCACATGTCAGAATGAGCTTCTGCTAGCGACTCTTGTACCTCTAGCCTCTCTGAGTGCTCCATTGGTATGTAGAACCAAAATCGATAAACCAACTCGAAGCGGACTTGTTCCTCTGTCGGTATACCAAGTTTGAGTGCTTGAGTAGCAACTTCGAGCGCTAATTTGTCAAACAACGTAAAAACTATTCTAGTTTTCGCGCCTCTAAAGCAATTTCTTGGAAGCTGATCTAGAAGTATGATCAAACTGATCCAGTGTAAAGGCGTGCATGGTTTCGCGGCAGCTATGATATCCGCACTACGTGGCTGGATCAGTTTTATCAGCCCCAGCAGAGCACCGAACTTGTCACTGGTAGATTGTAAGCTGGTGTCCACGAATAAGAGGTGGAAGATCACGTGATACATACAGGCATTCCTGATCGTATGCATCACTTTGCGAGAACCATGGCGTTACATCTTCGATGCCAGGAACGATGACGTGTTCGAATTCTAGATGACGGAACCAGAAGTTTGAGATGTTATCGAGGACAGCGTGCGAAAGTACACCTTCGAGTGTGATTTGCTCCATCACAGCTGATCGAGGCCACGAAGGCCGAAGATATCCAGGCGACAGAGAGGTGTCTTTAACTCGAAGATTCTGAAGATTTTCTAAGATCGATGCTATACGTCTCGCATCTCCTGTTGTGTGACGTGTAATGTTAAGTTGATATGTCATCGCGAAAAGGCTGACCTCATCCGTTATTGCAAAGTTCGTCCGCAGCAACCATACCGAAAGCCGACCACCCAAGCTTCATCGGGATGAATTTGCGGACTTGATCACTTTGCCTTCATAGTCGGCCCGATTGTCGGTACGTACAGAACAAAGTTCGTTCCGTTCCGTTCTACAACATCGGAGATCTCTTTTCCAAGTGTCCGGTGATGACTATAGTAGCACGAGGTATTACACACCCGGGCGTTGCCGCAGCTGGACTAAAGCGTAATCATCGTAGGCTTGCGTTTCAGGGTAATCAACTGCGAAATCTCAAGTAGATATGACACATCTTGTTAGTTTCTTGGGAGCGCATTGATCACACTTTGTGTGGATCAACAACTTAGCTTCGTCTGATTGTAATAAAGATCAGAGCTCTACGTAATCCTTAGTACAATCTTACGAGGCCAAAGACGATGAAATTTTGCTAAGCTGTAGTCGGTGAGAGAGAACGACACGACAGCGTATAAAGGGAGCTGGAACCTAAGGTAGACATGCGCTCACTATATGGCATCTTTCGGAAATATTCTACAAGATTAGTTGATGTTCTGCACTCTCTTCGAACATCACTTGATTGTAAATTGTTTGGAGTATCACTCTTTCCGCGAGGAAGCTTACATCAAGATGTCAATCGCTCTGATGTTGTCGATGCCGATAGTGGCATCCCTAACATTCAGCTCGATAGCTTTGAGCCCTCGCTAGCATGAGGTTCCTGACGACCTCATGGAGCGCCGTTCGAAAGCCATAAACATCGATGCGAACACTACTAGAGTGAGAAACGTGGAACTTTCCAGCTCTCATTTTCGCACCAAGTCCATCATAACCATGATAGCTTTGGACGAAATGGGTTCAACAGTTGTTCCATATGGACATCAAATAATCACATACTCATAGGGAAAAGGCGGCTTGAAACAACGCATTGATAGAGCCGCTGGGCTTGGGAAGTACGTAATTCCTCGTGATGAGCTTTATCCATACCCTGATGCTATATTCTAACCCCTTGGGTGTTCGCAAGACCAGCGCTTGAGCCTATGGACTACTCGGTAGTAGTCAAAGATGGCGATGATGGGTTTGCTGCCGTGATCAGGGGTAATCATTCTGTATTTGAGCCATCGGATGCTCCTAAGGCTACCCAGACGGCAAGTCAACTTGTGAGATACCTGTCTTCTGATCTGACGATCATCAGGATACCTCGCGGCGTATATGATTACTGACAGCCACAAGTGGGATTCGCTTTTGATTAGCAAGATGTTGGCTGGTGACTTTACCCTTCGTTCTGAACTAGTTGAAAGTGGTTTGCTTCTTCCAGCAGGTTGTTGATCCCTCCTGACGCATATCAAACTCGCGTTGACTTGCTCCTAGTCTTTGATCAGTCCTTTAACATCTCGGGCCTCTTCGATCCCAATACTTACTTTCCCTTCGCTATCCGCACATACGAGGCTCATCCCTTCTTCGGCCCTTCTACGAATGATTTGCGAGTGTACGACTATATCCGTGTCAATGGACTAATGAGACCGTGTCATTTTAAGATTATATACAATGATAAGCGCCTGTTACCGACTTTGTTGCGGATGAGATATTCGTCAATTTTGAAGTCGAACCATCATTCTTTGACGTCTCGGCAGAGTGTAGAACTCTAAACATATCCGTTGTTGATCCTGCGCTGACTGCCTATATCGGAGAGAAGTACGCCAAATACCTATGGTTTGGTCGATTCAACTTCACAGTTATGGATATCGATGCACAACAACCCTCCACAGATATGCCAGGGGTGCGGGTGATCTGAATGCCTGGCGTCGCAACTTATCGACAGATACTGCTCGAGACCGACAACTATGTTGTTGTTCTAGATGCTCCAAGTGATCAGGCGTTGATCCTACTGAAATGGGTTAGGTTCAATATCGGAAAGCCACTTTCACAAATTTGGGTAAGTAGACCCCGATCATTGGGCTATAAACCATGTCTTCTCATTATTTCTGACTCTGGATAGCCTACAAACCATCATCATGATCATGCGTTAGGTTTTCGAAGCTTTGTCGAGAACGGAGCTGAGGTTGTCGTCCCTAAGATGGCTCAGTCATACCATGCCGAGATTCCTGGAGCTGAGTTCGTGACCTGTGAGTGTGTACAGTTTGAAGATATTTGCAGATGAAGAGCTAACATATCGTAGACGCAGTGCGCTTTACGTTGTTCAGACAAGCGATTTCAGCGCTACATTCATCCACGTTGAGGGTAGCATTCATGCTCAAGACCATAGCGTCACCGTGATCATGCCTGCCTGCCCCACCAATGACAGCACTGTTGTAGTGTTCGGTGCCGATCATGTAATTCAGACGCAGCTGATGGCAACTCATAACGACCATGACGAGCTCAGCCAGCTTGTTAATGCCATGATAAAGCATCGTGTTGCCAAGTCAGCGTTGTGAGTTTCCGACGCGCCTTTCGTTCAGACAGTCACTTACTTCTTGGGTGTAGGCTTGTCCCTGTTCATGGTGAGCTGTCGAACATGCCTGCTATCTGCAACAGCATGGAATACTTATTTCCCGAGTGCAAGTCACTCGATTTTGGGTACCCGAGTAATGATTGCACAGCCTGATGGGCTGTTTTGAAGGGATGGTGACACGGTCAACCCTTTATCTGAGCCTTTGTTGCTAGTGCCAGCTCTTTCGCAAGAATATGACTTCTACTAATGCGTGCTGATGGAGGCATCACGCGGAGGTTGATAGTCGGTTGTGGACATAAACTCGCTATCGGGTCACTGTACACAATCCGCGCTAGCCGCAATTATAACCTCAGCGTCTCTGCACTGTGCTATGCTGAGCCATGCGCCAAATAAAGAGGACTTGCAGAAGATTTTTCCGGTGCTCCATGCGACGGTTGAGCTTACGTTTTCGACAACAGTCCGCAGGAAGTCGTTGGTGGGTTGCATAGGCTATAGACGAGGCGGGGAAAGGTTGGGCGCCTAGCCACACTTTACCGCAACCAGCATCTCATCCGCACTAGTCCTTCACGCATCTACATATCATTGGTGGGTCATAATCTGGGGGTTATGCATCCAGAACTATCTTGATAACAATTATGTCAGAAAGATGGCGAAGTTTCCTATCTCAACCCTGGGAGAGGCTCATCCAATGATGAACTCGTGATCGCTAGCGATTCGTCTGAATGTCAGAAAGCGAGTGCGTTCATATATAAAAGGGTATATCCATATGATGTAATCTCTCGTCTGGCTCATTCTCCTTTACATATCTCGACATGGTCGATATCCTGCATGAATCAGTACTTGATATGTACTCCATGAAGGGAAAAGTGACCGTGGTCACCGGTAAACTCTCCTTCAACAAATGACATGGCCAAAATTCCTCAAGCTACTGACACAGATGTAGGTGGCGCTCGTGGCATCGGATTGGGACTTGCTGAAGCCGTTGCTGAGTTGGGCAGTGACGTCGCATTGCTTGATCTTTCTGCTCGACCGTCTGAGGATTTAAAAGCTCTCGAAAAAAAGACTGGTACAATGTGGGTGTATTATGAGACGGACGTAACAGACCGGGAAAGCCTGAAAGGGGCCATGAATGCTGTAGTGCGCACATTTGGGCGTATCGACAACTGGTATGTACATATGTAAAAGATTATTGGCCTTTTGGTCATTGACGCTATACAGTATCTGTGCTGCGGGCATTGCGGCTGACATGCCATTTTTTGAACATGGATGGGATCAATGCCAGAATATTCTGAACGTGAACGTAACTATGATTCTCCTTCAGACAGCTGTACAAAGTCCCAAAGTTGACAATACACAGGTCATGGGAACGTTCTTTGCTGCGCAAATAGCCGCCGAACTCATACGCGTCCATGGTGAAGGTGGCTCTATCCTTTTCTTGTCCTCGCAAACAGCTCACAGCACGACACCCAGAGAGCACACAAGCATGTACGGCGCCTCCAAAGCTGCAGTGAAGTCGCTTGCTATGCATCTGGGTGTTGAGCTTGCACCATACAAGATCCGAGTCAACAGTCTCTCCCCAGGATATATCGAGACGGAGATGGGCCGTGCGGCAGCCGAGGCAAATCCAGCAATGAAAGATGTGTTTGAGAAAGCGCCACCATTGGGAAGACGTGGGCAGGTGAGTGATCTGATTGGTCCTGCAATATGGCTACTGAGCGATGCGGGCGCCTGGACCACAGCTACGGACGTTCTGATAACTGGAGGATTGCATGGTGGTAGCATGCATCTCAAAGTATGAGCACTGAGAGATAAGCTGCCAAATGTTAGATTGCTCCTCAATGAAGGATTGCACATCATACCAAGATGTCGCCTTATCTCCATCTCCCTGATTTCTAGTCCTCTTTTCTATTGTTCGACCTTTCACTCACGTGAGTCAACTCTTCACCTACATCGCTCTCAACCCTCTGCGAGTTCTGGTCCAACTGTGGGCTTGCTCAGTAAATCGTTGTCAAGAGCAGTGCGATACTTACCCAATGAACAGCTGCAGTCGCAGCAAAGAAAGCGAAGACGACCACGATCATTGTGATATAACCCTTCTTCCAATAAGGTGCGTCGCTTGCTGGGTAAAGCGCAATGCCCCAAAACGTGTACAAGATCGACTGCACCATACTCATGATGTAAAGAATGACCGATCGAGATGCGTCGTCACCACCGCGCTGAGATATAACGCTAGCCCACCCATATAGAATAGGGTTTACAATGTATGAGGTACCGGCCAAGTAGAATGCGAAGAATGTTCCAGCAGTGGAGAGACTGGGTATGAGCAAGAGAATTGCGACGAGTAGCTGCAAAAGTCCAGCTAGTATGACCATCGGTATGCGGCGATTGGTCATGTCAATAACATAGCCTGCCCCGATATTGGAGACAATGGAGACTGCCTGGATACCTAGCGGGTAGGTCGTCGTGGCATGCGAAGGAAACTTTCCAATGTTCTCTTTCATCCATAGCAGAAAAAGGCCTTGTAGAACAATGGCTTCCAGTGCACAGGCTACCGCAGAGTAAAGAGTGAATATGTAGACATCTGGCTTTGCAAAGAGTCGTTTGGCGAGGGACCTAAGGCTGATGTCATGGCTCCAGTCTTTCTTTGGTGGCAAGCGGTCAACTGCTAGCTGTATCTCCTCTTTACTGAGATATGGAGCGTGCGTAGATTCTGGCAGGTTGGGAAAGAACATGAGTCCAAAGATACCGAAGGGAATACCCATAGCGCCGTCTTACACTTTTTCAGTGATGTCGCGTAACCTTGAGGTTGATACTCACTGATTATAAACACCCATTGCCACCCTTTCAGAGAGGTCTGACCATGCAGACTCTCATTCATCGCTGTCATCATCACCCCAGCAAACATGCTGCCTATTTGTCCAATGGCTGTAAAGATGGCCGTTCGTTTGGCGATTTCTAGAGGTTTGTACCAACTACCGAGTATGTAAATAGTGCCACTGTAGAGACTCGACTCAAAAAGGCCTTGGAAAAACCGAACCACACATAGCTGTGTATAGGTCTTACAGGCCGCAGAGCTCATCGTCAGCCCAGACCATACTAAAAGTGTGAAGGGCAACCAGAAACGCGGCGCAAGTTTCTGGATGATCAAAGCATGAGGGATTTGCCCTACACAGCTACCTGCAGTGAACATGGAAAGCAAGATGCTGTATTGGTTCCCCCCAAGTCGAAGATCCTCTTTCAGTCCAGATACATAGGCATTTGCGAAAGCACTGCGATCGAGGTAGTTGAAGAAGTATGCAGCGCAGCAATACACCTGGTATATTGTTAGTTGCCACTAAGTGTAGTGGCATGTTCTCCCCACCAGTATGAAGCAATCTGCTGTTGATTAGATGTCTGACATCGGGAAAGGTAAAGCCCTCGTCTGACGCACCGAGTTTGCGAACAAGTCGCTTTTCGAGATCTGCCATGTTTTCGAGACGTGTGTAACCAGTCAAAACACGATAAGAGCGAAGCATGTCCGTTGCGTCCTCATGGTTCCGTTGAGAAACGAGGCGAAGTGGAGCGGTCCACAGCGATAGGACCTTGGTGGCCGCTAGCGAGCCAATGACGTTATAGTTTTTGGTAAGCAGCAGAAAGATTCCGCCATTGCTGGCATAATTTTGGTGTGCACGCGCAGTTTATGAATGGTGCAATTTGATCATATCCGCCTGAAGTAGATGGGCTTACCATGGTGGGGGCTGATGAGGTTGGTCTATAGCTTACATCCATGGGTCATCAAAACGCCGAGACTCAACGAAGGCAATGCATTGATAAGCGAAACTGACAAGCGTAACATGAAGTAGCATTGGAAACGTTCAAGCAAGGTTTACTTTTTGCATTAGGATACCAATCGCGACATGGCTACTTCGGTGCACACTGTCTCCCCTACGGGGCCACACACCTGCACCGTTATCTTCCTTCATGGACGTGGTAGTAACGGTGGCGTTTTCTGCGAAGAGCTTTTCGAAAGTCAAGAAGGATCAGGACAATTTTTTGTCGACATATTTCCTGGCATTAAATGGGTATTTCCTAGCGCTGCAGGATTCTTTGATAAGAGTGAAGACGAGTTCCAATGGTTCGATATGTCATCAGTTCAGCGGCCACAGGACAACAGCGAGATACAAAAACCAGGATTGTGGCGAAGCGTCGCGCAGGTTCTTCAAATCATCACGGAAGAAGCGGGTATTGTTGGAAACCAAAAGCTGATACTTGCGGGTATGAGTCAGGGATGTGCTACTGGTATCTTTGCTCTACTAGCCTCTGGGTTGCGGGTTGGGGGATTTGCAGGGCTGAATGGATGGCTGCCGCTGGCAGAGGAGGTACAGAGCGTCATGAATGTGCCTGGTCGAGAGCAAGATGTGTTGAAGATGCCAGTGCTGTTACAGCACTGCAAAGACGACGATGTTGTACCCGTCGAACATGGAAATGATCTTAGGAAACTGCTTGAAGAATTAGGCATGTGCGTCAGATGGGAGTGCTTCGATCAGGGTGGGCATTGGCTCAATGAGCCTCAAGGTATGGACGGCCTGGTGGAGTTCATCAAATCGGTCTTAAGAGCTATGTCAGCCAGGGAGAGAAAACAGCACTAAGATTCTGTGATTGGCAGCGACATCCAGTGTCAATTTCTCATTACCCTCGTCAACAACCTAGGCCTCTACAGCAAAGTCTTGCCAGCCCTCAAGGCTTCGAGATCCGCCATGGTAAACCGGACGTATCGATTCTCGCCTGGTTTCATCCACATGACTACATCATTGCCACCTCCCACAACCTTGGTGCCAAACTTATCGATCTCCATGCCTTCTTCACGCAAAGGCGCCTTGTTCTGCTTCTGGTTGTCTGTGTTGCTCGCTTCCTTCACTAGACGCAAGAATAGCGGTACCGCGTATCTCGGTAGTTTGCTTCTGGAGTAATCCAGCAAAGCTTTCCAATCAAACGTGTCGGGACTAACACCATCAGCGAGCCGTAAGGCTACGCAGCCCGCGCGACCATCATGCCTAGGGACTAGGGTTCCATATACGATAGCTTCGCCTACACCGGGATATTTCCCGAGAACCTCTGCTACCTCGGCTGTCGACACATTTTCGCTCTTCCATCTGAAGGTGTCACCTAGTCGATCCAGGAAGTACCAGCGTCCATCGTCGTCCCGTCTAAGTGCATCACCAGATCGATAGTACAGATCACCCTTCTGGAACACGTTCCTTTCGAATTTTTTAGCTGTAGCTTTCGGGTTGTTGTGATATCCAGCAAATGCTTGTTCATTCGGTACCGCGACCAGGATCTCTCCACCTTTGTTGTAAGAGTTGCGCTTCACGAATCCAGTCTTAGGGTCTCGTAGAAGCTCGCCAGTTTCCGGGTCAATGGGCACAGGTACGTAGATGTTGTTGAGAGCTCGCCTGATGATAGCGCCGTGCTGAGCAACAGTTGTCGCTGTGAATGGCCCTTTACTATGAACCACCATAGCCAGAACGCCCTCGGTAGAATTGAAGAACTCGATGACTTCTGGGACGTTGAACCGCTCCTTGAACCTGTTCCACACGTCCGGGCGCATACCATTGCCGTACATGGCGCGTAGTCGATGGTCTCGTTCTCTCGGATGTGGTGGCGCCATGAGCAGATACCGCGCTGCTTCGCCGACATAGACGAAAACAGTGGATTGAGAGTCGTGGATATCATCCCAGAAAGTGCTCACTGAAAACTTCCGCCCTATTGCCACGCTCATCCCAGCGGTCAACGCGCCCATTACCGCTAGGCCCCCCGTACCATGAAACAACGGCATGCAACAATACCATCGATCTCCATCTGGACCTGCCTTTTGGTCGAACGTCAGGTTTTGCGGATTTCCTCGTTCGTGATAACGATTTACCATGAACTTTCCTGCTTTTGGCAATCCTGTTGTTCCCGATGTGTACAAGAGACACGTTGGATCGGTACCAATGACATTCTCTCTGTACTCATCACCTGGCACTTGAGTACTGCCCTGATATACCTTGCTTGTCAACTCTTCGTCGACCTTGAAAGCCGTTACACCCATCTCTTCCACTGTTGCCCTCACGCCTTCGAACCTCTCCATACACCCCTCTTCCTCGTCAACAAGCACAATCTTTACACCCGCGACTTTAAGGCAATGCACCAAACCCTCTCCCTTGAGGTTGTAGTTAAGATGAGCAGGTGCACACCCGATACAAAAGAGACCAAGCCAGATGACCATGAAGTCTGCGCTGTTCATCATATAAGTAGCAACCATATCTCCCGGTTTCACGCCTTGTGTCAAAAAGAAGTTTCCCCATTGGACGGCGCGATCGTGAACTTGTTGCCAAGTGTAAGTTTTGTCGCGGGACCAGATGCATTGATTATTACTGTAAACCGGGACATGCGGAGCAAAGGAGTACCATAGGGACTGCCGTTTAGTCCTTACTGTATTGATTTAGCTTCGAGAAGAGACATTACGTATGTCATACGATCAAGCATAGCTGATGGAGGATGATACATACCTAGTTCCTCATAGTAGCCAGCCGCTCTTTTCTTAAACCTCAGTGCCCTCAGATCCTGTCCAATGTGGTATTTGCCGTTGACGTATGCTGCTAGCCCGGAAATAGCTGCCACAGATGCAGCGGCCGCCGTTGCATCCATGTTTTCTTGAGTAGAATCTTCTTTTTCCTGTTCTCAAAAGGATGTAAGGTTACAGTGGGAACGCAGGACAGGAAGAAAGAAGCTACAGGTTAAGGAGAAAGTTCAATGTTTGGCTATGATCTTCACAATTGCCCGTCGTCGGTCCTACCACTGGGCATGGAGCTAATGAGATGCCGAGGTTCGAGTCAGTACTGTGGATACAGCTTGACGCCACGACGCGTAGTGAGTGCGGGGTGACCTAGCGCGTCGGACAATTGATTGTACGTCGGTTACATGTCTTTGGATAATTTTTTGCGAGACTTGGAGCGAGGCTTCCAAAGGATGAGCTTGTTCTACATGAGCTTGTTGAAGTGATTTTCGAGCGCGACAAGAGGGCATACTGCCGATCATGACTTCGACAGCGTCAGACCGAGCGATCCTTGCATGGCAGCACACTGGAAGAGATCCTTTCTCAAGCGGGAAAGCGCATATGCTCAGGTATGAGTTTCTTGATATTATGATACAATTGCAGCGCGTGGTTTTCAGCGAAGAATGCGTCTTTGCTGTATCCTCCACATGTGTCCTGACTGGCTACTGTCGTTATCCTACTTGACCGTCTTCTTCTCCTTCTTGTTGATGTTTTCCGTTCCAGGGGGAACTTTTAGTCCTCCAAATACCAATGCACAGACTCCGACCATGCCGGCGGCTCCGGTTGCGTATGCTGTTTCGCGGCCCGTCCACCAGTACAAAGTGCAGAATATGAGGGGTCCTAGAGAACGACCGATTTGACCTGGCTCACGTCAGCAGACAGTTTGAGTGATGCGATACTTTGACTTACCAAAGCTTCGATGATTGCCCAGCTTATTGCCTCGCTCATCGGCGCTCGCCTCAAAAGACGAGAGACTGTTGAGACCAGTGACGACAGTCGCGCTCGTTACTGCAAGAAGTGCGGCCGCTCCATACAGTGCGCCCTGTGTTTGAACCCTTCCAAGCATGAGAAACGCAATTGTACAGCTGACCACTCCCATCTGAACCACCTTCAGAGGGTGCATCCGCCGCACCACCGACCCTTGTAGTAGGGAAGCAACTAGGCCAATAAAACCAAGTAATCGACCAGAGTCCTTCGCCTGATAAGAGAAGAGATCGTAAGTCATAAACGGAAGCGAGAATTCCATGCCGCTGAAGAAGAGGATAAAAGTAAAATGTGTCGCGTTGAGTAGATAATGCGAGTTCGTGCGAACACGAGGATTCGGTGCTTCACTGCTTTTGCCATGTCCGTTTGCTGTGCCGTTCTGAGCCTTGTTCGCCGAAGGTAGCGTCTCCGGGAGACTGGTGTACAGGTAGATGGTTTCCGAGATGATCAGGAATAGAGAGAAGCCTGCTGCCATGGCAAATGGGTTCTTGTCCATGACCTGCAATGTGGACAGGTATGCGCCCAATGCCGGGCCGAACGTGAAGGCGATGCTGAAGCACACGCCGACGAGCGCCATGGTCGCGCCTCTCTGGCTGTCGTCGCTGATGTCGGTCGCAATAGCCATTGCAAGCTGCACATTGCCCTCGCTCAGGCCTCCCACAACGCGACTGGCAAGGAACGTCCGGAAATCGGTCGCTGCAACCCACAGCGCTACGCTGAAGATGTTGCCCACCATAGACCACAGAAGCGCCGTGCGCCTGCCATATTTGTCTGAGAGCGTCCCGATGAAGGGCGAAGCGATAGCCTGGCACAGAGAGAACAGTGATCCGAGTGCGCCGCCGAGCAGGACTATGTCGTAGCGGGAGTTGATAGGTTTCGCGAAAGAGTTCTTGTATGCATTGAGACCAGCGAGAATCTTGGAAAGGATGGTGTTAGGGTCTCCCGTCTCGTGGTTGCGGTAAAATTCGATAAGTTTGGGAAACAGCGGAAGGATGAAGGTGAAGGATATCTGCATGTAAGGGGTGGTCAGCCCATGCGAGCGGTTACACGCGACGGAAGATGACGTACCAAGTCTAGCAGCAGCGAAATGAATAGCACTTTCAAGACCCTCTTTCGCAGAGTCGAAGACACCGGAGTCGTTTCGGATCCCATGTTGAAGATGTGCGATGGTTATCCAGCCCAGTCGCAAGAGCCCCCGAAGTAGCGAATGGAGATGTGGACACAAGTAATCGGCGGCAGCTGTCTGGTTAAAAGCAGCGCAGCGATCGGATAGAGGGGGCAAGGTCTAGGTCAGCTCGGACTGCAAGCCCTCATCTAATGATTGACTAGAAATAGAACAGGTTGCGAGTTATAGTCATTGGTGGCAAGCGCCGAAGTGTATTCGGGTCATGACGAGGTTTGGCCGTTCGCCTGTGGCTCCGTTTTGTGAAACAGGCGCGAGCGCGAGGTGGAACATGTGGGCACGAACCACATACATGAAACAACACAAGGAAGTATATGAGGCGACTAAGGCACTGAAGCCCACAAGTTCAAGAGTCATTGTGTGGGCATGTCGTGAATAGGAGAAATGGCTTTTGCGAGCGTACGATGGCCTGAGCAGGTGCTCTGGGCGGGAAGCTCAAGTTGAGAAGCCGAGGCAATGTGTAGCTTCATGTCGATCATCAATCCGCAGCATCACCCGACTACGCCAATAGTTTGGTTGTAAACGGGGAGTCTCCCGACATTCCAAATGGTCTACGGAGAAGCTCGTTGTCTTAATTCAGACCACTAACGCGACGACGTATCCCCAAAGTATACGCTGTGATTCATTCTATTGGATTACCAACGGAGATCACCGCAAGCACCCCGAGGTATCCTCTACACCCACCGCCCAAGCGGAACGAGCCTCTTCATAGTAGGGAGTAGTCTCAAGCAGATTCTCTCTAGTCCCGAATCCACCATGGGCGACCAACAAGCAAATCGGCAAAAGGCAATGGCGGCCGTACATGCAATGTTCGAAAAGTACAAGTTGCTTGCAGCCCGCAGGCCCAAGGACCATGTCGTATGCAACTACTCAGGTCAATGGAAGAACTGTCGTTGATCATGTCTAGGACTTTGACCGAGAAGTCATGTTGAATCTGGAGCTCGTGGATGCAAGCCTCGATGGCACAGTTACTTATGAACTCGTCATTGGACCCAACTTTTCGAACTTGAACAGTAGGTGCTGTTCCTCGGGTACTATGACAACTGGGTACTGAAGTGCAGCAGATGTTATGCATGGAGGCGCCGCCGGTGTTATATTCGACATGTCCACGACGACGGCTCTTTGTCCTCTTGCTCGGCCCGGGTTCTGGGAATTCATGGGCGGCGTAACTCGTTCTCTCAACATGTCCTATCTCAAGGCGGTGCCCATCAACACCAGGGTGCGACTCAATAGCAGAGTGGTAAGTGTGGGCAAGCAGATGGCTATGATCCGCGGCGACATGACCAGCCTGGATGGCAAGACAACATACTGCACAGTGGAGCACCATAAAGTGAATGCGCCTGTGGTCAAAGAGCATCTAGATGTAAGAACAGCGTGGGATGAAGCATTCGCGAGGGAATGGAAAGCGAAGGGCGTGACGGAAGTGAAGAGCAAAATATGATGAAGTCGCCCAGGCCCAAGGCCGAGACATGCATTCTGGATACTTGATTCATCATGACTATTGCCAAAAGTGATGTTGCGAAGCATTGGCCTACTTCCTCTTGTTGAACTTCTTGGACTCTGCACTGGGTCAGTATCTCTCGCAAGATGCGTCTCCAAGACATGGGTCTTACCAGCGGCGGTCCTCTTCTTCTTGGGCGCACCCTTTCCTCTCGACTTTGCAACGTTGAGATGCTCCAACCAGTCTTCCTCCTCTTCGTCGATAATCTGGTGTTCGGGGTACAGGCTGCGCAACTGGCTGATGGTTCCTATCCGCGGCGGGTAGTAGGATGCGACGGCGGGACCCTTGAGGCGCTGGTGGAGGATGCGCGATCCTAGACGAAGGCGTTCGGGGTTGTATGTGGTGTTGAAGACCTTGCATTGAACCTGATCCAGTCAGTGCGCCGCGCACAATGCCCTTGGAGCAGGCGTCACCTACCCTCATCAGGTCCAGCACCCGCTGCCGTGGTACTGCCATGGTGGATGCGATGCTCGACTGCGGCGTTGCGGCGAATCTGAAATGTCGCGGAGGTGCCCTTGGCGCTCGCGACTAGCGCGGCTGAACATGTCACCAACTCTCACCACGCGAGACTGCTGCTGCCACCAAACTCACCATGACATCACAGAAACGGGGCGGAGGCTTCAACCACTATGGCCGCGACCAGCATCACAAGAAGCACCAGCCTCAGCATCGCAATGGCGCAGGCTACAACACTAACCCATCGGCGCCTGAGCTGTCTTCCAAGGACATGCAGACGGGCCTGGTAGCTCTGTTGGACAGGTTTGTCGCTCATGAAACCACCATGGGTGCGCACAAAGACATTCTCCACCATGCGCACCAACTGCGCCGGCTGCTCTGCGCCCGAAACGATTCAGCCTCTGCCACAGCGAAGCGCGAGCTTGACCAAAAGAGGCCTGACAAGGCAGTCAAGGTCGCCGTACCCGCTTACGTCGAGCGAACAGTACGGGTCGCCCAACATCTGCCTCCCCTCCCACCCATCAACGAACCCCATCTCCACGAAGCCGTTTTCACTCATCGCTCTGCCATCTTCGATCCCAGCATTCCAGGCTCAACGCTCGGCGAGGACCTCAGTCTAGACTACGAACGACTCGAACTACTAGGCGACGCCTATATCGAACTCATCGCCTCCCGCGCTCTCTACAACCGCTTCCCACATGTCGACGTGCCAGAACTATGCATGTGGCGCGAACGGCTAGTCGAGAATGTGGCCCTGGCCAAGTTCTCCAACGCCTACGGTTTTCCAGACCGACTGAAGCACCGCGCCGTGTGGGACAAGAACTCCAAGCAATACCAGAAGGTAGTCGCTGACATCGTCGAAGCCTATGTTGCAGCCGTCGTGCTGTCAGACCCAGAGAACGGATTCGAGGCTGCCGAAGCATGGCTTACTGAGCTTTGGGCACCACAACTTCTAGGCTTCAGGGAGAAGATTATCGAGAACCCTCAGGCTAGAGACGAGCTGAACAAGCTTGTGCTCGGCAAAGGCGTCAAGCTCCTTACCAAAGAGGAGAGGCCTATGACATACGACTCCAACAGCGTGCAGTGCTACCATATCGGCATCTACCTTACTGGCTGGGGCTACAAGGACGAATGGCTCGGAAGCGGTGATGGCCAGAACAAAGTGCAAGCCGGTGTTGCCGCGGCTGCCGATGCCCTGAAGCGGAACGGTCCGGTCTTGCAGGACGCTGTACGGCAAAAGAATGAGCTGAGAGCGGCACGGCTGAAAGAGCAAGAGAAGAAGGAAAATGCTGCAGGGGGCACTGAGCAGCAAGCAACCCTTGATTCCAAAGAGTCGAATGGCAAAGCAGAAGTGTCAGACGAACAGGGTAACAGTGAAAAGAAGCGGAAAAAGGGTGAAGACGATACCTTACACGAGAAGAAAAAGCACAAGAAAGATAAGGAGAAAAAGCGCACAGCCGCAACTGATGATGACAGTTCCTAGATCACATCCATGAATGTCCTTGAGCAGAGCCTTGCTAAGGGTATCAATTCGTTAGGTGACCGGAGAGATGTTTCAAGTAGACGATGGCCAGGTAGGTAGGTAGCCATCAAGATTTCTTCTTCGAGTTGATGTTTTGGCGACACCCGTCAACAATTTTGCCGGCTATTCGGCTCTCCGTTTATCGCGGCACGTTTTATCGGTGAGAAGCTGAGTCGCTAAAAGGTAATGCCCTTCATCCGACATGTGTCTAGGAAGACATCGTGGTTCACCGGAGCGTATAGACTACCTTATCTGCTTCTAAGCTAGATAGATGGGCAGGTACACTGCAACCAAAGTCTCAGCAGCCAGTAGTATAGCTCAACCATGAAGATTTTATTCTCATCATCCATCGTAGGCCCAACTATAGCCTAGCGTGTTACGCACATGTTCGCTTTTGACTGCAAGTCTCTGGTATGCCCGCCTTGAACGCCATGTAATTCCCTTGGATTCTCTCTACTTCTTCAGTGCTCGGCCCGCAATGTCCTTGCGGTACTGCATGCCGTCAAAGTGTATGCACTCCACGCCCTTGTAAGCCTTCGCAACAGCCTCCTCCAGTGTCGGCGCAGTGGCCGTCGATGCGATGACGCGACCACCAGCTGTTTTGAGCGTGTTGTCGGAGAAAGAAGTTCCAGCGTGGAAAAGAACGACATCTGTACCGTGTCAGCATGGTCACGCGACTCCATCATCGCATGTAAGAGAAAACTCACCCTCTGGCACAGCATCCAACTTCATGACTGTGCCCTTTGCGTAGCTTCCAGGGTATCCACCTGCAGCTACAACAACCGTCGCCGCACTCTTGCTCGAGACTTTGACGTCCACATCCTTCAACTGTCCGTCTGCACACGCAGCCATGACTTCAGCAAGATCGCCTTCCATGAGCGCAAGTAAACTCTGTGTCTCGGGGTCGCCGAAACGAACGTTATATTCCAATACCTTGGGTCCGTTCTTGGTCATCATAAGCCCAGTGAATAGTACACCCTTGAACTCAAAGCCTTCGGATCGCATGCCATCAACGGTGGGCTGGAGGATGTCCCTGTCTACGCGCTCGAGTACGTCCTTGGGCGCGATGCGTGTTGGCGCGTACGTTCCCATTCCTCCAGTGTTCGGTCCCTCGTCGTTGTCGAAGATACGCTTGTGGTCTTGTGCTGGTGGTAGGGACTTGATGGTGCGGCCATCGCTGAACGTAAGGATGGACAGTTCGTCGCCCTCCAAAAACTCCTCGATGACAACCTCGTCACCCGCAGTTCCGAATTCCCGTGTCAGCATGATGTCTTTGAGTGCTGCATGTGCCTCCTCTTTGGTCTGTGGTATGATGACACCCTTGCCTGCTGCCAGACCCGAAGCCTTGATGACGACGTTGTGTGAGATGGAGTCGAGGTACGCTTTTGCGTCGTCGTACCTGCTGAAGTTCTCGTACGCGGCGGTGGGGATGTTGTGTCGCTTCATAAAATCCTTGCTGAATGTCTTGCTGCCCTCCATACGTGCGGCAGCCTTGCTTGGTCCAAATGCCTTGATGCTCTTGAGACCATTCTCCTGGAAGTAGTCGACGATGCCTGCTACGAGTGGTGCTTCAGGTCCTGGTATTAACAGATTGACATTCTTCTCCTTTGCGAAGTTGACGAGACCGGCAAGGTCGGTGTCCTTTACGTCTATTACGTTGGTGACTTTGCTGTTCAGCGTCGCGGTACCGCCGTTACCGGGGCAGACGTAAATGTGCTCGATCTTGGGCGATTGTAGAAGTTTCCAGGCGATGGCATGTTCGCGGCCGCCGTTGCCGACAAGTAGGACGCGGAGTGATTCAGACATTGTGTTTGCTGTATAAAAGGTCTAGTCGTATCTTGAAGATGTTTGCGACTGGAAATTTTTGGGAGCGGAAGCGGAACCCCGCCGTGGGGTAAGCGTGCAGGGATCAGCGGGAGTGTGAGGTCACCCTCAGCCCTGCCCGTTCCCTTGCCAACTACGAAGTGGCGGTGTTACTATAGTAGGTCATAAGAACCTGGCTTTTAATTGACGTATCGCATTCCATTGGAGAACAAACCAGACTACGGGGTATCGATCTAAGAATGATGTACACACGCAAGATTGCGCGCTGCATAGTATGGCAACCCAAACTCCATGTCTACACGACGATGGATCTGCCTTCGTACAGTCGTCCAGAAGACTGCTTGCACCTGCATTTACACCCGCAGCCTTTCTTCAGAGAATCATACCAATAGTCCTTTAGGCTGGCGTCAAGCTGGAGTATCTGGATAGAACCAAGGATATAGATAATCTGCCGCCTTGTGCTCTCTTCGTGCGTCGCAAACCAGTAGAGCATGAAGATGGAGATGGATCTCAACAACATCCATGTGACATGGTAAAGAAGGTAGCCGATGACAGACGACCATCCGTTTTGCTCGCACTTTGTAGAGCATTGTTGCGTATTGGCTGTATGGCCGGAAGCGCTCCTTGTTGATTGCTGATGCAGTTTGCTGAGGGCGTCGGGTTCTGACAATCTCCGTCGTACGGCACCTGGCATAAAGTCACATCAGCCCAGGCCGTTGTGATTCTGTTTTGCCTTCATGAAGAGCTGACCTAGCACATCGTTTTGCGCTGGGCCAGGACTCGGTATGTATCCTTGCTGCTGCTGATGCATGCTGGGCATAGGGTGGGTGTTGTGGTTGTGGATGCTGAAGCCGGCGTCTTGCTCGCGCTGTTGACCGAAGAGTTCTCGCAGCGACAGTTGGCGACCCATGGGGACAGAGGACGCGGCTTCGGCGGCTTCGGTCGCCTTGGCAGTGGGCTCAAGGGCTTCGCGACTCGCTCTTGCCTTGTCGGCAATATCCATCATCTTTGCGGCAGTCTCGACACGGCAGTTTGCGGTGGAGGCAGGCGGCGGGTCGGCGAAGATCCAGATGCCGTAGACGTGCTCGCCCTGGATAATGACATAAGGGTCTGATATCTCCATCTCTTCGCTGCTGGTGAGCTCCTGGTAGAAGTTGTCTAGGCCGCGGCGGTTGAGAATGATGGCGCAGTATCGCTCAGCGCCGATGGGTGAGGGGGTGAGCTGGCAGATGAAGAGCGTGCCCTCAATGCCCATCTTCTCCCATGATTGCGTTTCGAGGTTGAAGGTATACAGGGCGGCATACGGGGTGACATGCTCGATGGATAGCAGATGGGCGTACTGGCGACGGAGGACGGAGAAGTTGAGCTCTTCGTTGGACCGCGGAGGTGGGAGGGGCACGTCGACGGCAGGCGGCGCGTCTGTCTCGTAGTCTGACGGCTGTGGCGGCGGCTGGGGCTGGTTCGCGCGGGCTTTGCGGTGTGGCGCCATGTCTGGGTGAGGATGTGGTGGTGGTGGTGGTGAAGGAGAATGGGCGCTCCTGCATGCAGCCTGCGCGGCATGTCGAGGAAAGCTTGGGCCTGTCATCGCACCGCCATAGCATGGCCCTGGCCCTGGCCCTGTCCGCGCCTTCACCATCGTCATTGCTAACAGCGGCCTGTGGCTCAACTGCCCGCTTAATCACACCAAGTCGTCACTATGGGGCGCCCGCGCCTTCACTCACGCAAACCCTGCATCCCCTCCCTGCAACCCCCCATCCTTCTGCCCTCACCCCGCCATGGCGCCCGAAGCAGCCTCTTCTGTGCGCTCCACCGAGCGCCTGGAGGCGAGCATCCCTGGCGCTTTCCTTGATCCGCGCACTCCGAGCATAGCTTCCATCACCACGCACCAGACGTCCCTCTCGCAAGCCCTCTACGAGCGCCGCGCCGAATACACGCGACCGCGCAATGTGCGCATCAAAGTCGGCACCTGGAACACGGGCGCCCAAAAGGGCACCGAGCACGACATCGGCAAGTGGTTCGTCCAGGGCAAGGGCATTGAAGAGTCGCTCGCTGGGCTCGGCGTGTCTGACCCTGGGGAGCACGGCAAGGGCGGCAGAGAGAGCGTTCCAGCGCAAGAAGCACGACATAGCACGCGGGAGCCGACTGTCCCTCACCGCGAAGCAGGCGAGATCCCGGGTGGACAGGACATCGATATCTATGCGCTTGGCCTGCAAGAGATTGTCGACATCACATCCGCCGCAGAGGCTCTGAGACCGTACACCGACCCCACCACGGCCAACAAATGGAAAGCGTCGCTCGAGGCTATTCTGCCCAAAGGTTATCAGCTGGTTTCCGAGCAGCAGCTGATTGGCCTATGGCTGGTCATCTATGTCTCCCCAGAAATCGTACCGCAGATCAAGAATGTCAGTACCACGAGCGTGGGTACTGGCTTGATGGGCTACATGGGCAACAAGGGTGCTGTAACAACACGCATAGTCTTGGGAGAGACGACGCGACTTGTCTTCATAAACTCGCACCTGGCTGCTGGTGCAGACAAGGCATCCTTGGACAGGAGGAATTGGGACGCTGCTCAGATCAACTCCCGAACGCGCTTCGACCCCATCGTTGACGCCTTGGGATCTTCGCAAAACACAGGTGAGAGTCTGGGTGAAGAAGACTTTGCCTTTTGGTTCGGCGACCTAAATTATCGTCTCAACGGTATGCCAGGCGACGACGTGCGTCGCCTGCTCACGATTCACACAAAAGACATGGACAAAGAAGGAGACCATGGTCGGTCGTCTACATCTGGTGATTCTGCATATGGCTCAAAGCATTCGTCTGAGGATACGCGCGACGCCGTTCCCGAGCCAGCAGAACTCGATCCCGCTTCACTGCAAACCACCATCTCGTCGCTGCTGCCGCACGATGAATTGCACCAGATGATGAAAGGCGGCAAGGCTTTCCACGATGGGTGGGAAGAGGGCCCTGTCCGGTTCCTGCCGTCCTACAAGTATGACATCGGAAAGGTTGGCGTCTTTGACTCGAGCGAGAAGCGCCGCTGTCCCAGTTGGTGCGATCGCATCCTCTACCGGACACGAGCATCTAAACAGCAATATGACAGCCGGGTAGAGGATCAAGAAGCAGCGCGCAAACACGATGAAGAGATGAAGTTGAAGGGTATCGACGTACCAGGAGACTACGATGTCATGTATGAGTACGACCCTGACACTGATGGAGAGACATACGACGAGTACGAGGAAAATGAAGACCCTGAGCCTGAGCCAATCAAAACAAAGGATGACCTTCCTGTAAGTTTACTGCACTGTTCCTAGCTCTGAGTGTTGGAAGAAACAATTGACTGACTGCTATCGTTTAGGCTGAGCTGCTACTCGAGTACTACACCACCCACATGCGCGTCCTCAGTTCCGATCACAAGCCCTTGGATGCAGTTTTCAAGCTACAATACGATGCTGTCGTTCCGGAGCTGAAGGCTGCTATCCATGGTGAGGTGGCTCGTGAGATTGACCGTCAAGAAAACGAGGGTCGACCGTCGATTGCGGTAGTAGTAGAACGCGCGACTGGTTCTTCGCCCGACGATCGGAACAAAACAGATAGCACCTTTGAAGGAGTAGATTTCGGTGACGTCAAATTCGCAAAGTCCTCGAGACGCAACATCACCATTGCAAATACTGGACGTGTACCAGCTACCTTTGGATTCGCCGATCGCCCGGTAGATAAAAACCAACCGGCTGGCCCGTTCCCCCCTTGGCTCTCTGTCACTTTTGACAAAGCGCAAGACAAGCTTGATAAGCCAAGGCCAGACGACATTCATCAATACTTCACACTCTCTCCTGCAGACGTGCTCAATGTCGAGCTGAAACTCAAGATCGAGAGTCTGAATTCGGTGCGCGATCTCAATGAAGGGGATGCTATGATTGACGAAATCCTCGTCCTACGCGTCGAAAATGGACGCGACCACTTCGTTCCTATCCGCGCTCATTGGCAACCGTCGGCACTCGCACGATCTATCGACAAGCTGATCAAGATTCCCGAAGGCGGTATCAGGAAACTACAGAATCAGATACCAGCCCGTGGCGAGGTAAAATGGAGCGTGCCTAGGGAAGTATTCCGGCTGACCGAGGCGATAGAAGACTTGACGGAGCGAACCCTAGCCGAGTGGGACATGACCAAGAGTGAGGGAGAGAGGGCACCTTGGCAGGATAATGCAGGGTGGCCTTTTGTCAAGGGTCGGAGTGGCAGCAGGCATGGTTGGGAAGACGAGCTCGCGGAGATCTACGACGCGCTGGACTGTGATACGCCTCTCATCGATGCGTTCTATCCAGAGACCCGCAGCAAAGAGCGCGTTGAGATGTTGGCCGAAGCCCTGATCACCTTTCTAACTAGCCTCACCGACGGCGTGATTACTAAGAGCCTGTGGGAGAAGTTGGAAGAAGCGTTAGCTCGCCGCGAGAAGGCTGCGAGAACTATACCATCTCTCGATTACTCCACTGATGATGAGAAAATGACCATCCTAGAGATACTGGCAACAGCGCCCAACCACAACGCTACCTTCCTCCTCATACTATCCTTCCTCCAGAATATCGCGAATCAGATTACCGAGGTGTCAAAACCTCGCCCAGAGGATAGCAGCAAGAGAGCAAGCGCAGACATGAGCCTTCCGTCCAGCCCCCAAGCAAAGGTTAGAAGGAAGACACTAAGCAAAGTGCCAGAAGTCGCTATTCGACAACTTATTGTGAGGAACTATGCTGTCGTCTTTGCGGAATGCTTGGTCAAATGGAAGGACGGGGGAAAGGAGAAGGACAAGGCAGCCTGGAAAGAGAGGATGGTTGGAGTGCTGGAATTGTTCTTGAAGCAGGACTAAGGTGCAAAGTTGATAATCAATGAGCGCGACAGTCAGACGGCGATGATGCAGAAGGTTATAATGATACCCGATCAGTATATAAACCATATCGATTGAAGATTTCCAATTGCTGCAATCAGTATCAGGAAGACTTACCGTTGGCTGGAAGCCACGTCTTCTTAATCATGGCAACGGGTAGATCTCTGTCGGTCAGAGATGTCCAACGTTCTAGATGCCGACAGGACGCGCTATACCACAGAAAGAATAGCGCTACCATGCATGAACCCAGGTTGAACCTAGCGCAACCGAGATATCAAAAGTCGCGCTTCATAAAATCGCTCTGCAACCCCTTCTGCAACTCTACAATCTCGATTCAACGTAAACGTAGTCACCAAAATGTCTTCCGTTACCCCAGCTTCACAAATACATCTCCGCACACCCCCGGAGCCGGGAAAGAAGACCACGTCCAGAACCTACCTCATCTACTTTGTCACCGGAAATCCTGGTCTCGTGGAATACTACCGCACTTTCTTGACACATTTATACGGTCTGTTGAGTCACAACACAGCATCTGATCGCGATGTTGAATTCCAAGTCTACGGAAGAAGTCTGTCTGGTTTCGAAATGAACAATGCTGAGATCAAAACGATGAAATGGCGGAAACAGCCCCCATATGGATTGCAAGACCAGATCAGGCATTCTGAAGACGAATTGGCGGATTTGGTAGAAGAGATTAAAGAGCAGGGAGCCAAGGATGTCAGGGTCATTCTTGTGGGTCATTCGGTGGGTGCGTACATCTCTTTGGAGATTATACGTAGGTTGAGGGCACATGGAATGGCGGGCGAGGATTTCGAGACGAGGGTCGTGGGTGCAATTGGACTGTTTCCTACGGTTGTCGATATTGCGAGAAGCGAGAGTGGGATGAAAGCTTCTGTAAGTGGTTTCCAACATTCGTGTGAAGAGGGCCCAACAAGTATTTGGAGGCGCCTCTTCACACTGCTCCTATCAACATACACTAACGATTTTACGCAGCCATTCCTGAAGAACTCGAACTTTGCAACATTTGCAGCGCTCTTCGTCAACTTCTTAACTTTTCTGCTTCCCATTTCTCTCATTGCGAACTTGATAGCAAAGTTTATGGATTTCCCCTCCGATGCGGCGCAAACAACTGCGGCTTTCGTTAAATCACCCCACGGCATTCACCAAGCACTTCATATGGCGCGCGATGAAATGTTCCAAATTGACACCGACATCTGGGACGAAGAAATCTGGGGCGCCGCTGCCTCCGAACCCGCAACCAAGCACCCGCATCCCCGGCCAATCTTGCGCTTCTTGTTTGCACGCGAGGATCATTGGGTCGCGGATGCGACTAGGGATGCACTAATTCACAGCCGTGGAAGATTCAGCCGTGGAGATGGTGTGGATGAGATTGAAGGGCAGGGCGAGAATTGGAAACCTATCATGGAAATTGACGAGAGAGAGGGATGGCCTCACGGTTTCTGTATTCGCCATGGAGTGCCAGTCGCAGAGAGGGTAGCTGGGTATGTGAGAACGATTGTGGCACAGGATATGGCGAGGAAGTAGTAGCTATCAGATCGATAGCTTCCATTACACTACAACCACTAACTCGCGGGTGGGACAAATCCTTACACAATTTACTAATGAAAATTTGGGCTGGAATTCTGCAGTAGCAAGTAAAGACCTGTGGGTACTTTTCGCTATCACGATATGAGGCTAGGCCATGATGCCGGTGGCCGGAGATCATCTTCCCCGCTTTTCGCCTACTCGCCCATCTCTTTCTCCATTCAAATCTCGGGACTTATCTCATTCATTCGTTCTCTGTGCGACTGTGTAGCTTTTGAACTCCAGACGTCTTTGCCTCGCTATCTGCGAGCAGCGTCAGCGCTGCATCCACCATGACACGTAACTCCCACAAAACTCCAGGCTCCCACGGTCAGCTATATCAATACAACGAGCTGCCTTGCGATGGATCCTTCCGCTACCTAAGTCTTCACCGTGGCAGTGGCGCCGACCCACTCAGGTGTAGTTTACAGACAGGGTCTGTGTTAAAAACAAAATTCGAAGCTATATCGTACGTGTGGGGAAAGAGCAAAAAGAACAGGAAGATCATGTGCGATGGTCGTGTTATCAGGATAACGACCAGCCTGTCCAACGTACTACGACGTCTTCGACTTCCTCACAAGCGGCGTAAGCTGTGGGCTGATGGCATCTGTATCAATCAGGATGATCTGAACGAGAAAGGTCATCAAGTAGCAATGATGGGGGAGATTTACCGTTCAGCGACTCGTGTTCTTATCTACGTTGGATCTGATGATGATGGCCATGGTCCGCAGGTGTGCTCTTTGCTGGATGATGTCAATCGAATGATTGATGAAACATGCGAGCATATTGACATGTCGTGGGATTCTTATCCTTATCTCGAACAAGATGATCCCATCTTGTCGGATACCCGATGGAAATCCCTCACCCACCTGAGCTGTCAGAACTGGTTCAAGCGCGGTTGGACGGTACAGGAAGCCGCCCTTGCACAGCATAGTCAGGTCGTTTGGAATCAGACCACTTTTAGCTGGGAAAAACTAATGCGCACAGATTTGTGGCTGATTAGGCGCGCTTCTGATCTACACCATGAACTCAATTTGGGTATCATGGCATGTCACAATGAAGCTTACAAGCAACGCAAGAAGGCTTTCGCGCGGATCTTCTATCAGGAGCTAAGTTGGTCAGCGCCCTCCTTGTTACGTACTCTCAATATGGCAAGGGTTTTAGAACTTTCAGATGCCCGCGACAGAATCTATGCTTTCATGGAGTTATTAGAAAGCTCTGAAAAGGTGCTCGCCATAAAACCCAACTATAACCTAGCCCCCCTGGAAACCTATCGGCAATTCGCAATGCAGTACGTTCGAGAAACTAAGAGTATCGATATTCTGGATTTTGTTCAATATCGCCCATGTTCTGCCGATTTTGATGGACCTTCGTGGATACCCCGCTGGGACGTTGCCAGAATTCCTTTTGCGCCACGGTTCCGCCAAGATGGAGTACCACTTACCTCACGTGACGGATCCATTGGTGAGCCAGAAGTCATAGACCACCAAATTCTATCAGCAAGAGGTGTAGTCACTGATAGCATAAGATACGCCTCAGATGATTTCGAATATGACCTCACAACGCCGCATTCAGTGCGAGAACTGTGGACAGTCGTCGGTCCCATGCTTGAGGACTCACCTTATGAATCCTCCTATAGGTTAGATGTCTTCCTAAATGCTTTGTCTTTGGGCAAATATGACGGGGGATGGTGGGAATGGTGGCGGTCTAGAGCTGCGTTCAAGGCATACCTTCAAACCGAGCACGATGAAAGGACGCTCAACGAGCCATCACATCACGATCATATTTCATCGAACAGAACCTTGGAAGTCTCAAGAATTCATATGCAAGGCACCCGACTTGTAGTCACGATGCGTGGGTACATCGGTCTAGCTGATGTCGTTGTTCAGAAGGATGACATTTGTGGAATCATTTTCGGCCGCAATATACCTTGCGTCTTGCGTCAAGTCCCTGACAGCAATTATTACAGATTCATCGGTAGTGCGTATCTCATGGGCAAGAAAGGTTATGAGATAGAAGAGGGAGTTGTCGTTTTTTGCGACCCTCTAGGTCACGAAGACAGCAAGGATTGGGTTGAGTGGGACATCGAAGAACAAGATATTTACCTATTCTGAGGCTGAAAGACCCTGTCGCATTTCTCCAGGATTGCTGTCTTAGTCGCAGCTTTGAAAATCTTACGAGTCGAATGATGACTGGGAGAGTCCTGTGTGGAGACTTGCAAATTACTTGGGAGGCTTGGAATGTCGCTCATACCTATTCAAACTTCTCATGTCGCTTGCGCGATTTGACCTGTCTACAAGTCGAAAATGAGGGACTGCCTCGCCCCCACCTGAAGGTCTCGCCCCAGGTTGAAGGTAAACACTATTCTTCTGTTTGCTGAAGGGCTGCCCCCTGCCGTGAGCATAATTTCAGAACGGGCTGAGTGTTCCGACTCTATGCGGAACAGTGAGGCTTGTGTAGATCTTAGAAACCTTCACCGACTTATCTCGCGTCGAGGGCGATAGTGTGTGATGGTGGCTATTGCAAGAAGGATGGCTGCGCCCGGGTGGCCTAAGATTAGGCAAGGCGGAGAAGCGACTCTGGTCGTGGTTGGTCGAATCGTACGTCGTTGACGCATGCTATGGTAGATCCTTGCCTTTCAGCCTTACTACCAACTCTATCCCTTCCTCTCTTTCATGGCTATTCCAACAATTGGCTTTGATGGACCAATGATTGTTCACTGCCACATCATCTCTGCTGAACCTTGTTTGCGTGTTCACATGCTTTTGATGAATATGGACACCCTATTCTACGCTGAGCCTAGATCGACCTCGTTAATCCAGTTCTAACGGTTACGTATCGATCATAAGTATCTGGAGTACATTGCAGTGATGAGCAGATTTATAGCGAGAGCGCAGGTAGCCAATGCACATCATGCGGACTTTTCAGTCAGACTGCAGTTTGCTTGGAGAGACCCAATGATGTTAAGGTTCAAGACGATTCTTGGACTTACGCTCTCCACAGCTATGTCGCAGTCTTTTATCACGGCCTAAAAAGCATTCTGCAATATTTCCAATTCGTTTCGCATGTTAACATGCTCGTCTCTGGAATTCGTGGCTGCTTATTAACGCGGAGGCGAGAGACAACAAACTACTAGTCCGTCGGCGAAAACCCGAGATGCACCAGAAAGTCAAACAGTGTATAGAAAGCCATTGATTTATTGGAAATCAACATTGCCTTGCGACTTCTGATGTTGTGTGGCGTGTGCGATTTGACTTTGCAAGAAAAGATCAGGCCCACAGCCTGCATTGCCCCCCGTCTTACGCCCAGGCTGCACATCTCAATCGGGTCAACATGAACGAGCGGGCCAATCAGAACGGCCATCTTTACGATCGAGACATGAGTGTTGTATATATATACTGCAAGTCGCTCATGACAGCATAGGTACCACCCTATCTAATTAGAACGCTACAATTCTCTCTATCTTCTCGAACAGTCTATTCTGCAATCCCCTGATTCTAACCTCAGCATCAATCACTATGGATTCAATTCTCTACCTTGTCGTAAGAGCCGCCGACGAGAATGGCATTAACCCGGATCACATCGATGTGAATGCTACGGACCCACTCAAGATTGCGATGTCAAGGAAATACTGCAAAGTCGGCTCATGTCCAGAGTCGTGGCAGGTCATCGAATATCGACCCAATGTTGCAGGAAACGTGATCTATATGCTCCTTCTACTCGCGCTTTTCAGTGGACAGTTGTGGTTCGGCGTACGAAACAAGACATGGTCGTTCATGGGCACCATGTGTGCTGGCGTGCTTGGAGAGGCCGTGGGATACGTCGGCCGCGTCATGCTCAATCTCAATCCTTTCAGTATGAACAACTTCCTTGTGTGAGTTTTTCCATTGGCGAAACGCGACCATGACTGATAGCAGCTAGTAATCTTATCCCACTTACTATCGCGCCAGCCCTCCTAACTGCCGGCATCTATCTCTCCTTCGGTCGTGTCATCGTCGCTATTGGTACCGACAACTCGAGGTTGAAGCACAAGATGTATACCTACATTTTCGTCGGCTGTGACCTGCTCGCTCTCGTCCTCCAGGCTATCGGAGGTGGTATGGCCGCGACTGCCAAAGACAGTCAAGGTTCAAGGAAGGGTGTTGACATAATGATTGCTGGCCTTATCTCCCAGGTTACCACCATGACTATCTTCCTCATTTTGTGGGCCGACTTTGCCATCCGTGTACGACGTGCGAAGATCTCAGGAAGCTTGTTGCCCAGTCAGCCGCCTCTCTATGAACACCTTCGCTCTACGAAAAACTTCGCCTTCTTCCAATGGAGCCTTCTTGTCGCGACCGTACTCATCTATATCCGCTGTATATATCGTGTCGCCGAGCTCTGGGACGGCTTCAGTGGTGACCTTGCCAACCACGAAGCTACATTCATGATCTTTGAAGGGCCAATGATCATCCTTGCAGTGGCTGCGTTAACGGTTTTCCATCCTGGTCGTGTATTCTTCGATCTTTGGGTGCCTGCTGGCAAGGGTGTTAGATCGATGGGAAAGCTCGTGGAAGATCAGTCTAGCTCGGTCCATCTTACTGAACATGAGTGGAACAGCACGGCCTACCAGCGTGTTGATCAGCCTAGAGATGTAGTTTGAAGTGACTGAGCTCACATCTCCCAGTCAAGGTGTCGGTCCAAAGATGTATATTATAAAGGCGTCAATGAATAAATCACGTTCATGGCTTGTGACATAATTTCTAGTCTTTTGCTGTCAGTGTGCTAGCGTACGGAGTGTGTGGAATTAACAGCAGATAGTCGGCTCAGCTGCACAAGGAATAAAAGATCTATGCATGTTATATCAGGGTTTATGAGATACGAAAAGATCTGGAACGACGGGCCATGTTTCGGCATCCGAAGCTTGACGTGCACGCGCTTGACATCGGGAAGCGAATGTTTCCCTCGGACCGTAAAGAAAGGCAAAGGCGGGACTTACAGGAAGAGCATCGAAGTTGGAAAAGCGCAGCGCCAGTGGCATGGTCTTTGGGATTACCGGCTGCGAGAGACCTTAAGCTGGGGATGTGGCTGAGTGATCCTCGATGTCGCTAAAAATGGCGCCTTTCCTCTTTCGGCGTGAATCGCCGGCTCTGACCCTTTCTTCAACCTCGCCCTTTCTGTGCTCAGCCAACCCGTCAACGAAAAGTCTCGCCAAATATGTCCGTTTTCGGCGAGAGACGACTCAACTCTACAAGCATTCTCTTTGCCATCGCGAAAGATTCCTTGTTCACAAGTACTATGCTGCGTTCATGATTAGCCGGCAAGCACGGTGCCACATATGCGCGTCTAATAGCCCGGTCAGTCCAGCCTGACGGGAATCATCCTCCAGTCATGACGCGCCGCCTCCTGTCAGCGTTTTGGTGATCATGAGATGTACATACTGTTTCAGAGCTACATCCGTTTCGTCTTTGCCCAATCCGTGCTAAGAACTGTTGTTATGGTGACTTAGATCGGGGACTTACACGGCCTCATCTTCGACCCAACCTGCATGGAGTCAGCCTTCTAATTTGCATTCTGGTCGTGGTCAGCAAGGCGAAGCCTCATCAATATGTAGTGTATGCTTGCAGAGTTTCAGATGTATCACTGAACAAGGCACCATATCTCTGGCGCTTCTTTCCCTTATCTCCATTTTACTATCGCCTTGTCTATTCACCTCGGTGCTGCCATTTTCTATTGTTTATGTTCTACATTCTTTGTGGATGAGAAACACATAGCCATTATCAATACATTCCAAGCCTGCCGGACCTGTCTAGTACCGTCATCTTTACTGTATCCATATCCCGCCGTTGGAGTACCCAATTCACCGCGCACTGCACGTCGACACGAATTCCCCTGACTCGCATAGCCATGGATGCAGACAGGCGGCTCTCCAAAGCTCTCGAAGCTGCTAACGATGCTCTTCAACATCTTTCAATAACACTAGACTTTGGTAGTCTAGACTGCACACATATTGATCGGCTACTCGCACGTGTAGTCGATCTCCCAACTGAAGGCAATCAAAGAAACAGCAGGAGAAATCTGCTTGTCATCCGACAGTGGATGGTCAGCGAAGGCCCCGGTGTCGTACTTCTTGAAGTCCTAGGCCAGCTGTATTGGCGGTTAGGCGAGCTCAATAGCAGTCAGTTCGACAAGTTCAAAGCATCACTCCAGCAACGACAGCCATACTTATCATTGACACAAAATGCAAACGGGACAGCGCTGGTAGTTCAACGAATCCGATACATCCAAAGATCCAAGGCGGATGCCTGTCAAGACTTTCTTTGCGAATTGTCAGACCTTGCTGGCGCTAAAGGTAAATGTCTCACGACTGAATGTGTAGAGACGACTTGCTAACAAAACAAGCGGACTCCCCAATGCTCAGCGTAGAAGCTTTGCAAATAGCTTCTCGCAGTCCGACGCGGTCTGATCGTTCCCGAGACAGTATCTCGTCACAGGAAACCGGTCTAGCAAGTCTTATCAAGTATGTTCCGTCTAGTACAGTACCTGCTCCTGGGGATATGGAAGGCTTCCTTATCGAGTTTTATGCCAAGGGCATCTGCCCAGGTCGTACTGTCGCGTCTCAGTCAAATGTGTACATCTCGTTACTGCATGTGGCAGAATCTTGCCTAAGCACGCGATACGCCTTGCTCAGCCTCTCAGCTTCGTATCTCTGCGAGCAGCTCCCAAAAGAGAAAGACACTTACCACCAAGCCGAATTGTACTATTCTACACAAGCGCTTCAGACTCTGGCAGCACAAATCAGCGAGGGACGCTATTTTGACGGTGTTCTAGCTACTAGCATGTTGCTAATGCATCATGGCTTAATCAACAGGGAGGAGTCTCCTCTATGTTGGTCTGTTCACGCCAACATACTCGATGCGAGTTCTCCAGAGCTAGTCAATCACCACTCCGATCCCGCTCTGTTCTTGCGTGCTCAACTCATTCTAGCACGAACAGCACAAAACTCTCATCAGTTGAGCAGAACCCAGCGACATTCGTTTGAGACAATGAACTGGCTGGAGGGTGTATCACTCATCGAAGCGGCTAAAGTCTCTACCATTCTTGGAATCTCGCCTCAGCTGCTTTCCATCATATCATCTGTAACTTTACTTCCGACTAGTCCGAATAGATCGAACAAGCTCATGTATGCTCAATCACAAGAGTTGCAGATCCAAAATCTCAAGCAGTGGAGTTCAGAGCAGGAAGGACCAGAAAAAGAAGTATTGCTCGCTACCGCAGAGGCCTTTCGTCTCGCTACGCTGATCTATCTTCGTTGTCATGTCTACGGGTATGCTTTCTGGATATCCTTGTGTTTTGGTACCCGCTAACCCGTACTTAGACTCACGCGGTTCCACGCTTCCATCCTTGAACTTTCAGATGCACTACATACCATAATTCTCTCACTCCCAGTGAAAGGCCCGCTATATACCGCGATTTACCCCGTCTGGCCATTCTTCGTTGCTGCTGTCACCGCAAACTCGGAAAAACGTGACCGTCTATACCAACGCGTTGTACCAATACGAGAAGGCGACAAGAACACACTTCCAGCAGTGCTAAAGCGTATCAGTGGTATTCGAACGTGGCTTGCGAACCAGGACACGACGTGCCAGCGGCAAGACGGCTGGTGGGACGAGATGCTCAGTCCCAGCTCTAGCACGATAGTACTGGGTCCGCACCTTTTGTGTTTGGGCTGAGCTGCTATCAGCCTTCTTTCGTTCCATCGATCTTGCGACTCGAAGCCCACGAAAACTTCCTTCCATTCCCCATAGCGAGCCTTCCACTACGTATCTCCTTGAAGCCTATCTTCCATGTCAGATATCCTATCATGTTCACTGCATTCAAGTGCGTCACTTGTTCAATTTTTCTACCTCAGTGCGTCTCAGCATTTGGCAAGGGTTGCATTGTCTTTGATCTTCGAATCGCTTACGCTATAACGTCTATATCTTATGTTACACATCTACATGCAATAGCTCATGTCTCTCTCGGTCTGCATTTTGTTTTCGTTTTTTCAGAACAGTCAATGTGGAGGATTTGCTCCTCACTCCTATGAGATCTCATTACTCGGAGCCAGACCATTTCTTTAACATGTATCTGCCTCTTCAGCTGTCAACCGGAACAGTCCTTTCATTTCTGAATCATGAATACGTTTTCGCTGGTCATCATGTCTCATTTCAAAGCACTGATTTGATTTCCATCGTTGTTCGGAGTATTAATACTAATGAAGCCCTTCCGGCGTCACAATCCGCTCAACTCGCTCAACTGGACTATGCCTCGGCTTAGACTTCCTGCAGCGCCAACAGCAATGAAATAGAGAGAAGAATAGATGAGCTATACTGAAGCAAATGAGCAACATGATGGTAATGAATACACCATCAGCTGTCAAGTCGTATTGTGCTACTCCATCACCGATACTGAGTCGTTGAATGGGAATGCTGGGGCCGGCTGAAAGTGACGGCGGTGGCGTGCATTCAGCAACGATACAGCCGGCATTGACGATGTAATCTGTGGAATAATTATGCTGATGTATATTGACAGTGCTACACACCGGTGGATTGCTAGCCATGGTATCGTATATCCAAGCTTTGGAGAAACCATTGGTGGCGGATTCATTACGGGCTTCTTTCGTGGGTCTTATTGCGTTGGCTTGAGCTTCTTCTTTGTGTATGTTGAGCAAGTATTTATCCTCCCTTTCCTTAATCAGCAAGAGGCCGCAGGTTTTGGCCTTGCGAATGCATTCTAGGGTTGGAAAGGAGCAGTTTGCTTCTACAATGAGAGGGTGGGCTACACCAGAATTGATGTACCAGCATATGTCATTAGTGGCGACTAGGACAGACATGATGAGTGTGGTGAGACATGTCGCGACACTGGTCGCTGCTTCGATCGCGGCTTTCATGTGAAGTGGAGTGAGTTTGAGGAGCTTGCACTATGTGCGCAGCGTCGGTAGCAGACATGATGGCGAAGCTGAAGGATATTTGAACAGCAACCGTGAAGGTGAAGCTGTTGCAGGGCGAAGCTATTGTTGATAGTCTTCAAAGATCAGCGGCATTCTTTGTTCTGTGGTGATTGTTTATGTGTTGATCAAACAGTCCAGGTTCAGCTTATATGAGCACAAAGGAAGTGCAACCGAACAGGTAAAGCTCGTGTTAGACTTTTGACATTGTCGTTCGATCTATCGGTATCCACATTTACACCCAAAAACTCTGATTACGAAGACCCTATAGTGCGCCTAAATGCTCAAATTGCAAAACTACAGAATCGTGATATCGCTGCGCAGGAATAATGTAAGATAAACATGAGAGAGGTCTGGCGCAAGCATTCCGAGCCGATGGAGAAGTTTCATATTGAAGTAAGTAGTCGTTCATATCCAACTTGAATCGTTCCTGAGCCGCGTCTGCAGAAGTCCGCGGGATATTCGGTGTACGATTCCCCGGAAATGGACGAAAGAGCGAAAGGCGGGCAGAGCATTTAAAGTAGGATGAAGAGTCAGAAGACACGAATGAAAGTAGTTTCCGTAGTAAGCGTGAAAATTCCAGACGACCAGACTGATATTGCCCAAGCACATCGAAATCTTGGGTTTCGGGATGTGTTATTGCTCGATTGGCAAGGTCGGATATCGACCGCTTTGGAACGTAGCCGGAAAAATGTACACGAAAAGGGTATCGATCAAGTCCAGAACGTTTCATGAAACTGCCCACCGTCACTCTTTTGGCACCGATCGGATAGCTCTCTGATACTGTGATTGCACGTGTCACTGGATATTAATGGCCTCCGTTCTTTCTGAAGTTCAGCAGTTGGGACAAGCTGGCTAAGCTGCATCCGCTCTTGAGGAAGTCGTGGCTTATGAGCTCTCCCGCGCTCGCTCGTGATTTAACATCGACGCAAAGGCAGACTGACAAGAACGCCTTGAGTTCCTTGGAAAGCTTATCTGGCTTCTTGAGACGTGGAGTGCCGTTGGTAGCAATGAGATACAGAGCCTTGAGTGGCTCCTCGTTCAGGTACGGTGGTTCGGACTCGATCATCTCAATAGCCATGATACCCAGAGACCAGATATCGACCTTGTTGCCATACTCTTTCTGCTTGACAACTTCAGGGGCCATCCAGTATGGAGTTCCGACCATAGTCGCACGCTTGCTGCGCTGCTCGGTAAGCTTCGCACTGAAACCAAAGTCGGCTATTAAAGGTTAGCTAGCTGTAAAGAGAGGATGTATAGCGGATACGTACTAATCTTGACATTTCCACGGCCGTCGAGCAAGACATTGTCACTCTTAATGTCTCGGTGGATGATGTTCAGGTTGTGGAGATACTCAAGTCCCTTGCAGGTCTGTGGTGATTGTCAGAATGAATTGTCCAAAATGCACACTGCATAGCTTACCTCGAAGCAAATGGTCGCGATCTGGTCTTCGCTAATGGAAGGGTTATTGTCAATAATATCGGTCAAAGCACCTCCTTCCATAAACTCCATGACTACCCAAAGCTCAGATTGCTCCTCTTGCAAGAAGGCATCCAAGAAATTGACGATGTTGGGGTGTTTGCTGTCCTTCATGACAATAATCTCGTTCACGATAAGTTCCTTGCGTGGCTGGTTGCGGAGATCCATCTGCTTAATAGCGACCTGTGCACGTGGGCCGTTTTCTTGCATGACCCTTCTGGCCATGGGTGAAGTAGCACCTTCACGGATACGTGCAACATAGACGGAACCACTGGCACCCTGACCAATCTTCTTCTGCTTGTTGTACGAGTCCAGTGGTCGTTCTTTGGATACAACCTCTCGGAGCTTCGCCATGACCTCGCTTTCGGACATGCTAGACATGCGCACATCCTTTCGTGCTGGCTCTTCTTTAGGCTTAGCGGTGAGAGCCTGCTCGGCCTTCTTCACTGCGTCACTGACAGGAGCATTCTGTGGCTTAGCAACGTTCAATGGCTTGGGTGCAGCACCTGGCTGGTATGGCTGTTGTTTCTGTTGGCTTTGACCATTAGCGACCCTGGGGACCTGGTTGCTCGATTTCTGATAACTATTGTTTGTTTGAATCGGCGGTCGTTGTTGAGTCGAGGATGATTTCGCAGGAGAAGTGCTGTAACCACTGTTCTGTTGCTGAGGTGCAGGAGGTGCAGGGCGCTGCGCAGCCATCTGGCGTGGTGCCGTCTGTTGTTGCTGCTGTCGGGGGTCTCTTGCGGCGCCCGGAGTTGATGGTGCAGGGCGACTGGGGTTGTACCTTTGGCCTGACGGACTCGAATCTCGCGAATCATAACCACCTCCACCGATCTCTTGTTGGGCCAAGGGAACTTTCTTTTGAGGTAGCGAAGCATTGTACGCATCCAGTTCTGCGCGCTGTTGTCGCTCATATTCCTCTCTTTGCCTCTCACGTTCGCGTTCACGTTGTAGTCTGGCCTGCTCCTCCTGCCTTCTTTTATCCTGCTCGTAACGATCCTGCTGCGAGGACGCGCTCTGCTGACCGCCGTAGCTTTGACTGTAACTGTCTTTGCGCTGATAGCTGCCTGGCGGCGCTGGGCGCGGGGGAGCCACGGAATTGCCGCCACCACCATACCCAAGCTGCTTCTCCATCCCAGCATTCATTGGTGGGGTCGGGGTGAGACTTGGGTATTGCTGAGGGTCCTCGGATCGCTTGACAAGCTTTTCAGTGTAGAACTCCAAGACCTCAAGGACAGCCTTGGGGTTCTTCGCATAGTCGTCTTTGGTGAGCGCGGACGCAGTGAGCAGCTTCTCCCATTCCACTGGCAGGCCGACGAAAGCTCCGCTGTTGGGGTCAAATCCTACGTGTACTCTGTGAGTGAAGTTTGTGGGGTTGCTGACACCGCCCATGCTGGGGCATCGCTGGTAGATGCTGTCGATCCACGAATAGACATCGTCGTCGGTTTCGACTCTGCATGTAATAATCTTGGTAGGGCCATCGCGAGGTGGAGAGGAACCTTTGCTGCTGTTGAGAGCGCGGGTGATTTCAAAAGATAGCGGCTGCGTATCTGATCGCTCGACACCAAGGATGTCCCGCAGTTGGATTGTGTTGGAGACTTTTGACGCATTAGGGCTCTTGAAGAAGTTGAGCTCAAATTCGCGCAATACCAACCACCGGTCGGCCCAGACAAAAGATTTGAACAAGCCTTCATCCTTGACTTTGACCATACCCTCTTTAACCGTAGCCGTCGACGAGACGCTTCTCTCGGTCTGGGTGCGGATGAGTGACATTTGCGAACCGTTGTTGAAGGCAGGCGACTGCATGCTCAGGCCAGCCATGTTGCCTGGCAAGGTGTTGCTGGTGTTGGGTGTGAGTGCGAGGCGGGGGCGGTCGGTGGGTGGTCGAGGTGCGGGACCGGGGTTCATGAATTGTTCGCGAGAATACATGCTAAAGTACCGTGGTCAGCGGACGGATCGACGGGTGGATGGTTGATTGAACACGAAACAGGCGATGCTGCAGTCATGTGGGGGTGAAGGGGTGGTGTTTGCAGCAGACGGCAGCGGTGACAGCCAGGCGAAGAGCTCCTGCGTACTTACATGGGTGGACTATTGTTCACACAACAACAACAACAAAAACAACAACGATGGGAATTATACAATAGCTACAATAGCTGCGTGAGCGTTTCACTGCCTCCAGTGCGGCCAGGCAGTCGGGGGTGTGATGTGGTGAATAGCGGGGTGCACCGTGCTCAATGAAGTGAGCAAGCAGGTAGCGGAGGCGCCTCTCAGCGAGTGGTTGGTCTCTATTCAGTGAGACAGGAGCCTCGGCGGAGGTGTCGAGGACGGGGAGTCCTGGGACGGGGGTCGCGTCGAGTAAGCAGCAATGCGAGGTCGGTCGGGCTGCAGCACAGCGGGATACCAGTCCTGAAAGCGAGCGGGCGCTGCTGCCAATCCAAGTCGCAAAGCGTCGCACCGAGAGTCGTTCAGCGAGAAAGCCGCATTCGAGAAGTGCAGAAACAGGGTAAATAGGAGAATTTGGTAGGCGGCGGGCGAGAGCGCGGTCGTGTCTGGTACAGACAGTCGTGGTAGTGTCTTTAGTGGGCCCTCTCCTGGTTGGCTTTGGGGCTCCTTGGGCAATGGCGCGCTAAATCGGCACGGAACTTTCTCTCACGTGCACTTGACTCTGCTTCGGACGTCGAGCCTGAAAGGAAGACGCCGCTGCAGTAATGTTCGCGGTGTGCGCCCATTGGCTGCTGCAACACCAAGGGCTCGAGATCGTCAGCAACATCATTTCGCTGCATGCGTTTCATCAGCGGAAAGGCGCGACAACGGCAGAGGGCCCGGCTTGATCGCCCGGCGGCTGCAAGTACAAGATCGCGCTCAGCGTTTCAGGAGAGAGCGAGTCGACGTCTGAAACCCATCTGCGTGCCACCAGAACCCTTCCATGGCCGCCACATGGGCATATTTAGATTTCGTGCCGCTCGCTACCTGTTCGGCTGCTTGGCTGCTTGTTCAAAAGACGGGTGCTCTACCAAACTATGGGAACCCACGTTGTGTCAAAGTGTCATTACAGTCTGTTTTTATTGCTACCGTTCCCACTTCCCTTCCCTTCCGGCCCATACATCGCCACGTACATCTGGGAAGGTGTGGCGATCGCTTACACTATATCTCGTGCCATATTGTTTCACTTCCAACGGCGCTGGATACACCAAGTACAAATCAACATGTTTCAACCGTACTTTGCATGGTGCCCGCCTCTGACCCCACCAATACAGCCACTATCCCTGTCCAGACACCCAACCATGCACGTCATAACCACAGGGGGCGCATGTGCACAACCTCGAACTCAACCGCAACCAGTCTGCCCGGACTGCGCAGCGACCACACTTTAGCAGCTTTGGTTCCCACCGGAGATTAACTCACTCTACCCCCCAAACGCCCAAGACGTCTCTTTCGGCGCCCTCGTGCTGTTTCTTCTTACGCGCTTGGAGTTCCTTCACCCTGCGAACAGATAACCCAACAGCCAGAGGGCCGAGGATAGTACACAGAACGATAGCCCATGTCACAACGAGAAAGATGTCGGTTGGCTCACCAGAAGTGTCCCCGAACACCCCTTGAGATTCAGCGACGCCGGAAATTAAGAAACCAATCTCTCCGCGGGCGCACATTGCAAAGGCGAGAATAAGCGGCGGGTGTAGCGAGAAGGGCCTTGGTGGGTTGGGTGAAGAGCGCGCCTCGCTTTCAGTGCCAGCTGACGAAGCTGCTGGGCGTGTCTGTGTAGGGGTAGCTTCTGTGTGTGGTGGTGCGGCGCCTACCTGAGGTGTAGTAGCTCTTGCCTGCGCAGACGGTGCTGGATGATTGCTCTTACCCCACAAGTGAGGCACCGACGGCAGGCGCACCTTGCTCAGGATCTTACTAGGAGATCTTTTACCCGCAGAGACCGAGAAACGGACAAGCCAAAGACCACACACCAACTTGGCAAATGCCATGAGGACAGCATAAACAATACCTCGCCAGACTATCGCACCTCTAAACATGCGCGTGATTGGTATAGAAAAGCCAATGGATGCGAAGAAGAAAGGCTGCAGAATCTTGGACACTGCGGGATGGTAGTAGTGGTGGTAGATGGCTGCACCACCTGTTGCGTCCACGTGCTCGTCCTTCTCGATCTTGGTGGGTTGGGATGAAAGCGCGCCCTGGTTTTGCTCGCTTCGAGTCTTGGAGGCATCTGGAGATGTGCCTTCGGAGCTTTCAAGAACTGGTCCAGAAGCTGCTGAGCTCTTTTCAGCCACCGGGGTTGTGGCCAAAGTACTGGCAGGGTGAGGTACGTCGGAATCCCACCAGCTGATGCTAGCTCCTGCAATGTACGCAGCAAACAGATTCGACGTGCCTGCATATGTAGCTCCCGCGACGAGACCAATGAGAATTAGCGTGTGGACTGTGAAAGCCGTTTGTGTACACTGTAGGAGAGCATTCAGCCGTGCGCCTTGGTGAGCTTCGCGGTACGTATTCAGCCACACAGTCAGGGGCTTAGCGACAAAAAGGCAAACAATAGGAGCAACGACAGCAAAAGCAACCGAAACAAGCACCGGGCGAACGACCGTGACCCAGCTGAAGTTGTCACCGCCTAGGTTGGAGATGACCTGCACCATGACCAGGCCGACGACATCATCCATCATAGCCGCACTGGTAAGGACAACGCCTAGACGAGTGGTAGACAAGCCACTTGAGCCGAGAACCGTAAAGGTTGTGCCCAAACTGGTGGAACACAGTGCTGCACCAGCAGCAAAAGCCTGTACAGGGCTAGCATCTAACAGACCTTGCAGAGTGTAGGAGAGCGCGATGGGAACTACGATTCCAGTAAGAGCGACACCAGAAGAGAGAAGTAGATTCGCTTTGAGAGACTGGAATGAAGTAGAAAGACCACCTGAGGTGTGTTAGAACGATGTCATAGGGGTGAAAATGAGTTGGGTGATGAAGCATGGGACATACCTTCATAGACAAGCAGAATCAGTCCAAGATAGCCTAATTGCACAACCGTCCCTTCTAAGCTCTCAGACAGCCATTTCGCACCTGGAGTGCCCCATGCGATGCCGACCATCACCTGGCCTAGTAGACCGCAGTAAAGCACTCGATCAAGGGCAGCATTGACGACATTGAGGAGAAGAAGAAAAGACGCGAGGACTAGAATGACAACGATGCCTGGCTCGTGGTATGGCAGCGACGCGGCATCTTGAGACGCGTCTACAGCCATGATGCAGGCAAGGGCGCTGGCCGGTCAATATGCGTGCGATGCCTGCTGGAACTGGCTCTTTGCGGCCACGAGGCAAGTGGACAAGAGTTTGCAGGACAACCAAGAGCACGCGCTACCTTGGACGTCTTCTGGATATTGTATGCGTGTCAGCAACAAAGATTGGACGGAAGAGTTCTGTTACCAAGAAGACACCAGGATAGTAGCGGCCAACCAGAGCAGAGGTGGGCGGTCCAAGGCCGTGTGGATCCAGGGGCCCCGCTACGAGGACCAGGGTGCAGCGACAGCCGAAGCCGCGCCCGCAGTCAGTCAGCCATTCATTGTTTTGGCCCAAGACTACTTTGGAAAACACGCCTGAGCAATCGCCAGCAAGCATCGCGTATCCACCCAGCTTAGATATTCCTACCTGCATGCGCTCAGTCCGTGTGAGAGCGCTGATGCACACAAATCATGGCGCCGCTTGAACAGCAATGGGTCAAGGTCCAGCAGAAGACATTCACCAAGTGGTACGCTGCCTGCCACCCCCGCCGCTCCCCCGGGCCCCTACGCTACTGACGACACCACTGCAGGCTGAACAGCAAGCTCAAGATCCGCGAAGTACAGATCAACGACCTGATCATAGACCTCTCTGACGGTGTACGTGCCACCCCGCCTGGCCCCCCCGACACGGCCTCTCCCCGCATCCAGTCACTGACGCCCCCTAGATCATACTCATCCACCTCCTTGAGATCCTCAGTAACGAGTCCCTCGGCCGCTATGCCTCCCGACCCAAGCTGCGGGTGCAGAAGTTTGAGAACGTCAACAAATCGCTCGACTTCATCCGAAGCAGGAGGATCCAGCTTACCAATACCGGTGCCGAGGACGTCGTCGATGGCAACAGCAAGATCATCTTGGGTCTGATATGGACCCTTATTCTGCGATTCACCATCAGCGACATCAACGAGGAGGGTCTCAGTGCGAAGGAGGGTCTGCTGCTGTGGTGTCAGAGGAAGACGGCCTGCTACGACGAAGTCGAAGTCCGCGACTTCTCCACCAGCTGGAACGATGGGCTCGCATTGTGGGTGCAACATTCTACATGCAAGAACCGGGCTAACGTTGCACAGCTGTGCCCTGCTCGATATTCACCGTCCCGATCTCATCGACTACGACAGCCTAGACAAGAGTGACCACCGCGGCAACATGCAGCTTGCATTCGACATTGCTTCAAAAGAGATTGGTATTCCCGACCTCCTCGATGTGGAGGACGTGTGCGATGTAGCGAAGCCTGATGAGCGTTCGCTCATGACATACATTGCCTACTGGTTCCACGCCTTCTCGCAGATGGAGCGCGTAGAGAACGCCGGCCGAAGAGTCGAGAAGTTCGTGGCAAACATGCAGGGAGCGTGGCAGATGCAGAACGACTTCGAGCGACGCATGCGCGAGCTGCTGGACCAAATCGCCAAGCAGCGCACACAATGGGAGGACGCCAAGTTCGACGGAACATACGCAGATGCTAGGAACCAGTCAACCGAGTTCACAGCGTGGAAGCGCAAGAGCAAGCGAACATGGGTAGCTGAGAAGTCGGATCTAGTAGGCCTATTGGGAAATATCAGGACGAAGCTAGCAACATATCGGTTGCGACCCTACGACCCACCTGCAGAGCTGAGTCTCGAAGCACTAGACACAGCATGGACAGGCTTGATGAAGGCCGAGCGTCAACGTTCCCAAATCATCAACGAGACAATCAGAGACATCAAGAACGCTCTACGAAAATCCTTTGCCGACAAAGCAAATGACTTCGCTTTGGCCCTCAACACACTCTCTACATCGATATCAGCGTTGGAAGGCGATGTTGAGGACCAGTTGGAGCATACCAAGGAAATCAGCAAGTCGCTTGCGCCTTTGGACGAATACCTCAACCTCATAGCATCTATCGATGAGCAATGCGCTGAAGCGAATATCGAGGAAAACGACTTCACAACGTATACATACGATGAGCTGGAATACGAATTGGGTTTGGTCCGCAACTCCGTATCAAAGAAACTTGCCTTCCTGGAAAACCAAATGGTTGCGCGTAACATGACCAACTTAACTCCCATACAACTGGAAGAGTTTGAATCAGTCTTCAGGCATTTCGACCGCGATGTATCCAACTCGCTGGCCGAACTGGAATTCTCGGCCGCTTTGGCAAGTTTGGGCTTGGTCTACGACGAAGCAGAGATGCATGAAAGGTTCCGCGAAACTAGTGGGGGTAAAGACTATGTCACCTTCGAGCAGTTCATTCGTTTCATGGTAGATGAAACAGAGGATCAAAACACCGCGGAGCAGGTGTTCGAGTCTTTCAGAGAGGTCGCTGATGGCAAGGTCAGTCCACGTTCTTACATCCCCTTTCCTAAAATCAATTACTAACATCCCATTAGCCATACGTCACAGAACTCGACCTTCGACATTCACTCGTTCCGGACGAAGTAATTGACGACCTAATCGCCACCATGCCTGAGCACCAAGGCCCAGATATGCAAGAAGACCGCGACATCCCCAAATTTGACTACATCACCTACATGCAGCGGTACATGGGCGCTGACCGTGCAAACGGCAACATTGCCGAAGAAGTAAACGGCGAGTAGAACTCGACCGATCTTGAGCACAGGGTTCTTCTCACCCCAGCGTTTTTATAGCGCGTGAAGAACGAAGAGTCTGGAAAATTGCATGGATTGGATGTTGAGTTTAGCGTTATATGGTTTCGTTTTTGCATAGTGGCCGTTTTGGAGTCACTCCATCGTTGGGTATCAAGTACAATCAGGAGGGGGGAATTGGGAGGCTCTTTGGAGTAAGGCGCGCTTGCATGTTCGACGTTGGATACCACGCAGATAGGAAGAATTATTGAACTTAGTCATAATCACTTAGTTGGTCGCTTCTAGTGTCCAGCGTCTTGACGACAAGATCGTCGTCCCTTGATCAAGACCAACCCACGGGCAGGCATCAATTTCATCTCTCTCTGTCTCGCTTACGGTACTCACTTCACTATCGTCCACACACTCTATTCGAAATGTCCTCCACCTTCACTTACTTTCGGTCTCTCTAGGTGACCAACGGTCCGTGAGTTTTGCACTTACTTCAAGCAAACTCTCTTCTGCCACAGCTTACTTCCTACTACATTACCTCATCCCGACCTTCAGAGGTCGCAATCGAGATCCGGTCTTAAACCGCCAGTACGTCGACCAGAACAGGGTAAGATGTCATTGTACGAAATGTATGGGAGACACATACTGACCTCGTATCTTCGCCTCTGCAGTTCTGCCTCTCCTAGACAGCGGTCGCCGCATTCATGGCGAACAAAACTTCTGAATCCTTCCGCTTTCTTGACTTGCCGGCTGAGTTGCGACTCATGATCTACAAGCTCATGCCGAATTTTACCTTTCGTACCCGATACGTCAAACGCAACAGCAATGGAGACACTACGAGTAGCTTTACAATCATCAGATATACTGCACCCACAGCCATGCTTGCTACATGCAAGATGGTTAAGAATGAAGCCGAAGCGATTATCCTCAAGACTACGCAGCGGCTTCATCCCATTCGAGTCGACGAGAGTCATGTTTACCTCATGGGTTTCATAACACCTCGAATTGAAGTCGATACTCGAGCTCTTTACTTTCTTGAAGCCGAGAAAGGACGGTTCAAGAAAATCTCTGAATGGTACTCTCGCATCCAAACGAACCAACATACAAAATTTGAGGCTGCCTTTCCCACGTGCACGCACGATATATGCTCTCTCCTCACTAAACACGGGTATGTCATGGAGGGTGGTACACTGGAAGAAGGAGCTCGTGCTCTGGTCAACTTCGCCCGCAAATCTGGATACTACTTTCATATTCGCCACGAGGGGCCTGCTTGGAATCGTATCTGGGCCATCACTCCGAAGAAGGGCGCCAATGTCGAGATAGGTACGACAATCGCACTGAATACGTTTGGCAACTCTGTAGTCAATCGTGCGTCTCTGAAAGTCTTTTTAGTTGCGATCCATACACTATCCACCATATCTGCAAAACAGGAATCTGCTGTCCGCCGGGGAATCGATATCAATCAGGAGATGCACCTTAATCCTGGTTGCGTTCTATCTTCATCATTGCTTTTTGGTGCCAGTCATATAGACGAAAGGTTTAAGGAAGTCTATGATCAATTCTGGACAGAAGGCGAGTGGGATATTTGAGATGGTACCCGGATGTTGTATTAAACTTTCAAATGGTAAAAGCTCAACAGGCATGAAGGTCTTGGTCCACTGATAGTATAAACATCAAAAGTGGATAGTCAAAAGATGGGCTTTCACATCCCAGTAAGTCTGAGACGAAGAAAGTATACACACTGGTCATCATGGGCTGTACTCGATGAACCAACGCCTTCAATGAGATACCTCCCTTGCGTCCACTTATTCAGTTAACACCCAGCAAATCCGGTAGCTCAATCATGTTCCTCTGCATCTCCTTACACATTTCCAGAAACTCCTTCTTCTCCATGTCAGTCGCAAACTCAATCTTTGCTCCACTGATGACCTTCCCCTTCTCCACCGCCTTCTCAATCACCACCTTCTCCTTTCCTTTTCCTCTGACCGCAGCCTCAGCAACACTATCTTTCCTCATCGCGCGATCGCCTCTGTCGATTGGCACTCTCAGACCCTTGATTTTCACCTCTCTGTTACCATCGTCTTTGACCTTGATAGGGTTGACAGAGGAGTTGAGGTAAAAGGCTAGATAGCCATTTCTGAAGTCGGCAGAGAAGTGGATCAGAGCGATTATGGCGCCTGTATCGTTGTCTTCCCAAACCCGTAGATTCTCCAGGCCACACATTTGCTCGGCATAGGAGAAGGACTTGGAAAGACCTTCGTGAATGCGCATTGTTTTCTCTGTCCGGAAGGTGGCGAGAAGGGTGCGACCCATTAGTTCGTTTTGGAAAAGTGCTGCCGCTAGGTACACTGTTAGCTAGTCTCATTTCTCGAAGAAGTCATCTTGATAGCTTACCCTGTCCCGAGTCGAAAACATAATTGACCCAACTTGTTTTCTCTGTCCGTGCAGGCCGGTTGCCATGCTTGATATCGTGAAACTTGAGTTCGCAGGGTACGGTAATTGAGACTTTGGCTGGGTTGAAGTAGCTAGAGTACGGAATGTACATTTGATCGTCCTCCATACGTAGCTCTACACGCGTAGTGTTGTCATCGCTAAACGCCCATACGGACGTCACAACGCGCACCGACCTTGTCTCGGGGTCAGTTACGCGTTTCCGTACAACGGCGATCCTGCATTCTTCAGAAGCTTGGATCATCTCGACGTCTCTGGGGTCGTCTTGGTTGATTCTGTGTGAATACTCCACAAGCGAACCGCGGCTAGTGGCAGTCAGTGGGCCAATCCAGCGAAATAGAAAGAATGAGATCCAGAAAATCTTGACTTACACATCACACAAGATAGCAGAGTTGCGAAAAGCTTCTTTCTCAAAGGCTGCTTTCTGACTAGCCGTGGTGGAGCTTCTGTGGAGTTTCATGATCTCTGGCGACGAAGGAAATGGGCTTAACTTAGCCTGTGAAGTTTGCGTGGATGTTCTCTCAAGCTCGTGAGGTGGACCCAGCCTCATCGCTGGAGGTGGAAGCAATGTTAGATGGCGAGTGTCATTCTTTTGACCCGGCCCAGGTACCTCCAGTGTATGTGGGAGAGGTGATGTCTTCTTAGTCGACGTAGATTGATGTCGGCTAAGGTGAGCTTCGTGAAGTAATGGTGATGGACTCTGCCATCCGGCTGAACTTGTGCCGGCGTCGGACGATGCATAACTGCTGCTGGAGTACCGTAGCGATGAACTGCCGAAGCTGAATTCTGACACCCGTTTATGATTGGGTGATGATGCTCTTGAGGTTGATATAGTCCTCGTCGGAGACGATGTAATAGGGACTTCGTCATCATGTTCGACCAGTAAGGACTGCTTAGGTGACCTTGGACACTGAGCGATCCGAGGGAGAGAGACCTTGGTTTTTGGATCTCTGGGCGGGGATTTTGGCGGAGACAAAGTATGAATACTCTGACTCAGTGGATTCGCTGCTTCAGTGGTTGGTGAACGCGCAGGGTTTCTTGCCGGTACAGGTGGCACATGCGAGTCCCGTGACGCGACAGCCAGATTCTCCACCAAACGATGTACCTCGTCCAGCTGCTGGTCGAGACTTCCAGTCGAGTGGTACATGTGATCAACCCGTTCTGCCATTGGCGTAACTACACTTTCAAGACGAGTCATAGACTTGCTATACTACGTCAGTAAACGGAGTGTATGAGATTTGCATCACTAGCCTTTGTAGTGCTTCAGCCAAGACGGTGATAGAGCTTGTGTGCGTCTGTAATATCTCCCGCAAATTGGCCAGGTCCCCGCCCTCAGTCGTCCAAATCATTGTTTTGTAAGAGGTTAAGACCAGATCACTCCATGAGCGCTCAATTGCGAAACCGCCAACAGTACGGTGTTTTCTGATAACTTGGTATTGGTCAATCAGCGAGTCAAGATCGTCCACCTTCCGTTGACAAGATCTCAGGATTGCGCCAATGCCGTCTTTTGTTTCTTGATCAGCGCTCTGGAATAGTTCACCTCCATATTCAGCGTGCAGCGTCTCCGCCAGTAATTTTAGGGCTTTTGCGAGGCTACCGACTTCTGTCTCGACGTAGTGAAGCTCCGGTGGCGCGTCTTTCTGGCAAGCATAAAACGCTCGTCCAACTTTCCAGGCTTTCTGCGATAGCATCAATATGTCCCCAATGCTGGGGACGGTCATGGTGGCAGATGACGACGGGTCATGCACAAATTTGAAGTATTCAACCAGGTATGTGAACAACACACAGGTAAAGATGCCGATAGCGATCGGGGGTTTTCATAAGGTCCAAGAATTAGGGACGGAACACCCGGGGGAGGCTCGCGATATACTGTGGGTGCGGGAACCGTGGGGGCTATTGAGATGTTCGCAATGCAGCCTAGGGCAGGCCCAGCGCCATGCGCCTGGATATAAGACTCCATAGCGACTGTGTTGTGGAGACCGATGGCCGTGTGTTCCAGTCGACAAAGGTTGAGAAGGGAGGAGCATGGGTTGTGATGCTCGACGGGGATACCACGTGGGTCAGGTAGCGCATCATCATTGGCGTCTGTCTATCGACCACACAACCGGCAATCTGCCCCGCGTAGCTGTCAATACCTGTCAACGGGCGCTGGGCTCGATCAAGACCAACACGAGCGTAAGCTTGGACTGTGCAAGTTCCAGCAATTGTGACACGCATACGCAAGACGGATGTGTTTGGTTCAAAAAGCGGGCTACCCCTCGGACCGGCCACGCCATGGCGCCAGCCGTGCTGCAGGGTACCGTCAATCTGTATTAAAGGCTCTGATGTACATGTACAGATCCCACCTCATGTGGGATAAGATTTGCCGACTACCGAGCGACTTGATAGAGTAGAGGAAATTTGGAACCCAGGGTACATCTATAGACCTTTTTCCCGACCATCGCGTAGATATCGTACCCAAGAACCCATGCGCCTAGAGTGTATAGTATTGTACAGTGAATCGCAGGTCGTTGTCATATCGTCATTTGGTGCTTATGCAAGTGGTGAGAAGAGACTAAGGCAGTTAGCTAATGTTCCATTGAGTTCAACAGAGACAAGACAGAATGGCGAATTCCAAATCCAGTATGTAAGCGAGCGTCTTGAGAATCGGTAGGCCGCTTCCCCCGTGTGAATGCCCGTACCACACTCTTCTGTCGGTTCTGCCTGCCTGACTCGTCGCACGTGTGGGAGGGTCTCATGAACGCAAGTCCACTGGCCCTTTCTGGCATCTGAGAAGTGGCTGGGCCGACGTTCGAAGCCCGTACTGCTTTCCAACCCAAAGAGTGGCATCTGCTGTGCTCTTGTGGAAATGATCGAGGCCGGCTAGTGTACTCACCGGATCAGAGACGGCTTGGGCACGCTTTGGGAGTATCCAAGGTATAGAATCAAAGGCAGGTAGCCATAGTGAATAGCGACGCGGGAAACATCGATGATGCGCGCGATGCGCTCCTGCTTGGAGTCAGCGGAAGTTGGTCGAGGCAACAATTGCGCATGATGACGTACCTTGGACTCTTCTGAAAGTTGGTACATGGTGTATGTGTGGTCGGCCCTGGGGTGGAGGAAGTCGAGGCGTGTGAAGGAATGGGTGACGGCGGGTCTTAGCGAACGATGTTGCGATGATGCGTAAAGCTCAAAGTTTTGGTGTTAGCCGCATGTGTGTTAGCGCAGGCTCAGACTAGAGCTCCAACATCTTCGAGATACCTTCACCTAGTCTTCGACACCATACTCCATTCACGACGCCTTACGACTCTGACTGGATCGCCTGAGCATACATTGCGACTCGGGATATAAGACGATAAGCACATATATTCGTAACTCTCACAATGTCGGCCCCGAGTGCGCGTCACTGGTAAGTTGCAACATTCCACGCCTGAACATATGCTAACGCATGCGCAGGGAACAAAATAAGGAAGCAACAGTCTACGTTGGAAACCTCCATGAGCGCGTCACGCCCCGCATCCTTCATGAGCTGATGCTCAACGCTGGCCGAGTACGGAACGTCAACATGCCCGTCGATCGCGTCAATGGGCAACATCAAGGATTCGGCTTCGTAGAGTTTCACACAGAATCGGAGGCAGATTATGCGCCCAAGATAATGAACAATGTCGCTCTGTATGGAAGCAGAATCCGCGTGAACAAGGCATCAGCAGATAAGCAGAAGAATGTAGAGATTGGCGCCGAGTTGTTCATCGGTAACCTTGATCCTGGAGTGGACGAGAAGACACTTTACGACACGTTCGGCCGTTTTGGACCGCTAGTGAATGCGCCAAAGGTTGCGCGCGACGACATCACGAGCGCATCCAAGGGCTATGGTTTCATCTCGTACGGCGACTTCGAATCCTCCGACGCGGCTATCGCCAGCATGCACAACCAGTATATCATGAGCAAGCAGATTACGGTTCAGTATGCGTACAAGAAGGATGGAAAGGGTGAGCGACACGGAGACGAAGCCGAGCGTATGCTGGCGAAACAGGCCAAGGCTCACGGAGTCGCCCCTGCAGTACAACCACTGCCAGCACATCTTTTCCAACTTCCTCCAGGTGCTGCACCAACTGGACCAGCCATGGGCGTGGATGGCCGAGGTGTACCTGGTGCACCGAGTGGGCCCGGCGCAGGATATGGACCTCCTGGTGGACCTCCTGGTTATGCTCCTAACGGACCTGGAGGCTATGGTCGACCTCCTTCCACAGCTCCTGTTGGTCATCCAGGTCTTCCGCCACCCCCGTCTGGCTTGCCCGCTCGCCCACCAAGCGGTGCTCCAACCAATTTCTTCCCTCCTCCACCCGGATTCAACGGCCCACCCCCGGGCTTTGGCGGTCCACCACCTGGCTTTGGAGCACCTCCTGGTTACGCACAGGCACCGAGGTAGATAGAAGAGGCGCGAACGGACAGATTACGGCGACATCACTTTTCGCTACAAAAGCGGGCGTCACACCCTGGGGTATTTCTCAAGTCGATCTGGCCGGCGCTGGGCAGGCAGGAATCAAGGATCGTCGTTGTGATGACGACCTTCTTGGGAAGAGTGCCAATCGGCTAGTAGGAATCAGCAGGGAAGGACATGGTCATGATTGAAAAGCATGGTATTCACCAAATTGCGGATTGAATACAGGAACATGGAAAGTTGATTCGAAGAGGCGCTGCTGAGGTCAGCGAAAGAAGAGACACAGAACTAGGAAGATCAGGATACAAAAGATATCGGCGTCCAAACTCATACCTGCAGAAAGATACCCGCCATGAGCATGTCAGACAGATAGGCCACTAAAGGCAACAAAGGAAATATAGTAATATGCCCAAACTCCAACAAAGGAAACGATTTATGACAGTCCTGTGAAAAGTGTGTCGCCCCCTATTATACCCACTTGCTACGGTCATGAGAAGCTGACAAACTTGGGGTCGCGGGGTATCCCGTCCGCTCCGATGTTGTTCTTCTTGAACCTGTCCTGCATGTATATTCTGCGGGCCTCGTCGAAGTCGACGCCTCGTCGCTTCATGATGCGCATAACTTCCTTCTTCCCCGCGTCATCCAGGCCTTGGCGCGAATCACCGGCTTCCACATTCCCACTCAAGTCAAATGCTGATGACGAAAGGCCGGCTTCAATATCGTCGCGGAACGAGGATGGCAGGCGCGTGTAGATGGGTTCGGGGATGGGAAGGAGGTGTATCCAGCGGTGCCGGGTGAAGTAGGCAGCTGCGCGGTGTTAGTCTGTGTCGCAAGCGTGGTGTCCAAGGTAGCTTACCTGTCGCAATCACCAGGACGATGAATGATACGGAGTAGAGGATGTAGGCCATGACGAAGATGCTGTTTGAAGCTTTTACAAAGGTTTACGGGTTATGCGACACAGCGGAGGTCTTCGGGAGTGTGTGTGAGGGCTGCGAGGGCGCAACAAAAGGATCCAGGAACTGACAAACAAAAGAAACAGACGGGAAGTGAAGTTGGCGATGGAGTTCAGATGCGAGCCTTTCAGGATAAAGGCATTAGGAAGAGTTGGCTTGACACGACGATGGTTCGTAACCACGGAGTCGCGGACAAAGACACTCGGCTGCACCGCCCCATATCGCGTGAATGCGTGGTCACACCTCCCGCTCCGCTCCGCCCTTGGCACCGGCACGCATGTTGATCCATCCCCGAGACACGCACTAAGCGCATACGGTAATGCAGACGAGGGCCATCCATTCAATATTGGCGAACTTTCCTAACGTCAAGCAATCGACATCGTCCGTATCCACATTCCATACAGACACAATGGCCACCACTATCTCGCACGATCTTGCCTGGGAGGTTACCAGTGAGTGAAAGACTGGGACACGAATTGGCGTGGGACTGGGGTTGACATATGGCAGAGGGACGCAGCTCCACGCTCGTCAAGAGGGCGAACGGTGTCCAGTTCTCGCGCGATCCTCTTAACCTGAGGAACGTGTACAGCCGCAAGGTACGCATGGGTGTTGGATTGGTGAGGACAATGAACTAACTCTGCTCAGAACGAGGGCTCGATCGCCAACAAGGTACGACCACAACGGACCGCGAATGCGCCGCGCGCATATGTGAACTGAAGAAAAGGGCAATGTTGACAATATTGGAACAGGCCATCGGTGTCATCCCCGGCAAGGAGGGTGGTGTCACTCTTCTCGTCAAGAAGGCCGACAAGCACCACCAGCCCGCGTCTGCCATCCAGACCACCACCTTCGGCCCCAGCCGATCCACCCGCAAGTACGTCCCCAGCAGTCCACGGGCTTGTTCGAACGACCGCAGCCACTTCGTACTCTAGAATCGCTTGCTGACCAACGCAGGACATACTCCGCCATCGTCAACTCCACCACCAAGCGCAACTACCGCCCCGACCTCCGCCAGGACGCCGTCGCTAAGGCCTCCGCCATCCGCAGGAGCCAGAAGCCCGTCAAGGAGTCCAAGCCCGCCAAGGTCAGGGGTGCTAAGGCCCAGGCCGCGTCCAAGGAGGCATAGATTATGAGATACTGAAGAGCGTGGTGCATGTGAATTGGTTCGGAGTTTTACTTCATTCGGTTCATCATCTTCTGTGGGATTCGGAGCTTATGAAATGAAATGAGCATGGGTTGCATGAACGAATAAAGCTAGAGTCTTCACGACGAATTGACTCGGCGAGAAATGAATATGCTTCGAAAACCATATGCCGGTCCTGCCGCTTCAATGCTGGATGTGCACACCATCCTGCGAAGTGATTGTCGCGAAAGACGTTCTCCAAGTGTCACCCAGACCGTGCCCGTGCCCAGAAGCGCTCATCGTAATATTCACGTGGGACGTACAACCAATACAATACGCCATTGCAATTTGAGCGTCGTGGAGAACAAATGAAATCTATCCAAATATATTCCCAAACTACGTTGTAGACGTCGAAGATTAAGCTTCTAGATATACAAGACGTGAGGCGTGTGATTGTTGTCTCTACCAGCATACAGTGCAAGCATAAGGCACCTATCAGAGTAGAGTAAGACAGCTTCATGCACCAGAGTGAGGCCATGCCCTTTTCGGAAAAAGACTGGACAGCTCTGTTCTACCAGACAACTTGCACAACGCCACACCCTTGTTTGAGGCATAATGAATATCCAAAATTCCTATGAAAACTAGACGTAGAAAAGACGCATCTTACTCTCTTCCAAGTTTATCTGGCTCACGTCGTTGTGCTGTTGGAAGGCTACAGGGGACGAGGGCACAGACCATCCGTCTGAGATTTTCGGTGAATGACACAAGGCCATTTGATAAACGACCGGGGCATTATCATCCTCGGGCTGCGGGTGGGTCTTAATCTTGACCAGCCTTCGCTTGTGTAATGCTGAAACATGTATGGATACGGTATTATTTCACTTTTTTTCATCAAATCATCTACTCAGCCTCTCAGGGGTTGTCATCTTCAGTAGTATAGTGGTCAGTATTTCCGCTTGTCACCATCACTGGCAACTCGCGGGAGACCGGGGTTCAATTCCCCGCTGGAGAGCACAGCATGCAATTCTTTTTCTTTTTCTTTTTTGCCCTGGTGCAGTGAATCACGTGGTGGCCGGCTCGGACATGGTAGAGACAAACATCTCCCCCTTTTTTTGTGGCCATGCCCCGCGATGCGTCATGCAACTGATCACCCCATTCCTTGTTGTTATATGCAGTACCGAAATAACGCACTGGAAGTATTTCAGTTGCACTTCGACGTTTTGTCCTTGCGAGCACTTTCTGGCGATCTTCATTCAAGATATCCAGACAGCTTACGTACAACTCCTACCTCCAAGTGTTCATGCGTGTTCCCTTGCATCCATCAACAGTCTAGAGTATCATCAGGAATCGCGGTGGGTCCTTCTTCGTTTCCGCATCCTAGGTTGACCTTGTTCATAATGGTACGTCGTCAAATTTGCAGACGGGGACGGGTTATCAGCAGGCTGTCGTATATTCGAGAAAGTGAGTAGCCCTTCCGAAGCTTGACGAAGCGTATGATCATCATCAATTGGCGCTGCGGAAAAAGAAGAGTCAAAAGCTGCTATCTTCTGTGTAGACCACCCGTCGTCAGCCGGTGTCCACTCCCTCAGAAGCGATCCAGTGCCAGCATGCCACATGAGCTGGCGCAAGGTCGCTGACGGCGCGACTAGTAAACATTGGCATCTTCCCTTTGACCCCATGCGAATACGCGTCGCGACGCGCTTGGTGAACCTCGTCATGCCTGGAGGTGCATCACCAGGTCCGCCGTAGTACCTTGGACTCAAAGTGCAGTCCAAAGTTACTGTTGTAAGATGTGTAATGGGATACTGCTGGAGTGCCTCCCGCCAACCGTCAAGCTCCGATTCATAATGCTCCTCAGGAATACGTCCGATTTCGTCTATAAACGACCTCTCTAGGGAGGTCTTGGCCATCCTATACGCCTGGTAGTCGCTACAGAATAGCGAAAGTCGTATCTTCTTTGGCAGTCCAGCATGAACTAGTGCTGTGGATGTTTCATGGGTTGTCGCGTCTGATTTCTCGCTCTTGTAATCCGCAAGCAAGCTCGATAGTGCGGCATGTGTCTGGAACGTGACGCTCCTCTCTCGAAGTATTATGGGTAGAACTTCCTCACGAATGACTTTTGAACAACCTAGCAACGGGAGTGGCACTGCTTCTGTGATTGCATGGTACACGATCGTTGAATCGGTGAGTGCATAGTACCATATGTCGTCTCGCAGTTCTCTTGCTAGAGTCGAAAAAGCGCCGAGTGGATTATTGTTCAGCTCCATGTCGGTACTGGACGAAAGGTGTTCGTATCCAAATAGAATCGGGAGCTGAGGGGCTAGATTCCTTAAACGTTGTCCAGGTGGCACCAAATTGCTTCTTTGTTCCGAGACGCGACCACCGGCTGCTCATGCGAAATCCGACTAATAGAAACTCAACCTTGGGCTCAAGGCCGCAAGAAGCGAGATCTGGATCCGTGTTACCAATGTGCCATGTGTGGCTGAAGCGCGAAAAGCTGTTGGGGGGGACAGCCGAGCAAGCGGAACGCTGCGGGCCGCGGGCGTGGCCCAATCCAACGCTGGTCATGCACTAGCGGCTAGCGAATTGTCCTTCTCCATCACCAACGCACCGCAATCGCCCTGCCGACTCGTGCTGCACACCTTAGGTACCGTCTCTTCATGTTCAGTGGTAGATGGAGCTTGTCGTTCGATCGATCAGATCGCGTTTCCTACAGTAGCCTCCCGTATCAGACGCACAAGCAGGGATAAGCTGGGTATCACGAAGCCCTTGTCTCACAGATCCATCTGTTTGCCCATTTGCCGAGCGGCTTCGTCCATACACGTTGCGTGTAAAGGGCCTCGCCTGGCCGGTCAAAGGCGGCCGCGTTGTCGCTGATGCGCTACGCATAGCAGCATTTTTAACGAGCTGGCGCTGCACATACCTTGTAGGCGGGTCGTTTGACGCGTAGTGATTGGCTATACAACAGCCTTCTCGAGAAGCGACTTCATCCTGATTAACAGTCTAACATCCTTCGGCAGCTAGTGGCTTACCGCATGTTTCCTAGGACTGCCGTCTGATCCACCGCTGTTCTCACTAGATGTCAGTACAAGGCTGATTGCTGCCTCAAATCTGGCATTCAGTCTACCGGTTCGTCCAGTGTTATGCGTCCTAACCACTCGCACAACGGCATGTCGTGGACTCCGGTGGACTTTACCTGTGTTCGCTACTCAGCAGTGGAGGGCACACACTATTTCCATGACTCCGCTTTTCCTACCTCGATACAATTCTTGTTGTCGGGTCGCTGGGAGCCTTGGGACGTTAGCTACGTAAAGTAGTACGCTGCGCTTCTTTTCCTAGATATTCCAGTATACGGAACTAACGTCTCTAAGCAAGGCCCAGGATCCAGATGTCCGACGCGTCGCGGAAGAAGCAGAATTGCGACTCGTTCGGGATCCTTACTCTGGATATACTCCATGGCCATCTCCGCCTCCCTCTTCCACGGGTCCTCCCCCACTAGCTCCACTGCACGGCCACAACCCATCTCTACCAAATGTCAACCAAACCACAGGAGCAGGCCTCATGACACCTTCTCCATCTACGGTAGTCGAGCATGCTCCTCCGGGATCGCCACGAGATCACAGTACGCCTTCATCCGCGACAACTGCAAACGTCTATGCCTCTCCATATGCATATCAGCCTACCGCACCGATTGGTTGTACTACAATGCCGCCAGAATCAGCCCCTACTGCCCAGACAGCTCTGGAAGATAATGGTCACCCAGATCACACTAATGCGCACCCGCCGTCTTCACAGTACATCGATCCTGCTCTCCGTGATCAATCAGCACACCCAATACCAGCACCACAAGCGATTCTCTCGAGGACGAGAGAGACAAAGATCCTGCTCTCGATCGACGGCGACGGAATTCGAGGACTGTCTGCTCTCCTTCTAGTCGAATCGCTGGTGAATGCAATATGTATCAAGGTTGGACAGCGCCTCGACAGCCATCAGATCTTTGATTTGACGGGTGGCAGTTCTCTTGGTGGAATAATAGCCATTATGCTATGTCGGCTTCGAATGCAAGCTCACCGAGCTAGAGAAGCATATAAGCAAATTGCCAAACAAGTGTTCGAGAACAAGAGAGCTTACTTCAGATATCTCGACCCTCATGCACAGGTAAAAGATGTCGACGACAAAGCACTGGAGCAAGAGATCAAGAACGTGATTCAGAAAGAGCTAGGCACTTCAGACGAGGCACTCCTAGATGGACGGCCAGACTCCGGCGATGTGTAAGCAAAATATAATCACGGGCTAGACAAACATTCTAACCTGGTACAGTTTCGCGATCACGACACAGATGGATATCGGTATGTACAGGTTGGGGCGAAACAATGAGGTTGCTTTCACTAACCTGTAGAAGGCACCAACAAAGCTGCTCTGATACGATCATATCAAACACGGCGCATAACTGGACCGGACTTGGAACCAAACATGCCCATATGGCAAGCGATGAAAGCGACTTCTGCAGCCCCACGATACGTGCAATCCGAGCCCGGCGTCCCGCAACGCTTCGTGATTGAAAAAGGCCTTGTCGACCATGGGACTACAAAGAACAATCCGATTCGCGATATTCTATACGAGTGTAGAAAGCTGTTCCGATATGCCAATGACATGATGATCATCGTCTCAGTCGGAACCGGCGCCGGTCTCGACCGGAAAAATGAAATCCCTGAGATGGCAAACAGCGTCGAGGATAGGAAGGCCGAAGCAAGAACTTGGGGCGAGAAATTTGAGGCCGAACATGCGGCACTAATGGAGCGGAACTGGATGAAGTACTTTCGGTTCGACGTGACGGGACTTGAAGATGTGCCACTGGAGGAGTGGAGTCACGAAGATCTAATCAAAGAAAAGACATCGGCGTACCTGGCCCAGCCAGAGGTTGGACAGAGATTCTATGCTTGTGTCGACGCGATAACGGCGTTACTGCTGAGCCCGCAAGGAAGGTAGCAATGCACAACGATGAAATGTACGGTCCAGCTGTCCAACGGCAAATAAGCCGCTAGCCATAATAATAATCTCGGTTCATTCTGCCACAGTGTGCATGCTGGACTGACCACAACGCCAATGTCGTGGCTTGCCACTACCCTGTTGGGCTCCGGCGTCCTGTGCGTTTCATTAGGTCCCCGCAGTATACCGCGGACCTGGCGGGGCGTGATGTCGCGTCGGCCTTCAGTTCTCCTATACTACCTCTTGCAACGTGTGACATCATATATTCGATGTCAAGCAGCGCGTCAGGCACACTGCAATATAAGCGAAGCGTGAAGGAAGATCCGAGCTCCTAGTCAGCATCGCATAGCAGCAGCAGCATACGGAACGCCTATGACGCCATGCCTCATCCTTCCTCTTGGCCCAACATGCGCACCGACCAAACATGGGAAACATGTCGCACATCCCTTTTCCCATCATCGGTCGATGCGTCTTGTATACCCCGCGATCAGTTGATTGTTCTTGGCTGTGTAAGAAGACAAGCCCTTGGCTTTGAGTAACAAGCCTCACATTGGAGGAGAAAGCTTACCGCAGACAGAGCCAGCCGCCTCTTGACATCAGAGGCAGGGTGGAATAGGTAGGTAACCTGATGTCGCATGGGAAAGAGCGAGAGGCGGAGGAATGCAGGCTTTGCGGGCGACAAGGTGTTATGTATATCTCCTTTACTCTCTTCGTACTGCGCGTCTCATACCCTTCTTTTCCCTTTTTACTGCGTGCCTCCAAGCTTCGAAATGGCCACCGTAGAAGCAGGCAAGGCGACTGCCGTACCTGACACAGAGCGTGACCCCGACTATGGTCAAGGCAAAGAGATGGATCAAGAGAAAACGGACCGAATCGTCAAAGACGACAAGGTCGAGCTTCAAGACAGTGATGCTTGGGACAAGCTTGGGTACTCTTTTCCAACTTGGCGCAAATGGTGAGTTGAGCTTGAATTTCTTATCCAAGTGCCGCTTTGCCGTGACATACGAGTACTGTGGCAGGACATCTTGGGAGCCTACCATGACCCAATGTCCATGTTTGGTCGCTTCTTTCAAGTCTCGATGGTTGGAGTCCGATGCTAATGGTAATTACATGGTAGGCAGATCCTCATCGTAGTCTTCTTCATCCAAATCAGTATCAACACGAATGCCTCCATGTACTCGCATGCCGTCAGCGCTGTATCTGAACACCATGGCGTCAGCGAGCAAGCAGCCCGCGTCCCACAGGCAGCTTTCTTAATCGCCTACGGTATTGGATGCGAACTTTGGGCTCCTTGGTCAGAAGAGTATGGCAGATGGCCCATCCAACAACTCAGCTTGTTCCTTGTCAATCTCTGGCAGATTCCATGCGCCTTGTCGAAGAACTATGCTACATATGTGGTTTGTCGAACGCTTGGAGGTCTATCGACCGCCGGCGGCTCAGTCACACTTGGCGTACTGGCCGATATGTGGGAGCCAGATGAGCAAGAGTTTGCGGTTGCATTCCTAGTTCTATCGTCCGTTGGTGGATCTGTCGTCGGTGCAATCATTGGAGCCTTCGTAGAAGAGTGAGTCCATCGTTACCAACACCTATAGACAAGCACCAACTCAGCCATTCAGATATAAATCGGTCGAGTGGATATTCTGGGTTCAGCTCATCATTGGAGGCTTCGTACAGGCTGTCCACTTTCTCTGCAACCCGGAAACTCGCTCGACGATCCTGCTGGACCGTGAGGCCAAGAGGCGACGTAAGACGGGTGAAGATGCGAATATTTATGGTCCAAATGAGATCCGAGGCGGTCACAAGATGAGCTTCAAGGAGGTCGGCACTATCTTCTGGAGGTATGTAAAGGATCCAAGACACGGATGCCATAGTGCTAACGAAAACGTAGACCGTTCTACATGTTCTTCACTGAACCGATCGTCTTATGGCTATCCCTCCTCAGCGGTTTTAGTGATGCCTTGATATTCACATTCCTAGAGTCTTTTGGGCCCGTCTACGAACAGTGGGGCTTTGGTACCGTCGGCGCCGGCCTTGCCTTCATACCCATCTTGCTCAGCTACTTCCTGGCTTACGCTTCGTACATGCCATCGATAATCAAGTTCCGAAAGAAGCGCCGGGTAAATCCAGATTCTGTTGCACCCGAAGCCCGACTTTGGTGGTTGTTGTTCCTTGCACCACTGGAAACTTTGGGCTTGTTTGGGTTCGCCTGGACGTCACTTGGACCGGATTATGGCATTCCTTGGATCGCGCCTATGATCTTCTCGGCGATGGTCGGCATGGCAAATGTAAGACTTGAAATTTACCATGGCTGTGAGTCTACTAACAGTCTCTAGTATGCAATCTATCAATCTTCAATCGACTACCAGACCGCTGCATATGGTCCATACGCTTCCTCGGCAACTGGTGGTAACGATCTTGCTCGTGACGCTCTCGCTGGTATCGCTTCACTTTACTCCACACCTTTATACAAGAACATTCCGGGGCGACCCTTGCAATATGCTTCAACGATCCTCGCCTGCCTTGCTTTCGTGGTCACAATACCAATTTATATTGTGTATTGGAAAGGTCCGGAGATTAGAGCTAAATCGAAGTTTGCGCAAAGTCTCGACCAAAGCAGGCATCAAAGAGACGAGAAGAGGAGGAAGAGTAGCCTTGCAGGCATCGAAGGACCGTTGGGGGAGAAAGAGAAAAAGGTTCATCGAGAAGCTGTGTAGGAATAGGCACCTATGGGATGTTGTATGATTGTGAAGCAATTGCATGGGTTGGCACCTTTGATGTATAGCGTATGCGAGTGACGTCTTATGATAGTGCATGCCACTGTTCCCATTACGTCTTCTGGATGGGTGGCGTATAGCTCGGGCGCATGAACGGTTGGTCAAAGTCCCAGACGGTCATAAGAAGATGAAGTCGACAGGTGGAATGCGGCGTTTACGATGACCAGGGTTGTTTTGGTGTTTGACTATTCGATGGCTCGCAAGTTAAGTGGCTGTCGTCCGGCAGGCTCAGATTGCAGATGTGTGTCCTCGTATGCGGTGCAATGCTGTTGTTTCTCCGAGCTCAAATGACAGCGTCGCGTGTCCACTCCACCCTTGGGGTCCGCAACACCATCATCGTCTGGTGCCGGTTTCCCCAGTCGTTTGCCATGGCCTTGGTATGCCGTCTGGGGGTAGCAGGGCCGATTTTGAGCAGTCGGCTGACTTACCTTTTGGGGGGTCTTGCCTGACAAGTCTAGTGTTCACCCAGCCGAGGTCACGCGCGTGGAGCCATGGTGCTTTAGTCAGGCACACGGTCCCTTCCCCAGACGGACGTGCTTAAGATGAATGACGCCGCCGGCATTTGGCTGCGCCCCGCAATGCCACGACATTCCTCCAGGACGTACACAAGAGGCGTTACCTGAAATACATTGTCTTGTCTCATCCACACAGAGCCATGACGAAAGCGCGCTATGACTTCAAGACGCGCCCGGTCGCGCACCCGGACGCCATTGTCGCGGGCGACAAGTACCGCTTTACCATCCTCACCGACGGTCTGCTGCGCTTCGAGTGGGCCGAAGACGGGCGATTCGAAGACCGCGCGAGCACCTTCGCCATTAACCGCAAACTAGCCGTGCCTGACTTCTACGTCTGGGATCGTGGCCACGGCATCGAGATCGTAACCAAGCGCTTCCACGTTGTATACGACAAGAAGAAGTTCAGCGCCGACGGTTTCAAGATCCATCTCAAGGGCAACGTGACGGGCACATGGACATATGGGCAGCCACTCTCCAATCTGGGCGGCACAAACCGCACACTAGACGGTGTAGATGGCAGGACCAACCTGGGCCCTGGTGTGCTGTCCAGAGAGGGCATGGCCCTTCTGGACGACACCAAGTCCATGCTTTTCCAAGACAACGGGTGGATTGCAGGACGCACGAGTGGCGATAGGACAGACCAATACATCTTCATGTATGGCCGCGACTACCGGGAAGCCATGCGCGCCTTCTACGCTGTGTCAGGAAGCCAGCCTCTCCTGCCACGATACGCCATGGGCAACTGGTGGAGTCGATACCACGCCTACGACGAGAAGGAATATCTTGACTTGCACGATCACTTCGACAAAGACGACGTGCCCATGAACGTGGCGGTTGTGGATATGGACTGGCATCTGGTATGGGACTTGCCTGGCGGCGTCAATGGCTGGACTGGATACACATGGAACAAGAAGCTCTTCCCCGATCCCGACGCTTTCATGAAGAAGCTGCACGATCGCGGCATGAAATTGACGCTCAATCTGCATCCAGCAGACGGCTTCCGGCCGCACGAGGAACAATACCCCGAAGTTGCCAAATACCTTGGCATCGACCCACAGTCTAAGCAGACGATCCCTTTCGACTGCACAGACAAGAAGTTTATGGACGCATACTTCGACATCGTACACCACGAGCATGAAGAGCGAGGCGTAGATTTCTGGTGGGTGGACTGGCAACAAGGCAACACATCCAAGATCCCCGGAGTCGACCCTCTCTGGGTGCTCAACCACTTTCACTTCCTCGATAGTGGTCGTGGTTCTCAGCGCCCTCTGATTCTCTCCCGGTTTGGCGGCCCAGGAGCCCAGCGCTACCAGATCGGCTTTTCCGGTGATGCTATCATCACCTGGGACAGTCTACACTTTCAGCCTGAGTTTACAGCAACTGCGTCGAACATTGGGTATGGTTGGTGGAGCAACGACATTGGTGGCCATACACACGGCTACAAGAATGACGAACTCTACACACGATGGGTACAACTAGGTTGCTGGTCCCCCATCTTGCGCCTACATTCAGACAACAATCCTTTCAACACGCGCGAGCCTTGGCGCTTCAACCAAGAGGCACGCGTCATCGTAGAAGACACCCTACGTTTCCGCCACCGCCTCATCCCATACCTGTACACGATGAACGCGAGGAGTGCCTCTGACGACGAGCCACTTATTCAGCCCATGTACTGGGACCATCCCGAGGCTGACGAGGCTTACAACGTGCCCAATCAGTTCCGCTTTGGCTCTGAGATGATTGTTGCCCCCATCACCCAGCCACGCGACCAGACTACGCATCTTGGTGCAGAGAAGCTCTGGCTCCCAGAAGGCCGTTACGTCGACATTTTTACTGGCATTGTATACAACCGTGCCGGCGAACTCACCGTCCACCGTCCCCTAAACTTCGTTCCCGTGCTCGCAAAAGAAGGGTCCATAATCCCCCTCGACGCAGCCTACCGACCCAAATCTGGCTCTCCTAACCCAGAAGGTCTGGAAATCCTCCTTGCTGTAGGCGCAGACGGGTCTTTCACGCTCATCGAAGACGATGGCACAGGGCATCTTGTTGACGACGGCGGCTTTTCAATCATCGACGACGAAGGCCAAGAATCAGCCGATGATACTGTGCGCTTCGCACATACACCCATTACCTACAAGCAATCTACTGGCGTCATCAATATTGGCCCCACCACACCTGAAAACCACGCCATTCCCAAGAACCGGTCTTGGAAGATCCGCTTACTGGCTCATACACCCAAGAAGGGTGCAGAGATACGCTGCGTCACAACCTCTCCTACTACCAAGAAGCACGCAAAGGTCCTTTCGCACAAGGTTACCCAGGAAAGTAATGGTACACTCATCACGCTGGATGCTGTGCCCACTTCGCATACCATCCATATCGAACTCATGTCTTCTTCATCTCGTTCCTCAGCTTCTTCGTCGGGTCCACAACTTGATGTTATCGATCCGAATCCCAAACTCTGGGACATCATTGACAAGGCGTGGGTTGAAATGGATAAGAAGTGGGATTACTGGAATTGCGTCAATAACGGAGAGCCGGTCTTGAACAAGGTCAGGGCGCTGCAAGGGAGAGGCATGCACAGAGGGTTGCTGGATGCGATGCTGGAGTTGTTGCTGGCGGACGGGAGGTATGCTGGAGAAGAGATGGACGAATGGTGAAGTTGGTAGTGCGCTCTTGTAGATCTAACGTGCCCGATGTTTAGAAGAAATGGACAAGTAATCCCCCCTTTGAAAGAAGATTGTGTCTCAATACATGTGTTTGTACATTGCTGCATCAATTCAAGCCCTCTAATGCATCCCACGTAACATCATGCAAGCCAACTGTCCTATGGCCTCATCTCCACCTTGTCCTTGTGTGATTTCATCGCCTCCTTGAACCCATCCCTCTGCAAAATCTCGGCCACCTTATCCATGACCTTGCCCTCTCTCCTCCTACTGTAGTCACCTTCCTTGAGCTCATACCCAGCCCTTGTCGCGTCCTCCAAACTCTCATACTCCCAGATATTCGCCTTCATACCCACACCGTGATACTGATGTTTCTGCAAAAACGCCAACCACGCCTTGATGACGTCTGGATGCCCGTCTTGAATCTGGATAAGTCGGCGCATGGTGATACGCTCAAAGTTCTCTTGCGACTTTTTGAAAATGAAATTGGAGCGGGGCACAGTCCAGCGCTCTGTTATCCTTGGGAGGGGAACGGGACCCCGCGCGCAGAGACCCATGTAGTATGCTGCGCGAACGGCGAAGTCGGCGAAGAGGAGAAGGTTGCGGACGTTGTAGGTGCGCAGTTGGAGGTCGCAGGTTGGCACGCCGTATTCGGGGGTGCGGCGTAAGGGGCGGAGATGTACGGCACGGACGTTTATGGGTGTTCGGAGGGCTTCGAGGGCTTCTGCGGTCTTGGGGTCGAGGGGTGGTTCGTCGGTGGGAAGGGTGATGTTGTTTTGCCTGGAGCCATTGTTAACGAACTGCGGGTTTGGAACAGGAGTTTGGGAAGGAAGACTGACTTTGCCAGCTTGATAGGTTCTAACCCAGCGCGTTTGTACATCTTTAGCAGACCCAAGTGATCAGGTGTGTTTTGTAGTTCTTTCCACCGCCGTTGTGCGTCTTCGCGCGTCTTGGGCTCCCACTCTTCTTGGTCTTGATTGACTTTTTGCTGGCTTGCGTACAGGCTGTTGAATCGTTAGCAGCCTCTTACTTTGCTACTCCAGCGGGTTCGGCATGTCATACGTCTTGAATTCTTGCGGATCGATCCCAGCATCCTCTAACCGCTGATCAAGTGGCATAGCACTGTTCTCCAGGTCCATCTTCAATTTATCCATAAGCTTGACATCCTTGTCTTCTCGTGAATCCCTCTCGTTGTTGTCTTCTTCTGCTCTTCCGCTCTTCGCTCGCGAGAAAGTCTGTGTGCATGGTCGGGGGGCGTGGGCAATCTGTGCAGCGCATTAGCGACCAAGAATTCCTCCTGCAGCAGTGCAATTGCAATAAAACTACCTTCGCCCTCTTCGCCGGCCCCAGGAAGGAGCGCATACATCGTGGCGCGGCCATTCTTGATATCGTCGCACTCACTACGTCCAACATTGAACTTCTTCCAGAGGGCCGATGGCGCTAGTCACGGTTCCGCTTACTGTCTTGGCAACATCGGAATTGGCCGCCGCCTTCCCTCTGTACCCTAGTCGTACCGTTCGAAAATGTCACACGTACGAGGCAGACTATTTCTTTAGATACTGGATTGCACTTCTAGTCTCTTTTACTTCTACTCTATTTCAGCAAACACCACAGCGTTCAAGATGGAGACCGTTTCAGACATGGCAGCTGCACCCAACGCCTATGCCCGCGCTACGGAAACGGCCAAATACGTACGCTCACAATTGCCAGAAGCACTGCAATACCCCAAGGTAGCCATCGTGTGTGGCTCTGGATTAGGTGGACTTGCCGAGACGATTGAATCAGAGCCCAAGGTCGAATTGGCTTATGGAACGATTCCCAACTTTCCAAAGAGTACCGGTGAGTACTGGACACTGAAACATGCTATCGCCGAGGACGTGATTCTTCGCATGGCACAAGCTGCGGGGTACTGATATCTTTGTTTAGTCGTAGGACATGCTGGAAAGTTTGTGTTTGGGCAGATTGGACCCCAGAAGACGCCTGTCGCGCTTCTTGTTGGACGAGCACAGTGAGTCACCAAAACATCGAGAGACTTTGTTTCGAAACAATAATATTGATATGTTTAGTTTCTATGAGGGACATTCGATGGACCTGGTCACATTCGCCACGCGAGTGTGCAAACTGCTCGGTGTCGAAACCATGATCGGTATGATGAGTTGCCAATCAATGAACGTAACCGATTAGCTAACCAAAAGCGAAGTCACAAACGCAGCTGGTGGTCTTAATCAGACTTACCGCGTAGGAGACATTGTTTGCTTGAACGATGTACGTACCATTCTAACGACGTTGACCCTACTCTGACTGTGCTTAGCATCTCAACATGGCTGGACTTGTCGGCATTCATCCTCTGCGTGGCCCTAACATCGAGGAGTTTGGCGTTCGTTTCCCACCTCTATCAGATGCCTATGACCTCGACCTGAGGGTGCGGACGCACAAGGCCTGGGCAAAGCTAGGGCTGGATAAGCAGCAACGAAAGCTACATGAGGGTGTTTACGCATTTGTAGCAGGACCAACGTATGTCATTCATGTCCTTCTCCTCCCCTCTACTTCGCTATGGGTATCAGACAGCTGCTGACTGTCGTCAAGTTATGAGACTCGGGCAGAATGCCGAATGCTCAGTACGCTGGGGGCTGATGTTGTGGGTATGTCAACTGTACCCGAGATCATCGTCGCCAGACACGCTGGAATGCGCATTCTGGCATTTAGTCTAGTGACAAACGTTGCTGTTCTCGAGGCAGGCGCCCACGGAAACGATGCAGCAATTCAGTCCATGAATAGGGCGGAACTGACCGAGCATCTAAGTCAAGGGAAGGCAAACCACGAGGAGGTGCTGGAGGCCGGACGAGAGGCAGCCAAGGACATGCAGGCTTTGGTCAAGCAGATATTGTCCGATCTCCATAGTCAGTAGTAAGGGTAGCAGACGTTAGCGTGTGTTTCCCTGCGAGCAATGCGGGTGGGCATAGCACCAGGAAGGCGAACCCGATATCCAGAATAGAATATAGCATCCATCCAGTTGGCCAGAGCATGAACCAATCTGGCATCTATTGAGCCAGACTGTGGCCAGGCAAATCTCAAGGCTTGACGACCTTGCCTTTGTTTCGCTTTGCCTTCAACGCCTTGTAGTGGGCCTTCTTGCCACTCGCTTTGGCTGTCTGGATATCCTCGTACTTCCGCTTGAAACGGCCAGTGTCGTGTTCCTGGGCGATAACCTCCTCCAACATGGTCTGCTTGCGATCCTTGTTCTTCAAGCGGCTGCTGTAGAACTCAGTGGCGCCCTCGATTATGGTACCGACTTGGGAGAATGCGGGAACGTCGCCCTTCTTGTTGTCCTTCTTGTAGTGGCGCTTCGGGTCAAGGACGTTCCTCATCTTGAGAAGCTGTAGGTCTCGGCGCAGTCCTGGGGTGAGGTCGGTCTTGGGCATGTTGAACCATTGTGATCCAGCGGTGGCCTTCTTCTCCTGGGCAAAGTTGTTAGCATGGTTGCTGACAAGATGCCAAATAAAACTCGAATGAAGTAATGCCTCAGTGTAACTATGAACTAATGGAGCCTCAGTGGTGCAGGAAGGCAACCAAGACGGCGCCCGAGTCTGCTCAGCTGAAAAATTTGGGATAGATATCATCACAGGCATGCGTATGCATGGAGTGTAGCTTGAACGTACCTCTTGCTTCTGCTTCTTGATCTGGAGCGGATCCTCAATCTTCTTGATGCCGTTAGCCAAAGCCTGCTGCTTCTTGTCGACGAGCTTGGAATGATCTAGGCGCGTGATGTTGCCGTCAGTCTTTTCGTAAGTATCGGCAATATGACCGGGCTGCAGCTTCGGCAGCCTGAACGGAGCATCCGACTTGCTCACGGGCGGCGCTGTGGCTGCCTTTGCGCGCATACGGACAGCAGCTTCATTAAGCAGTTCCCGTATTTGCTCATCCGAGAGATCCTCATCGGTATCCTCGGCGAGGAGCGGCTGGTGCGTTGGCAACTCCATGTTGGCGTTGACAGGGAAAAGCAGTGGGAAAATTCGAGGTCGAACTTTTTGTCCCAAGAAGCTCGGACGCGCGCTAACCGTTTTGATTCCGTTGCGCTCAGAACCAGATGCCGTTCGCGCAGACTCTCGCACGGTCATGCGCACTCGATGGCATTGGGGTTGCAACATGTCCACCTCTGCTGGTATGCTAGTGCCAAGTTGCTCCGATGGTTCGCATCCGCCACGTCGAGCCCACTCGATAAATCTCTCCAAGTCAGCTTCATTTCTGTGCCGTCAGCGTTTGACATATTGGCTTATGACGCGCGCTCGCATACTCTGACGCGGTCGAGAGAATCGAACGACGAACAACTCATCGCCGGCATGGCCTGGTGTCTACAAGGCCAATCAAAAAGCGCCGTCCTGGCCAATCGCGTGCTCATGCCGCATGCTCGTCCAGCTGGGGCGGGACCAAGTTCGTCGCTCTAGCGTGGTGCCTCATGTGAAGTGTGCTGCCCTGGTAGCCTGTGCCGCCTAGGCATGGGTTACGATGCGCTCGAGTCTTGCGCCGCATGGAGATTGAATTGTGACGGGGGCGGCAGGAACATTGCGCCGCAACTGTGCTGTCACCTTGTCGGGCCTTGTAAAGAGATGTGGTGCGACGTGCATATTGCGCATATAAGCATGGCTGGAATGGCGATCGCAGCATCTTCTTCTCTGGAAGAGGCTCTAGCATGAGAGATGCTACGTCAGAACATCGAGCTAAGCTTGCATCTGCCATATACTGCAGCTCCCCTTCGCCAGCATTTCTACTTAATTCTCCCGCGTACCTGAGTAACGTTGGGGTCCCTGCTTAGCTGTGGTTCGTTGACTCGTTAGAAACCCACCAACCAAGCATCAACTCCGCGAATATATCCTCGTGCTGGAATTTGATTCGCCGGATCGGAGCATAGGTCAGTCGCGCCCTTGGTTCAACCTCATGAGAGTTGGTGCAATGGGATATAGAGTAATGCTCATCCAACATGGCAGGCCGCACGCAGCGACGCCCTCGCGCCCCAAAAGACAGGTACTTGCGCCTTCCCCGCCCACCTCGCCCCGGCCACTCAGACCGCACCTCTGACGGAATCACGACCTCGCCTTCCTCTCACAACACGCCCACCGCGAGACATTGAGCAGCCATTGGGTGTCGCGCCTCTCTTTCTGCACCATCCCGCGACTGAGGAACAGTTATCGTCCTCCACACGCGCCTCGGACTCACCCAAGACCCTGTCCACCGCGTGACACTTGCGCAACCCAGCCCAAGCCATGGACCAAGTGAATCTCCAGGGCCACGGCCAGCAGAAGATGCGCCAACAGCCTCAGCAAGCTGCGCCTCGCAAATACGATGGCCAGCAGGGCAACCCGCTCTACGATCCCCAGCAGGGTGGCCACTATGGTAAGTCTGCCCTTCCAGCTGCATGCCACGCGACGCGGCTCAGCCTGTCGCGTCCACCATGAGGTCTTGTGCTAACTCTATCTTGCAGGCGCGTCTGCAGCCGTATGTTCTCTCTGCGCATCCGCGCCTACTGCAAACTTGAAGCCGCTGATATTTGGTCCAGATCGCCGCGCAAAACCACGCTCCGGATCCGCAGCTGTTCACCGGTTCCTGGCAGAACGTATGCGCTTACTTCCGTCGTAGCCACCATCACACAAGCTGACAACCATAGGTTAACCAAGGACTCACTGGCAACTACCGCGACATTCTTAACACGTACTGGCAGCAACAGGTCACGAAGCTCGAGACGGACGAACATGACTACAAGCTCCACCAGCTTCCGCTTGCTCGGATCAAGAAGGTCATGAAGGCTGACCCAGAAGTAAAGATGATCTCAGCTGAAGCTCCCATCCTTTTTGCCAAAGGCTGTGACATCTTCATCACCGAGCTCACAATGCGCGCCTGGATTCATGCAGAGGAGAACAAGCGCCGCACCCTTCAGCGCTCCGACATCGCCTCGGCCCTGTCAAAGTCAGACATGTTCGACTTTCTCATAGACATCGTCCCCCGCGAAGAGGCTCATCCCCACAAGAGGAGTGCGGGTCAAAATGCAGCTGTCCAGTCGTCGGCAGCAGTCGTACCTCCCGGCGGAATGCCTCAGCCGGTGCACGCACAGCATTCCATGGCCCCGCCAGACTATGGTATGCCTCAGCATCTAGCACAGCAGGAAGACTACCAGCAACCACCCATGTACCCAGGCCCAGTGCAAGGCGACCCCAGAGCTTATGCGCAACAGCCCATGTTCGACCCCAACGTCTACACTGGCTACCCAATGGGTCAGCAACCGCAGATGTACTCCGTTGGCCAACGTGGGCCTGACCCGAATGCGGGCGACCCACAGGGCTATGGTCGCTATGGAGAGGCTGACCCTGACGACGACGCACAGGGCGAGCGGGTTGATGCTGACAGTTAGAAGCTGGGAGCTAACCCGGCACTTGTTGAACTGGTCCTCAAAGGTCTAAGAGCGGCGTGCCCCATGCTCTAATGGGCAAGGAATTCGTGGAATGGGACGAGGCCGACATGCAGATACAGATACAACTACCTTTTCAGAGGGCCTTGTTGGATGCCCTGGCCCTATGACAGAATTTGATACGGCGTTTAGGTGTAGTGTTTTGGAACGGCCGCGGATCGGCTACTTTGCGGCAGTCTCACGAGCAGATATCCATGATAGAATAACAGCTAGCTTCCATGATTGTCATGTTCATTCATCAACAGCACAGTGAAGCATGCCTCGGCGCGGAAGTGGAAACGTCATTAGCAGCATCCCGATCCGCCCCGGTAACTAAACTGGCTGAACATGACCTCGGTCAGCCAGGGTCCAAGATCCACATCACATCATGTCCTGAAGATCTATGCACAAAAAAGATGGTACCGAGACGACCTACGGTCTGACGAGCCGCGCAAGTGGATTGCGGTCGCTAATCAAGCAACCCGAAGACGATTTGTTATTTGATGCGAGGTTTCTCACACATTCGCAAGCGGCCGAACTACTACTTACCGCACGCGGGCTAACAGGCCGTCTTCTCCAACCTATGGGTCTGTACCTGCATCTGTTAACTAGCAGACATCCGACCTCTTCCGATCGCTCGAGGCACCGAGGCTCACGGTTGCGTGCTTGGCTGTCGCGGGCAAAGCATGAAGATGCACTCCAGATTTGGATCTATCAACTCATGGACCTCTGTATGTGAGGCTGAATCTTCTCTACCAAGATCTCAACAAGCACCCACGAAACTAGAAGCGTCACAAAGCTAACCAGACTGCACTGGAGAGCGCATTAGACTGCCGTTAGCTTGAAGCGCATCCCAGACATACTCCCGCCGGTACCCCGCGAAAGTGGGCCCGTGCTCCCACCCCACCTTCCTGGGTCCAACAGAACGGGCTCGTGGTGTGCAGCTCTTACCTACTTTACTCCAAGCCACCTCCTGCTTTCTTTCTCTCACCGACTCTTCCATTCCTCTTTCAATCTCCCTTTTCAACTATCACCTCTACAACCCCTCTCCTTCTTCTAAACAACTTACATCACAATGGTCAAAGCCGTAGTAGCCGGAGCCGCAGGAGGCATTGGACAGGTACGAGCCCGAGAGTACCGCAGGGACTTATATCTCCGCATTGAAGCCGGTACTGACTTATCCTCGACAGCCCCTTTCCCTGCTCCTCAAGTCCTGCCAACACGTCACTGAGCTCGCCCTCTACGATGTCGTAAACACACCAGGTGTCGCTGCCGATCTCTCGCACATCTCAACCCCAGCAGTATGAACTAGCTCTAGCCCCGCATATACACAGATATACTGAAGCTAGACAGACTGTTACAGGCTTCCTGCCCAAGGAGGACGGTCTTCAAAAGGCCCTGACCGGCGCTGACGTCGTTGTCATCCCTGCCGGTATTCCTCGTAAGTCAGACTGTTACTATTGCACGATCACCACAAGCTAATGGGTGCTCAGGCAAGCCGGGTATGACCCGTGACGATCTCTTCAAGATCAACGCCGGTATCGTACAGGGTCTCATCGAAGGCGTTGCCAAGTACTGCCCAAAAGCATTCGTGCTTGTCATCTCCAACCCTGTCAACTCGACCGTTCCCATCGCCGCCGAGGTCCTCAAGAAGGCTGGTGTATTCGACCCCAAGAGGCTCTTCGGTGTCACCACTCTCGATGTTGTCCGTGCAGAGACCTTTGTCGCTGAGATTACTGGCGAGAAGAACCCTGGAAACCTGAACATCCCGGTCATTGGTGGTCACTCAGGAGAGACCATTGTTCCTCTTTTCAGCCAGTCAAAGCCGAGTGTCAACATCCCCGCTGACAAGATGGATGCTCTTGTAAACCGTGTTCAATTCGGTGGTGACGAGGTCGTCAAGGCAAAGGAGGGCGCTGGCTCAGCCACTCTTTCCATGGCTTACGCCGGATACCGGTAGGTTTCATTTGCAAAGTCTTCCATGCTCTAGCTAACCACGGATAGCTTCGCCGAGAAGGTCATCAAGGCCTCCAAGGGCGAGAAGGGTATTGTCGAGCCCAGCTACGTCTACCTCCCAGGTGTCGAGGGCGGCGATGCCATTGCCAAGGCCACCGGTCTTGATTTCTTCTCTGTCCCCATTGAGCTTGGTGTAAGTAGACACGAAATCTCTAATTCCAGCTTGTGTCCGTAATATAGCTAATTCATTCGATAGGCCGGAGGTGCCGAGAAGGCCATTGACGTTGTTAGCAGCGCCAATGATGCAGAGAAGAAGCTTCTCCAGGCCTGCTACGACGGCTTGAAGGGCAACATTAGCAAGGGCGTCGAGTTCGTCGCGAACCCTCCTGCCAAGTGAGTATACTCGGATATCGGTACCACTTGACTGCAAGCTCATGTGCGCCGTCCGCAGATAGATTATAAGCCGCCATGAAGCGAATGAGAGATGACACCACGAGAACATGTCTTGGGATGTGCGTGGATTCACGCCAATCTGAGCAAAATATGAATGATTTGACGATACCATACTATGAAGTATCAAAGTGATATGCATTGCCTACCTGAATCCTACTCGGGACGTGCGGTGATGTTGATAAGAATTCATTGCGCTTGTCGAGACATGACATGACGAATCCTTGCAATTGATCGACCGCGGCTCTACGCAACCCGCGTGCACGTCTGGACTCCAACACCAGCACACCGCAAGAGACCCCACACTTCGCCCAAGCTGTAACCACAACCTGTCGACCTACGAAAAAACACCTAGATATCAGCGAAGACCGAACTACCGTATATATCCGAGCCGCCATTGTAGCCCGCTTTACATCGAAGCGCGCGCATCTTCTTCTCGCACCGAACCCACTCCCACCATCACCCGTGGACCAAGCCACCCTGATACTCTTCTGGGCGCACAAAGACGCAAACCACCCTTCAACATGGCGCAGGCCAATCCCTCCGCACCGAACGAGCCCTCCACATCCTATGTCGACCCCACGTTCTCACTAGTGAACACATCGTGTCTCGATCTCTTACTCATAGAGCTTGTACCTATGGCATATCGCATAACAGCTGATCTCGCCGCACGAGAAGAGGAGTGGATTCATGGATCGTCGGCCACAAAGCCAAAACGATTGTCGGGCACAAGCAACGACGCGTCAAGCACGGCAGCAGGCACAGCAAGAGGAACAGATGGCGGGCCGGTGGGGGGAGGAGGTACTGCAACAGTGGACGAGGAAGAAGCAAGAGAAGCTGTTTTCCATCGACTAGAGAACTTGGGGTACAGGGTCGGATTGGGTGTGGTTGAACGGTACATCCGTCCCTCAAGTCATACTTGGGCTCTCAAGATCATTGCTAACATTCGACACAGATTCTCCCGAGACGCACCTCGACCAACAACACCTCTCGACTGCATCAAATTTCTGTGCAAAGATCTCTGGACGCTCCTCTTTAGAAAGCAGATTGATAACCTCAAGACCAATCACCGTGGCATCTACGTCCTCACGGACAATACCTTCAAACCCCTCGGCCGCATGTCGTTTGATACGAAGAAATACGACGCCGCCATGCAAGCAGCACTGGTAGCACAAACAGGCGATGTAGCACTAGGACGGGACGCGAATAGCCAGGCCAGGGTTCAGCCATTCCTGTACTTCCCAGCTGGTCTGATAAGAGGATGCCTTGCAAGCTTGGGAATACAAGCGACAGTTACGGCAGAGAGTGCTGCGCTGCCCGGAGCAACGTTCCAGATCCGGACTGCAGGGGCGAAGAGCTAAGAGAATGGGCGAGGCGGTACACCATCTGTTTTTTTTTCAGCGGCATTGTGCGGCGTTGAAGGGTCCTATCGAGTTGATGTACTTGAGTGGCCATGGAATTACTTCCGGTGAACAGCCGCTTGGGTCAAGAAGCGGCCTTTCACGCTTATGCGTGGTTATCCGCATACTATACCCTCTTACAACAACTGCAGTAAACAAGAAAAAATATCGACTCAGCACACCAATTGTAGTCAGCGCGCCCGTACTTTCTAAACATCGTCACTCTACGATTAGGTCAGCCCTAAATAAAGACCGTGTTGTCTTAGCAACCTACATATCTTCAGCCTGGCATGTACAACGTCCTCCAATATCTACGTACGGAAACTCAAACATGCCGGCTCTCTCGAATATGAGCCTAATAGCTGAAGCTGTTTTCCCTCAACCATACGAACAACAAGTCATGGTAGCACATCATGACTCAAAGCCGATATCTTGACACGTGTTTTAGCCTCCCCTGCAGACTGATAAACTCTCACCCACATGCATTCTCCCTGTTCGTCTTGATTTCATTGGTCTGAGCTCAAGCGCTCGTCTCGGATCTCACGAAACAATCTAGTGGTCTAGTTAGCATCGCGAAATTGCACCACTAGGCTATTGCTTCCATTAAAGATAATGTTCCCCGTCGAAAACGAATGGCGGGCTTTGAAGCGGAGAACCTCGCGAAAGATCCGGCACATGAACCGAGGATTGAAAGGGATGCGAAGATGAAGCGATCCGCTTTTACGAGGAAGAGTGTAGGTCAGAGTACTGCGTGGCCGGATCGGGGTGTGGGAGATATCAGGTGTGACCATGACCCGGAGAAAGCCAGGCAGCAGAAGTCCGCATGGTAAGAACGGGTAGTCGGATTCAATGTGCGTCGTCTCGTGTCGAACGTTCTTGTTCTGGGTAGAATGCATATACTATACAACTACGTGGCGGTTTTCGGGGATCTTTCCGAGGGACTCAAGAGGCCATGCAATCCCGGTTCGGTTCTGGAGACAAAGGCATCTGGCTTGTAGCAGCGGCAGTGTTCCAGCAAGCTGTCAGTGAGCTTGACGGCATTGAAGCTTCCTAAGAGCGCTATAGTAGCTGCAGGAATGGTGCGCTCGAGATATGGACGAGAAATGAGGAGCTGAAGCTATTCATTATGGGACTAACCAACGACGTCGAAATGCTGGATTTTGTCACATGTACCGAAGTAACAGGATAAAGATTTACACCACTATTCATTAACATCTCCTGGAAATATTAGGTTCACGCTCTCCAAATCTACTTATCTGACTCCAATTGGAGCTGTTAGGTAGCTCCAACTTTCACCCCAGCGATTCGTCGTTCGCGGGGTAGATTGCTAACCGAGCAGGGGGTTTATCAATTGCTCGACGTGCCGCTTTCGGCAGCTGTATCCTACCTCAAACATGACATCACGGCCTTAGCAACAAGCATCTCAGCGGCAGACCTACTGCTAGCATGTTTCTTATCTCGACTTGACGAACAGTTATCGGAGACGTCGTCGCGTTGGAAGCGTTTCACGCAGCCCAAGTACGCTGCACAGCTAGGCAATCTAATTGGACAGACTATTCGTCATGGACTCGTACATGCGGAGATTTCTCGATTCTGGCTTATCGCACGAGGCACCCATGTCGTATCGTTGGATCGTCGCTGCCACTGCTATTTCGCAACCCGTTTTGCCTATCACACCAATCGAGGTTGAGCATCATGTTGTACTATCGCCGCGGAAACGCCGTAGGCGGCGAACTGCTCCTCGAGTACAATGGCAGTATCTCTACGGACCCTGGCCGGTATTTGGAGTCGATATGGCTGTTGAGGATGTGTTAATATAATCGCTTTCCTGGAAACAGAGAACCTGCGGAGTTTTCCAGCCTCTACATTCCACTTGTTGAAGCCTTCACAATGGCAGACACGACTAAGATACCTCTCCCAGTGGGAGCTGGCTATGGTGCGTTCCCTACAATTTCACCCAATGATCACAACTGAACCTTCCAGGCGTCGTCGTTGGCATCGGCTTCTTCTTTGCCTTTCTCATGATGGTAAGTGGTGGCGGTACGAAATGCATGTGAGGCATGCACTGACTTCGCACCTCCACATCTGTAGGGCATCTCCTGGCTGCAAAACAGATACACACGTTACTCAACACAATCATCCGAAGAGTTCAACACTGCGTCGCGCTCAGTCAAACCTGGTCTCATCGCTTCTGGTATCGTTTCGGCATGGACCTGGGCTGCCACTCTGCTCCAATCCTCTACCGTAGCATACCAGTATGGTGTGGCCGGGCCGTTCTGGTACGCTGCCGGTGCGACAGTTCAGATTCTCATGTTCTCGATCCTGGCTTGCAAGGTCAAGCAGAATGCGCCGAGATGTCATACATACCTTGAAATCGTGAAAGCGAGATACGGGACGGTTGCACATCTAGTGTTTATGGTCTTCGCGTTTGTAACGAACATTTTGGTGGGCAGCCAGCTCTTGTTGGGCGGAAGTGCAGTCGTTACTAGCTTGACGGGCATGCCGGTGTACGCTGCTGTATTCTTGATTCCAGTTGGTGAGTAATGTCTGAGAAGTCTATCCTAGAGATTTGCTGATAGAGACAGGTGTCTGCGCCTACGTTATCCTCGGTGGTCTGCGAGCGACTTTTATCTGCGACTACAGCCACACTTTGATCCTTATGATCATCATCCTCTACTTCATGTTCAACGCATACGCTATCAGCCCTTTAATCGGCTCCCCCAGCGAGATGTACGAGCTGCTCAAAAAAGCTGGGACCCAACGCCCAGTCAGTGGGAATCAGGACGGCTCATACGTCACTTTGAAGTCGAACTTTGGCTTAATATTCGGTGTCATCCAATTATGCTCTGGATCTGGAACCGTTTTCCTGGATCAAGCCTACTGGCAGCGTGCGATCGCCTCCAAACCTTCTACTGCCGTACGGGCATATCTCCTAGGAGGGATTGCCTGGTTCGCTATCCCATTCGGCTTTTCGACAACGCTTGGTCTTGCAGCTGTGGCGCTCACCGATAACCCACGCTTTCCCACTTACCCAGAGGTACCTACCTCTGGCCAAATCTCATCTGGTCTAGCCGCGGCCTTCGCTGCGGAGACACTGATGGGACAGGGAGGTGCTGTTGCACTGCTGGTGGTTCTCTTCATGGCAGTCACGTCGTGCGCGTCTGCAGAACTCATCGCCGTTTCTTCGTTGCTGACATTCGACGTTTACAAGGAATACGTTTCGCCCAAAGCCTCACCAAAGCAGTTGGTTTTCGTTTCGCACATTATGATTTGCGTTTTTGGATTGATCATGTCTGTGTTTGCCTGCATTTGGAATGCGGCATCGATCGACCTTGGATGGCTTTTCCTGTATGTTTTCCCCTATCTCATGGCTACCATATCATCGTTACTAACATGTTGAAGCGTTATGGGTTTGCTAATCGGTGGCGCTGTGTTCCCGACTGCCTTCGCCATAACATGGCGGAAACAAAGCAAAGTTGCCGCTATATCTGGTTGTCTCTCTGGTCTTGCCGCAGGTCTCACTGCATGGCTAGCGACTGCGAAGAGTTATTACGGCGAGATCACTGTAGAGACTACTGGCATGTCATATCCAACGCTCGCAGGCAATCTGGCAGCCATCATGACCGGACTCATTGTAACAACCACAATTACTTTGATCAAGCCGGACAATTTCGATTGGGAAATCACTCGTGCCATCAACGCTGTCGTTACAGATGGAGTAGATAACGCTGCAACGCCGAGAGATGCTTCCACACCCGAACTCTCTGATGCTGGCGAGAAGAAGATTCCAGCCGATGCCACCACACAACCCGAAGCAGCCGCAGCAGAGCTTCCACATCATCTAGCTCCTCCACTAGAAGAGGAAGACGACCCTTCCACACTCCGTCGCGCTTTCAAGCTCGCCTGCATCTCCGCATTCCTGTTGACCTTCATCCTGGACTTCCTTCTCCCCATGCCCATGTTCTTCTCGCACTACATCTTTTCTCAGGGCTTCTTCACTGCATGGGTGGTAGTAAGCTTTATTTGGGTATTTGCAAGTAGCGCGATTAGTTGTCTGTTGCCAATTTGGGAGACCCGAGGGAGTTTTGCGAGACTGTTTAGGAAGATGGGTGAGGATCTCAGGAAGAGAAGTTGAACTGTGAATTACAGACTTTAAATAAGGCTTGTCTACATTTAGTTTATGTGAATAGAAATACTATCCAGAGAAACAGTCAAAAGTACGTATAGATTCGTATCTTGACATGAGACTGAACGCAGATGTCGCATTTGTCATAAAAAGCTATGGATCGAATGACATAGCGTTCAACAAGATAACGACTATAATCTCGTCCGCGCCGCTCAAAAAATCTACTACGTAGCCCTTAGTTAAAATATTTTCATCATAAAATTCCCAGACAGATCAAAGCAAGGTAGGTCGCCTTTACGCCCTTTCTAAACCATGGTACTACTAGCTCCTGCATTATTAAGACTCATCACCATATCCTCTACCACCTATCTTCCAGAAACAGAGACACCTCTATTTTTGTTCACCAAGCAACACGAATACATATTCAGCAGATAGAATGGGTAAGCGCAAACCATACCCTTCAGGTCGACCCCCAAAGAACAGTGTAGCTGCAAGAGGAGAAGAAGAACAAGGAACAATATTCTTCTACATGCCTAAGGAAAAGCCGTACGGTGTTTTTTGTCAATGGCATACCAGCCCGTTCAGCATACCCATCACCTCACTGCAGTGGCTCGTTGACATGGCGCCTCCACCACCAACACCTCGAACTGCGTCTTCGTCGATTCCAAATCTCATAACCTCTATACGAACAACGTCTACAGAATCCTCGACTATCCTCTTTGCTCACACCGTATCAAATTCAACTATATCATTTACTTGCGCCGAGCAATCCTACATGTTCTGCAAAGCCGTCTATTTCTCGGACGCGAACACTGCCCGTCTTATCCTCTTGACTTCAGACCCTAAAGAACAAAAGAAGCATGGTCAGAAGGTCAAGAACTTTGATTTGAATGAATGGGGAAGAGTGAAAAGTAGGGTTGCTAGAGTTGGGAATTGGTACAAGTACACGGATACTAAGAATAAACATATGAGGAGTGTCTTGTTAGGAACACAGGGGAGGGAAATAGCAGAAGCGGCTCGGAGAGATCGTATCTGGGGGATCGGGTACAGATCAGATGAAGCAGAAACGTATAGAGATTCTTGGGGGGAGAATCTGTTAGGGAGGTGTTTGATGAATGTAAGAGATAGGATTGTGGAAATCGACAAAAAGATGGCAGAAAGGGACCCCGGAGGGAATGAAGACTGGGAGTGGGACGGACTGTTAGGCGATGGAGAGGCTTTCGAATGGCCTGCTGGTGCTGCAGTCGCAGAAAGATGAGATTTAGAGTTCCTCCACCTCTCCCTCTTGAGACCGCGGCCCATGCCTCTGTAAATCTTCAACCACCAACCTCGCCACTATCGCATGTCCCTTTGGTCTCAGATGGAAAACTCTCTTGTAGCTATCCGGCAACAACCAGTGGATCGAATCGCCCAACCATCCTTCTCCTTGTATTCCTCCGTCTTTTCCTCCTTTCGTCTTGTTCACAAATCCCTTGTCAGGATCAAATGTCCAGTCAGGATGCTGCTCGAGCGTCTTGTTGATATCCCTTGCGATACCGCCCTGGAATGAGTGTTTAGGTACATCGTCGCCAGTGCGGTTCTGTAGCGCAGTCTTATTTTCGCCTGTATCGACGGTATTCCATTCGTAGAATGCCAAACCGAGGCGATTGGGATCAGGTTCTAGGACGTCTTTTTCGCAGTACCGACCGCGTGCTGCAGAGATGTGCGCGTCATAGTCGATGAAACGGACATTTGGGCCAGCATCTCTTACGGCTTTGGATAGTATGGTATTGACGTTGTGGACCATATTGTTCAGTTCCAGTCTCAATTCGCGCTTGAGATATTGCTTCGTCCATTCCACGTCTTTCCAGACGGCCCAGGTTACATTGTCGCATGTTTGGTCGTCAGTGCCAAAGAAGCCTGCGTAGCCTGTGTAATAGATAATGCCATGTTCTAGATTCATCTTCGGCTTCGCAGCTTCAATGAGCAGTGTCACGTTGTGATAGAGTTCCGTTTCATTCGCGATCTTCGTGCGCGCTTCGTCAATGGCTTGTCGGCACGAGTCTTCGGCTGACATGTAGAATTGGTATACGCAATTACTCAGTATAGGTGTTAGCCCGATATCGTTTCCGCCGGCGGACATAGTGAGCAAGTCTAGGTTATCCTGCAAAGCAGGAATCTGCTTTTCGAGGATCTCGGTGCTTGTAGCGCCAGAGCAAGCGAGGAACTGGTGTGTTCGGTTAGGGTTGTCACCGAGAAGAGAGGCTTGAAGGATGTTTGGATATGATTGTGCGTATCGCGAGCATAGCCAATCGAGACGGTCTCCTGACCCGAGACCGGCGGAGTAGGAGTCGCCTACTGAGGCGAAGCGTTGGATCCATGGGAATTTGAGGACAGCCTCGTTAACACGAGATTGTACTGCACTATTGAAGAAGTCGGGAAAGATGGTAACTAAGAGCCACTTGTTGAAGTCAAGATCAAACATGGTGCCAGCACTAGGAAAGTATATAGTTTGAGTAGAATGTAGGATGCGAGTCCATACGGGGGTGTCATTAAGCAGTATGACGATGATGCATTGTGGACGGCAAACATGTCAAGAGGTTTTTCTTGTCGTTGTTGCCTTGTCGTGCCGATGGAGCGCGGCCGTCACGCGCCGTAAGCTGAACTCTTCGTGCGCGAACCGAGGGCGCACGCGGTGATGACTGGACCACGAGTGGCTGGAATCAACATTTAGCTCGACACCATCTGGACAGGTCTTTATGAGTTGAAGATCCTAGAGTACAGCTTCTCATGTCTTCCAACCCAAAGATCCATGACTGGCACACTCTGCCCCGCATCTTGGACTGTCTTGTCCCACCCCTCATCAACCAGCCCACGTATCCTCTCCTGCAGCTCGGCGCTTGCCAGTACCGCTTGGGCTTGGTAAGGTCCCATGACGCTCGCCCTCACCGCGGCACTCACTACAGTCCGCGCATGTGAGAAGAGGAACAAGTAGGCGGCTTGTTGCAGCGGAACGGCCAGAATGCTCGTAACAAGTCCCCAAAGCGGTGCGAGATGCACGTTGACGAGTTCCGAAGTACGCAGGGCAGCGGAAAACGACTTGAGCGCGCTGATAGCCGCTTCGCTACTCATTGTTCCATGCATAGCATCTTGAGACGCGTGGTCCTTGGGCGTGTTGTACTGCGTCCGAAAGCTGCGGTCCCAAACAGCAAGTAACGCGCGCCCCTGTGCTATGCTCGCGCGTCGCGCAACAGTGCACGGCGTGCTCGCGTCGAAGTCATTGTCCAACGTCTCAATGTCCTCTGGGTGGCGGTAGCCGGCCAGGACGTAGGGGAGCGATGTGCTTGCGAGGCTCGAAAGCGACAAGCGGAGGAAAGTGTGGAACGCGGGCAGCTGTGACGCCGACGGCGGCGACGGCTTGTGGTGGGCGAGGTACGACTCTAGTCCGCTGCTAAAGGCGAAGGAGCCGAGTGGCAGGGCAGAGTCTGCGAGCAGAAGAAGAGCGTGCAGTGCTGCGCATGTTAACAGCTGTGGTGGCAGGTGTGCCGCGATAACGCACCTGCGTCGTTGGCGGGCGATGAAGGTGTCGCTGCGACATTGTCTGGATTCAGTCGGGCTTTCGCATCGTGCAAGCGTCTTTCAAGATTCTCAATCTCCTCCTCGAGGGCTTTCTCATCTGAAGACGGTTGTGTCATCGTGTGAGTCGGAGCGAAGATGCAGCTACTGTAGGGTACAACCTGCGGCTCGGCGACATTTCCGAACATAGACGAGTATCCATTTGGGCGCATGCATAGTCTTTACACATGCATCCGGTCTAGTCTGAAAGCAGGCACATATCTCATTGTTGTTCCATTCCATTTCGTAGCATCAAAACATATAGTCATCATAATCGTAGTCATTTACCTGCATCCAGAACTCCAGAAAGACCAGCCCATCAAAGCCATAGAAGGGGGTATACGTGAAGCCGTTGCGCCAAAGAATAAAACCAATGCTCCACCTTCTAGGCAAGCGTGATTGTAACGTCATGCCTATGCGCTCTCCTCCTTCGCATCCTTCTTGGGGATATCAGCGAACATCAATGTGCCGCTGCCTTTGTTTGACTCCAAGTTCTTCGAGCTTGTCTTCTTGAACAGCGTCTGTGGCTTCGACCTATGCTCACATTAGTCTACATTCTTTTTTGTATACAGTTACAAAGTAACTTACTTCTTCATGGCATGTTTGGTCTTGAAAGCCTGCAACTTCTGTGTAGCGGGGCTCATGATTTCGTCCGACGGCGAAACAAACTTTTGCTCTCTGATACATGGTCAACAATGCAAAGTGTGGTGCTGCATGTACAAGAAAACTCACGGCTCGCTGTCAAGACGCGACTGCAGAACTCGGCGGTGGTAGTCAAGGCTTTTGGCATCCTTCTTCTCCAATCCCTTCTCTGGTGAAGGCACGGGCTTGACTTGCGCGTTGGTGTCGCGAGGAGTAAGGACTTTGGAGGCCATCATTATGGGGTGGTCGTGGTTGTAGAAGGCGTGTATGTTGGTCAAAAGTTTTCAGATTCAATCGTCTTTGGGGAGTATTGAAAGGTTGGAGTGGCTATAGTTTGTGTTGAAGAGTAAGGTCTGGACGGGGCTTGATATATGTCGTCGTGGTGGTCATGGTAGTCATGTTCAAGGGTGTTTATAGTAGCCCGTCGCGTGGGGCAACGGCGAGGAACGCGTTGCGAACGTCATGGCCCAGGGCTGCACCCCTACTCTGACAGACCCTGCACCTGGTCTTACCTTCCACTTTAAAGTGACGGTTCAAACATGGTTGGCTCTCACTTAACGTTCTCGCTAGTGTACCGGTCCAAGGTGGCCGCCCATTGCCATGTGTGAGTCAAAGGATATATCGGGTCATTATATGGCCAAACAGTACATGGTATCTGGATTTGCATTCTCTCATTTGGCCGCTCCAGCGACCGAGCTCCGCGAGGCCCATGGAAGCCATCTAACCCCGTCCATGGAAAATATCGCCAGCCAACCGACAGACAAACTCCGTGAATCTAGTAAAACACGCTAACACATGTCGTCCGAACATGCTCCGCAACTATGATCGTACATTGTCTCGCGCTCTTGCGCTGCCGAATACCAACGCCATGAAATAGGCTGAAAGCCGTCCACAAAACACCAACGTATACCAGACTCGGTTCCGTGCTGAACTTCAAAATTTGCCTTCAACTATATTGTGAACTTGTAAAAAAGGGGGCGCAAGGAAACGCAGGTGATGTACATGGGGGCAAAATGCAGAGAATATGAAAAAGGGTATCCGGCTTGAAAAGTTCTCATAGATGCACACGCATCGTGTCGTTGCTGCCAAACGCCTTGCCGCAATTCGGGCACTTCCTCGCGCGGTTGGTCAGTCGATCCTGTACGCATTGGTCGCAGAACATGTGCCCGCAAGTCTTGATGACTGTGTTCTTGAGTTTGCTCTTGCAAATCTGACACTGAATCAACAGCTCCATAGTCGACACTTCAGAGCTCTGGTTAGCGGTGCTCTTCTTCTTGTAGATCTGCACTTGCTTCTCCAGTCCGGTCACTTGAGCAGCCAGCTTGTCCCGCTCGGTTTCCGATTCGCGTTGAGCGTGTTTTGCCGCAAGGCATGTCGCATCCTTGGCTTCGACAACCTTCTTGAGTTCTGCTATCTGGCTGACATGACCTTCAGAAGTGATGGCGTTCTCGCTGACCTTCTGTTGCAGTTGACGGTGCTGGGTAGAAAGATCGTCCATTTGGGACCGCATTTCGGCACATTGCTTCTCTAGTTTGTCCACCAGTGACCGGCTGAGTGAATCCGCCTCTTTCAGCTGCGCCACTACTTCAGTGGCTTTGGTAGCCTGGGCGCGGAGGATGCGAGTTTGCTGTTCCAATTCTCCTTTGGTCTTCATGGCCGCAAAGAACTTTTGGTCCGCTTTAGCTTTGTCTGCATGTGCCTTGGCAATGTTTTCTTCCCAAGCAGCGATCTCGGTGATCTTCTTGCTTGCAATCGCCTGCGCCTTCTTCCATGCGGACTCCATAGAGGGAAGCTCATTGCCCAAAATCTTGCATTGGCTTTCGAGCTTGGCAATCTTATTGCGCAACTGCTCCGGTGTCAAGTCTTCCAGTCCAGACGACTCCTGGCCTTCCGAGCTTTGTTGTTCCGCGATCTGTAGTCGCAGTCGCTCGCATTCAGATTCCAGCGCCGCGATGCGGCTATCGCATGCGCTCACGAGCTGTTTGGATTGCTCGATGGATTCCTTGGAATCTTTGTGGCTGGCTTCCAAGACGTTGTTCTTGGTCACAAGTTCATCCCGGGCGTTTCGAATGCGAGCACAATTCGCTTCCGCTTGCGAAACGTGGCTTGCACTGTCTGCCAGACTAGCACGAACCTCGTCATCCACCTTGATCCTGTACGCCGTTCGCTCTGCCTGGAATTTCTGCGCCTCTTCCCGCAAGGTGATGTTGGTGGCTTCAAGGTTATTGATGCGCTTGATCACGTCTTCATGCTGGTTCTTGATAGCTTTGAAAAGATCAGTCTTCGCATAATCGTCGTCCGACAGGCCGGTAAGCTTCACTTTCAGTGCTGAAACCTCCTCGGTGAGCTTTTTGTTCTCCTGCTCGATCTGTTCAAGTTGCTCTTTTCTCTTGGCTGCCTCAGCCAGAGCCTGTTTTTTCGCTGTTTCCAACTCTTCACTGATGGGGCCTGGCGAGGTACCATTGGTGGCTTCTGTTCCATTGCTGGCAGATGGTGCCTCCTCTTTCACAGCCGCACTAGTGCCGACTGCTGATTGCTCGAGTTTCTGAACCTGGGCGCTCTTGAGCCGGTCGAGCTTCTTCTCAGCAACCAGATAACGATGAGTAGCGGTGTCCAGGCGGTCAGATAATTGCTCTTTCTCGGTAGTGACGCGTTGCAGGCGCACAACATGATCCTTCTCGGTGACCAAGAGTTCTGACAGCTTCTGTTGAAGAGTCGCAACCTCGGGACTGCTTGCGGGATATCTCGCAAAGAGGTCGGTAAGCGATGCAAGTATCTTGTCTTTGCGATCAGACAGGTGTTTCTTAAAAGTCTGATTGTCCTGGCACAAGAGCGCAGCGGGCACAGCCTGGATAGCATCGGCCTGAGCTGATGATGCAGGCAGTTTATCACCGCCCAGGAGTTTGATTTCATCGACAAGCTAAGCAGCAATTAGCATAATCTCAATCAAATTCCAGGGGTGTACTGACCTGATCAAACCAAGCGTCGATTATGCCTAGGTGGTCATCGTGGTACTTGGAACGGCCCTCCAACTCGTTTAGTTGTGACTCGACGGTGGCCTTTTCGCGTTTGAACTCGCGCATCTGCCTCAGAATGGCATCCTTCTGGAAAGACTGTAGATTCGAAGAGTCAGCGGGAGTGTGCGCCGAGGGCGTAGGAGGAGGGCGGTAGGTAATCGGGGGGCGAACCTCGATGTCATCTTTCCACGGCAAGTCAGCGTCTGGGTGGGAGCGAGCACCGTTGACAGTCACGGCTTGCCTCTTAGCGGGAGGAGCTTGGTCGTCGGCGATGGGCCGTTTTCGGTCCTCCATCTTGACAGCGTCAAGCGATGGGGGTGCGACGGTCCTGGCTTCGAGCCTCATCGAGGAGACACGGGTGTCGTAGATAGGGCAGCGAAGACGCGCGCGCTCTATCGGGGCATGAAAGGAGATGTTAGAGCGGGCGGGCGAAGAGAAACGGGAGGAGGTCGGGTGTCGTGTGAGGCCAGAGAGAGGGTGGGTGAGGAGAGTCGAGCGAAGAGAGTTCGTTAGCTGCTGGCTGGGCTGCCAAGAGCTAGTGTCGCGCTAGCACCTGGTCTGTGTTTCCACGACGCGACCATGTTCCGTCCTGTACAATCCCCACCAATGTGAGAAAGAGTCGACAGCAGCCATACGCTGCCTTCATACACACATACACCATGTCTGCCGAGGACGCTTCCGGCGGCGACAAAGTACCTGCGTCCGCACCTGCGCCAAAACCGGCGGCGGCGGCGACTTTCAGTTCCTTCATCAATAGTGAGTCGCCCCAAGTCTGCCCGCCACCTATGCTGAGCCGCGGTCAGAAAACACGACAGGCAAGAAATTTGCACCCAAAGCCGCACGACGGAGAGCTCCTGCCCCAACCCCCACGCCTTCTGCTGCCCCAGAGACACCGGCGGCGACTGCCGAATCGCAAACTTCACAGACTCAACCCGAGACCTCGCATGCGCCCGTCACGGAAGCTCAGAATGTCCCACAGTTGCCCACACCAGCTGCCACACAGGAACCCGCAGCAGAGACTGCTCCTCAATCCGCCCCGAGTACAGCCGAATCCTCAACAGCGCTTCCACAGCCAACCCCAACCCCAACCCCAACCCCCGCAGAACCTTTCTCCACTCCAGCGCCTGCAAGTACAGAGACTCAGACACAAGCAGACAGTGAGCCTCACATTGCTGTACCGTCCTCGACAGACCCAGGTCTCACCACTCAATACTTGGAGGATGTGGGAAGCGGTGGTAGGTCACCTAAGAGACGTCGCATAGGGGAGCCAGAGGTCGCGGCTACAGTCGATACGCTAGCACCAGCAAATGACGGTGGAGAACAAAACATCGATCCCAATCTCGAAGCCTCAACTGCAGATGCACAGGCCCTTCCACAACCGCGAAAGAGGAGGACGCTTCCTTGGGCAGCGGTGAACCACCCCCCAGAGGGCGAAGAGGATGCTGTTACTGCGGAGCCAACCCGGAAGCCTCGCCAGCCGCCGAAGCCGCGAGCAAAGAAGAACGTTACAGCAGATCCGGATGCAGACCACGTCGCACAGGAAGATGGAGACGAAGAAGAGGCTCAGCCCACCCGGAAGCGACCCGCCGCCAAACCTCGTGCGAAGAAAAAGGCCACCGAAGCTACCGCCCAGGACGGCGAGGGAGTCCCAGCCCCACCGAAGAAAGCCAGAAAGCCAAGAAAGCCTCGGGAAGCCCTAAGCAGCGAGATCGTCCAAGGCACAGAAGACGAGGTCGGGCGCATAGCCGATGACATCGTGGCAGCTGCAGCGCGTCGCAAGCCAAAAGCAAAGAGACGGAGGAAGGCCACCCCTGATGGCGACGAAGTCGATGGTATTGAAGGTGAAGAAGGCACAAGGAAAGAAAAGAAACGGAAGGGAAGACCGCCACGAGAGCCCACGCCATCCGACGCCGAAGACCAGACCATCGACCCTGATGTCACTTACATGGATTCTCTAGCAGCTCGGACTGTTCGCATTGGAAAACTGTCTGCGCTTGAGAAGCAGATGCGTACCATTGATTGGGATGCAGTCAAGCAACGTCGAAGAGAGGAAGACAACAAAAAGGTCATCTCAAGGGAGGAACAAGAGAAGGCCGACGCAGCCCTGGCTGCAGCAGGGGCAGAGCTGGCGGCTGCACAAGTCGAGCAGGGTCCTAGATTACGCTTGAATGCAGACGGTGTCATGGAACTAGTACCTGACTCTGGAGTAATCGATCGAGAGGGTGATGCAGATCGCATCATCAACGAAATGGTTGTCACAGAAGACCAAGATATCACTGCACGTCTCACAACCCGTAGCTTCATGAAGAACAACAAGCGCTTCCCCAATGAATTCCTTCTGCCTGGCCAGGGCCGACGTTGGAACGATGTCCTTACAAAGAAATTCTACGAGGCCCTCGAATCTTTTGGTACAGACTTTCAGATGATATCCCAGATGTTTCCAGGTTTCACACGGCGCTCCATCAAGACAAAGTTCACCCGCGAAGAGCGTGAAAACCCGGACCGTGTGAGGGAAGCTCTCCAAGGACGATGCAAGATCAACGAAGGCGGATGGGACAAGTTTTTGATGGAGTCGGAGAAGACGGAAGAGTCTTTCGCAGATGCAGATAAGATCAAGCGTGAATTGGCCGAACACGAGGCGGAGATGCGAGAGAAAATCGCTGCTGCACAAGCAGAAGCCCAAGAGAGAAAACGGCAACGTGAGATTGCCGGTGTTGATGCAGATGGTAACCCGTTGGGTGATGGAACAAACAAGGAGAATGGCAAGGGAAAGAAGAAGAGGGGGAAGAACAAGCAGGTCGCCTTCCAGGAAGAGCAGGGTGTGGAGATTGTTGGAGAGATTGGTGATGATGATACTTGGGGCCAGGAGTAAGCCGAGAATAGCGTGTCCCGGTATGGATAGCAGATTACATTGTGCGGCGTATAATACTGCCAAGTGAATGGTTGGCGAACATGATACCCTATAGAATTCACGGCCTATGAATGCAAACAAAACACAAGATTCCACAGGCGTTGGGTTCCTCTCATGGTGTAGCAGCGATACTTGACAAACAAAAACACCCAAGGTCTAGTCAGAGATGCAACGAGTCAAATCTGCTAGATAGGATGTCATTGGTGGTTCGCCCCTGCTGCCCTCTTACCCCTACAACATTACAATCACAGCAATCAAGGTAGGGGAAAAACCATGCAAAAGTACTCTTTTATATAGGTTCTACGGATGGTTACTGTTTTGAAACTTCTTTACTCTGCTGTTGTGTTACGCAGCACTCTCGAGGATGATCTTTTCCTGCTGTTGTCTCATTTTTTCCTTCAACAGCGTGACCTGCCCTGCGCAGCATTTGACGTTGTTTGGCGCTACTCCTCCACCCGAAAAGCTGACCTGCTTTCCATCGCCACGTATTCGTCTGCCGAATGTTCTGATTCCAACCACCCTATGCGATGCTGTGCCGATTTTGCCAAAACCTCGTTTTTTCACCTGCAGGGGAGCTCAACCTCCCAGGTGTCGAGTGGTCAGAGCTCTTTCGATATGAAATCGATCCTCTTGCAATCCTAGTGAGTGTGCATCAACCTTCTCAGGAAGCACTGGAAATCTCGGCTAGTCGTGGATGTCGATTGTGTGCCCTTTTCTGGTTTCGACTGTTCCAGACGACTGAATATACTCCTGCGCATCCTGACAATGATGACGGCAACACACAAGTTCTCATTATCGTAAAGAGCAATAGTTCCTGGAACATGGACGAAGACCTTGATTTTCGTGATAGAATGTTTGGCTATCTACGTATCTACTGTGGGGAGAGAAGATGTTGGCTTGAGATGGACAGACCTATCTCTGGTATGTAAGTTGAGCATGTGTAGAGTTCTATCTGATCTGTAGTGCAGATGATGTGAGTGCCGCTCTAGATCGTTCCTGCGTCCTTTCGCCCGACTACGAAGGCGGAAACAGTCCGATCGGTTCGGCAGCGGACAATCACACAGGGTCTAATCTCAACATGGATTTGATAAAGACATGGCTATGGAAATGTCTGGAAACGCACCATTATTGTAGGACGGAGGCTATACTACAGGGATTGCCTTTACTCCCTACCAGAGTTATTGACGTCGGAGCGCCGGGTCGGCCTTGTCTGGTAGAAACTACTGGGATTCGAGCCGACTACTTAACACTAAGTTACTGCTGGGGCCAAGGATGCAAGCTGCTTTGCAAAAAGGGGTCCGGGTCGTATGAACAATTCAAAAAAGAGTTGCCACTCGATAGCTCGATGCCTAAAACCTTTAAGGACGCTTTGCAAGTTACCAGGATGCTTGGATATCGTTATCTATGGATTGACGCAATATGCATCATCCAGGACGAGCCAGAAGACCTACGAAACGAAATGGCTGTAATGGGGGACATCTATCGACAGTCAGCGGTGACCATCTTCGCAGCGAACGGTCCAAACACTGATTCGGGTCTTTTCTCTAAACGCGACGCTCGAACAAGCAAAGCCTGCAACGTTCCAATAACGCTGAAAAGGGACAGCAAGCTTCTACATGGCGACATATCCATAAAGATGGGAAAAGACACATCTTACGACTTTTTGAATTCAAGAGGATGGGTCCTTCAAGAGGAGGTTTTATCTGGACGTTTAGTCGCTTTTGGGCCCAGTATGGTCGATTGGCGTTGTATGGAAACTCACACGTGTGAAGGTGGTACGACACTCAACATATCAAACTCAATTGACATTAGTCATAATGACAAAGAGATGCTGTTCGAGATGCCAAACGACTTGATGCGATCGGTAGTGCGGCGTCCAGACCTCTTTGACAAATCCTTGCCTTCCTCAGATGGCTTTCGACACACCCATTTTGATACCTGGTACGAGATGGTTCGCGCCTACAGCCGTAGAGAACTGAGTGTTCATTCCGATAAACTACTTGCAATTGCAGGCTTGGCGAGGCTCATGCAAAAGAACTATGGTCTTACATATGCTGCCGGATTGTGGAAAGAGGACCTGCAGGTTGGCCTCTGCTGGTGGGTGAACACTGGAACTCATTCGAGCGAAGTGGGGTCCACCGACGAAGAATCTTTTGAGTACCTTGCGCCAACTTGGTCGTGGGCTTCTGTACATGGCGGGAGTATTTCTTTCACTGCCGCTCGTAGAGAATGTCTCCCAGAAAGAGGCATACAGGTTCTTGGTTTGGAAGTCTCACATCTTCCGGGAGCTCTTGCTGCTTTCGGTTGTATTACGTTCGCCAAACTAACTATCCGCACAAGAATGCGAAGGGCAATGTTAGTAGCGGATTCAGCAAATCTAGGGCTCAGCATCCCGGGTGGAACTATAAACGACGATTTTCATTGGGGCGTTTATGCCTTTGACCCACTGACAAAGTCCTTGGTCGGACACGTATATCTCGATTCGATGCAACTATACGAGGACGTGTCAAGACAACATCAAGACCCCCAGATGGGCGAAAGTTGCTCTCTAGCAGTGGAAGGTACCGCCGGTCAGGCTTCTCGTACCCATCAGTCTTTTTCTAGTGGATTTGGAGCCTGGTGCGTACCTTGCCTTGTGGAGACGTGGGATGAAGTACATCGCGAGATGTCAGCTCTTATCCTGACTGAAAGCAACGCCGCTAAACACGAATATCGCAGAATTGGCTTCATGAAAGTCAAGAACCTGGATTTCTTCCCGGACGACAATTTCTACAATACGTTCGTTGTTGATGAGAGTCTACGACAAGATTTTGAGATAATTCACATAGTGTGATTGAGCACTTCACGTCAAGAGAAACACGCGTGTTTATATATCAAATCTGCAGTTGAAATTCGAAGATGTTATCGGAATATCACCGAGATGTGCCTTGGCACATCAACAACCACTTCATACACTGCATCAACCCTTACTCATCCCAACCCGTCCTCGCCTTGATAGCATCTGCCGCCTTCTCCGCGATAGCATAAACAGTTGTACAGAGATGCGTCGCCGGCAGATAGGGCATCACACTTGCATCTACCACGCTCAACTTCCCAACGCCATAGACCTTCAGATCCGTATCCACCACACCTCCATGTTCCTTTGGAAGCATTGACGCAGTACCCGCCGGATGAGCAAACGTTGGCGCCGTTGTAGTGCGCAAGTATCTCTCAATCGCAGTATCACTCGTAACATTCAAACCAGGTGTGAGTTCAACGGGATCTAGGCCAGAGAACGAAGGTAGGGTGTTAAAGCGGCGCGCGAAAGGCACCATACGAGCTAGGGCTTTGACGTCCAAGGGATTGGAGAAAGTTCGCCAATCGACCAACGGACCTGATGAGAGATCTTTCGGATTGATGTTGACGGTGCCGCGACTCAAGGGGCGCATCAACACGCCACTGCCTACAGGCCCTTCACCGAAAAGGACTTCATAGGCTGCAGCATCTTCGCGTCCGAGAAGGTCGGCCGTGAGCTTTTGTGCTGCTTTGGCACCTGCGATAAGCGTTTCGTCATATTCAGCTGGGAGATAGGGAGTTGGATCTTGACCTGCGACGGCATCTACGAGTGTTTGCCACCCTTCTGGATCGAGGGTCTTGAGGGGCAGGAAGCCAGCTTGGTTGCCTCGTGACAGAGTGAGAGGGCCTTCACGCGACTGGATGTACTCTTTCTCAGCTTCAGCATAAAACGTTTGGTTGGTTGCCAGATCGGAAGATTTGGGGTTGTAAGGGTTATTGGTCCAGTTCCAGACACTGCCTCCAAGGGGATGGTCTTGGAAGTTTGCGCCTACGCCAGGCAGATGCTTCTTGACTTCGATACCTGCCTTGTCGAGAATGCTTTTGGGACCAACACCACTGCTCTGAAGCAACCATGGCGTCCATATCGCGCCTGCCGCAATAATAACTTCCTTCCTTGCCTTCACCACCGTCTTCTCAGTGCTTCCCACCTTGACGATGTTCAAGCCTTCAGCCTCCAACTCACCACCCTCCTTAAACAAGACCTCGGTAGCTTGATATCCAGTCAGAAGGTGATAGTTCGGCCTCTGCGCATATTGATCATAATGCGCAGTCCGAGCATAACTCCTCGTCCTCGTCACGGGATCCAACGCACTAGGTGCCAGAATCGCTCCAAGCGCGTTCCCCGCAGCAGCTTCCTTGGGCTTCTGAACACCACTCTCGTTCCACGCATTCCACACACGATCCTGACCTGGATACTGGAATGGTGGGAAAGATACTTGGATCTCGCCATTTCCGCCATACGCTGCCTCTTCGTCCCACGTGTAGTTGTACTTCTCCGCTACTTCTTTGCTTGGGGGCGTGAAGGTAACAGATTTCTTGAAGTATGGAATGAGGTCTTTGAAGCCCCAGCCTTTGTTTCCGAGCGTCTCCCATGCATCATAGTCAGCTACGCTACCGCGGTCAAAGAACATGCCATTTACGGCACTTCCGCCACCAACTAAAGCGCCAACTAAGACGCTACGAGAATCATTGTTGAGTCCGGCATTGGGGACCGTAGTGAAGTTGTAGAAACGCGATGGGTCGAAGTTCAACGTGTCGGCTGGGAGAAGGATACGTGGGTCGTTGTTTAGCGAGCCATATTCGACGACGAGGACGGTGTCTGTATGATATGTTAGTTGGGAGCCGGTCTGCGGGAGAAACATGACTTGCGTTTTCCATTCTCTGTCAGCCTGTTTGCTACAGTAAGACCTGACGTGCCTCCTCCGACAATGACATAGTCATAAGTCTGGTTGAGCGGTGCTTTGAGGTGCACAGCAGAAACACCAGTAGCTGCAAGAGCGCCAATCAGCACTTGAATGAACGACGATACCATCCTGAACTCAACTTCAAGCCCAGTCAACTAACTCTTTTTCTTCTAGGGCAAGATCCCCTCATATACTCTTCGCTTCTCATAGAACGATTGAGCCCCCGCCCAGGCAAAATCTCTCGCACGATGCATGTCTTGGAATTATCCATGCACGATTTGATCCTTCGTATGCAACTCTTACAGGGGCTGAATGCATCTTATTGCGTACAGCATGCGCAGTACACGGCCTGTTGCCGCCGAAGACGATCTAACCCTCTTCTTGGGTTCATCCCGATGCGAAGCCCCACTTCCAACGGGCCTTCCGCAAGCCACGGCAGGCACGGAAGATCCACCGTCTGGTCCAGAGCCATAAGTTCTCTGCCGCGTCTGCAAGTCTGCAGGGTCTGTATTAATTTATATTGCTGGGCGATCCGGATGAGATACTCGAGTCGGGAACTGCATAGGATTGACAGGGGTCGGGGATGCGGTCTTCGATTTAGGATGAGGGTAAAGTAAGGTACTATCGTATGCTGCCAGAACCATGGAACAAGATGTATATAAGATGGAGAATGTTAGTGAGCACTTTACTCTGCACCTGCGTCGCATATGTTGAGAACTGCATTTCTCCATTCCGTTTAATCGCGCGAGTCTATACTAGCAGTCGCATCTCTTCGTGTCGTCTCCTTTCCTGAGTGATGATAGTACAGATAAAGTTAAAGAAACAGATGATAATCGGACTTTTCATCCGGCTATCCAGAAAAGCCAAACAAAACTCCTTAATGATGCATGCGTTTTTCGCTGCCGTTTTTCTTATCGCTCGAGAACACCAACAGATTCAGGAAAAGTTGTTCGTCCTCGGGGTATCGTAAAATGCCTCAAACAACTATAGGCATGACAAAAAGGACAAACGCCGCGCAATGCAATTTCCAGTTCCCAGGGTCGAATTAAAGTAGAAGAGAAAAGAAGTTGAGATATTGTTGTTGTTGTTGTTGTTGTTGATGAAGTGTCGGTTTGCTTCCCTCTTTCACGTCAAATCGTAGGACATTGAACGCCCTCTCGGCGCCACTAACGCCTCCTCTTCGTTTCTCCATGGCCTTGATCCTGGGGATCGCGACCTCTCTTGCGGCCATCGTCTGTTCCTCCACTGCCTCCGCCACCACGGCTCCTCCTATCGCGTTCGTCCCTTCCCGAAGCTCGTCCATCATCACGAGAACCACGCTCGCGTCTGCTGCTTTCACGGGGCTCCCGTCCTGACCTCGATTCTCCGTCTCGTTCGCGCTCTCGATGGCTGCCTCCCCTGTCACCGCCTCGCTTTTCACGACCACCGCGGTCTCGGTCGGAGCCTCGCTCACCCTCTGGGCGGTCGGAAGGAGGGTTGCGGCTGCTCCTTTCTTCGCGAGGTCGGTCGGATCGATCGGGTGAACGCTCGCGTCCTGATCGGTGGCGATGGCTGCGTGACTCTGAGCGGCCTTCTTCTGGTGGAGCGCCCTCCATCCTGCTTGATACATCATCGTTTCTGCTGCTTCTCGGATGCTGATTCTCCATACGGTTGGGTGTAGAATCAAGCGACGGCGGTGGCATCGGGCTTGTCATGCCACCGGATCCTTCTATCGGGCCATTGGCGCGTGTAGCGCCACGACCTCGCACAGGAGGATTAGAAGGAGGTGCGCCGCGTTCGTTTGACCGATCGCCGGGCGCATTTCCAGTCAATACGTTGTTGATGGCACGGAGAGGGTTACCGGCATTCCTGGGTCCTCCGGGACCGGTCGGAGGTCGCGGACCAACTGGTGATGATGGAACGGGTCCCTGGGGACCGCGGTTGTTACCGCGCGGGCCGCTTGGAGCATTCGGTATATTAGTCTGAAGCGGTGGGCCGCTTGGTGCTCTACCCTCGATGTTAACGAGCCTACTAGGATGAATACCTGCTGGTAGTGACGCTGCGGGACCGGTGGGTGCATTCGGTGTGGAAGGCTGCGACGGCGCATGTGGCCTGTCACTGCGTGGGCCCGATGGTGGTGCCGGCTCCGAAGGCTGGTTCAATCTTCCATAGTTGGGATCCTGAGCGCGTGGTCCAGGTGTAGGCTGGAACATCTCTCGTGATGCACGAGACGCTGCAGCGGCTTCGTTGCGCCCGCCACGAGGACCAGTTGGGGCACTAGCTCCTGGATCGTCCCGACGGTCGCGGCCACCAGAGGGTGGCATCTGAGGACGCTCATCCCGAACGTCTCGGGGCAGGTCGTTTCGTCCATGATACCCAGCAGGCGGGCGCTCTTCGACTCGACGATCGTCACCGCGCCTGTCATCGCCATGACGTGGAGAGTTCATACGAGAGTCTCGCTCGCTACGGTTGTCACGATCAGACCTTGGCGGCATGTGTCTGCCACCTGCATGCTCTGCTTGATTGATCAAGGCAGCACGCGCGGGGTTGACTGTGGGCTCTTCTTTGGCCGGGATCGGCACTGCTGGCAATCGTGATGGCCTATCGTTTTGCTCTGCAGCATACGGGGCGTTGGCTGGTGGACCATCTCGCCGGTATTCATTGGCTAACGAAGAAGTAGAGGGCATCCGGCGAGACTCCATCGCTGTAGGCGTAGCATGACCTCGAGGATCAGAACGCTCACGTTGATCTCTCATATCTCTAGGATTGTGTGGATCCCAAGTGGGTGGCCGTACTGCTGGCGCTCGCGAATCTCGTGGGGGTCCTCGCATGGCCCGATCATCGTAATCACGTTCTCTGCCAGACCATTCGCGATGCTCGGCGGCTGAAGGTACCCTTTCTGGAGTTCTGCCACCAGGCAGAGGTCGTGCGCGCCGCCCAGGCGAAGCCTCACGCAGACGTCCGGCATCTACCGAGCGATCTAGTCGGCCGTAGTCTCCAGGGGGACCTCGATTGTCGTATCTACCATGCGCACTTTCGGGCGTGCGATCAATGATAGGACGTTCTGATCGATTCCTCGGTTGTGGATCAGGTCGCGTTGGTAATGCGTGCGGTG